TGTGTGTGTGTGTGTGTGTGTGTGTGTGTGTGTGTGTGTGTGTGTGTGTGTGTCAGACGAGGGTGCTTCGATTGGATTGTTCTTGTATTTGCGTGCCGTCATTCTGCCGACGTGAGCAGGTATTGCTTGCTTCGATGCTTCTTGCGCGGTCATATCATACAACTCAGCGATCGTCGTTTGACCCTTCGATCACCAGCAGACTTGACCTGTGGTATTGGGAGAGGTCTTGCTCTTCAGTCACTCAGCATCCCACCTCTTCCTCACGCCAAAGAAGTAGTTGCCCCAAGCTTCACTGCCCTTCACCTGCCTCCACCCTACACCAGGCACATACACAACGCCCATGACCTGCCAATCAATGCCATCTGAGGTACTCAGCTCCGGTTGCATTCGCGCCCAATCCCTCATCTCTTGCGGCTGGATGTACTGGTTCCAATTGTGCGTACCTCTTGGGACGATACGTAGCAGATCTTCCGCGACCAGCTTCGTGGTGAACCAGGAGACAGGCGTACGAGCAATAGTAGACCCTATCAACCATCCGCCAGGCTTGAGATGGGAGATGCAGGACTGAAGGAAGGGTGAAGGGCGCTGGATGTGCTCAATTACCTCGAAGAGGGTGATGATGTCGTAGCGACCGTCGTCGTGGTTTGGCAGGTCCTCAATGGCGGTGTTGAGGTACGTCAGCCGACCAGCTTCGAGCAGTGACGGATCTGTCCGTTGATGTCGCTTAGCGACCGCAATGACTTCGGGTGTGGGGTCGATTGCCGTCACGGATCTCGTGGTCGACAGTCTCGCCGCCGACTCCGCGAAGATGCCTCCACCGCAGCCTATATCTAAATAGCGCAGCTTCTGCGCCTCGTCACGGTCGTCGTACGCGAGACAGCGGCGAATGAAGCGATGCCGAAGCGGGTTCATCAGATGGAGGAGGCGGCTTGAACCCTGCGGATCCCACCATGACGACGCCAACGCGTTGAAGTGAGAGACTTCGGTGTGGTTGACGGAGCTTGATGTGGTGTGCGGTGCAGCGTCTGTCGTGCCATGTCTCCGCTGCAAATGTTGAAATGTTGGAGTATAGGCTCTGCTTGCAAGTATGGGTTGAGGAATAAAAGCTTTTGTCAAAGTTGCACGCCTCAATGCTACAGGCAGACGGAGTACCTCGGCGAGCGACATTTTGGTCTCTGAACAGCGGTTCAACACTTCTATCGACGGATTCGCTGAATGGAGGAACGTTCCGAAAGAGTTGCGAAGCATAGTGGCGCGGAAGAGCAGCACAGGTTAAGACGACAAAGCCGGCGTTCTGCCGGCCATCTCTCATTTCCATCACTCAAACCTTCCATCGGAGAAACCTGGGAACTACAAAGCTTCGTAGTTATGAATTATGACAACACGGAGTCGTTCGAAGCGCGCACGTACGCACCACTTGTTGACCTACCTTCCTGCCAGCCGACAGCGTATGTCGGCTTTGAGGACGTACAGTGTAACATGCAGTGCCAACATAACTGCCTCGGCCTCCTGCACGCTCTGCGAACTTTGACCTGCGCAGTAGTCGAGTGATCTACACGCTGACACTTGATTCCGGTCGATCAATCCTCTTCTGGTATTGATGTTCATGTTCGAGCCAATCATTTGAAGCGCTGCTTTCGAGCCTTTGCGACTGTAGAACCTACTCCATCTGCGAAGGCCGTCTTTGCTGACACCAATCGCGATTGCCGGACGGAGATTATATACTACTAAAGTGGCAGTATGTCCAGCCCGTCGCTCTTGAGAGTCTTTGCATTGTGTGCAAGCATCGAATTCACCAGACCAAAATGCGCTCCTCTCTTACAACCCTTGCGTACGCACTCCTCGCAAACGCAGTCAATGGACAGCTAGACATTGGATCTCTTCTAAGCGGTCTTGGCCCAGCCCCAGCCGACGACCCTCGATGGACCGATTTTCATCCTCCAGGAACCGGTGATGGTGAGATGCTAGATCAACAAGCGGACCACCTTCTGCAAATACTAATGGCGTGCAGTCCGATCTCCCTGCCCGGGTCTAAACGCTCTCGCCAACCATGGCTTCATACATCATGATGGCAAGAATATGACTCTTCCCCACTTGATCGAAGGTCTCGCGGCAGGCATGAACATGGGTGCCGACTTCACAGTCGCAATTTCAGGAGCCGGCCTCCTGTCTTCTCCTGATCCCTTCGCTGGAGCATTCGATCTCAATGACCTGGACATGCACAACTTCCCCATTGAGCATGACGCCAGCCTTAGCCGTCAGGACGCCTACTTCGGCAACGACTACAGCTTCTATAACGACAACTGGCAGCAAGTTCTGAATTTCTACGACGGGAAGACGACGACGGATGTTCCAACCGCATCCCGAGCGAAGTATGCGCGCGTCAACGACTCTATGACTATCAACCCAACGTTCACATACGGCACTCGTGAAGCCATCTTCAGCTATGGCGAAACCGCCTTGTACATCCAGAGCATGAGCGACCCGGCGTCAGGCATGGCGCAAATCGACTACGTTCGTAGTCTATTTGAGCAGGAGAAGCTGCCATTTGAGCTGGGGTGGAGGCCGAGTGCTGCACCTATTACGCTACAATCGCTTGGGAATATGGTCTTTGAGCTGTTCTTGGCGAATCCGCAGAATGTTCCGGAAGGCTTGACCATAACTGCGTATGTCCACAAGTTGATATATCTCGAAAAGGCGTTGAATGCTGACTTGCTTGCAGCAACTCGTATAAGGATGCTTTCGAGGCCGTGGCAGGTGGATCCAATATTCTTGCGAACTTGACGGACGGGTTGAGTACTTCTGTTGGGTTGTAGAATAAGCATATGATATGAAGCCCCTGCTCAAGCGTTGCCTGCTCAACTCCATCTTAGTCGGCTTCATTTCGAGTAAACCCTCAGCTCGGGTAAATAGATGTTACACTTCCAAGAACTCGCCGTCTTCATCAACGATCGTACCTAGCATGACTGCGCATATGTTGCCCTGCAAATACCCCTGTGAACACAAAGCATGTCGCGCTTCGTATCAGACCTGAAAGCTCTGAGATATATCGACAGATACGGCTACAGTGGCAATGTGGACTTCAGGATATATGCCGGCGGACCGAGGACCGTCAAGACGATGTCGTCCGTGCTGGAATTCCGCCCCCACTTTATCTCCCCTCTCGCAACGTGGTTACGATATCGGCTTTCCCTCTTGCTTTGTTTGCATCTGTCTACGTACATCCTATATGTTCAGCAAAGACACGTGAGCTGTGATACTGTCTGATCACTTATCGCGCTACGTACCATCGACCCAAAGCATAGCATCGGCCTCTGCAATGATCTTCAAGTCGCCGACGGTGTCTGAAGTGAATGCCCCGCCTCAGTGGGGCACTTTGCAAAACCAGCAGTCCTTCCGAACCTTACCAGCAACGTCAGGTGAAGGCCGATCTATGGAACCGTGAGTGCTAGACGTATTGTGCGATTCCATTGCTGTGAACAATGATAAGGTAGATTACTCTTCCTCCTAGTACATCATACCATTCCACATTGACTCTTAACATCCTTAAATCTGGCACACAACTTCTAGTGAAACGCGTGGAAAGATATTGCGTTCGCATTCAGGCCCATTGCTACCGCATAGTTGGTATAGAGATACGTATCGGGTGGGAGGGTGATGTCCAAGGCCACCGATAACAATATCCCATCTCAGGACGCCGGCCGTGTGGGTGCTGCAAAGGACGACGTTCCAGTACCAACCGTGCCAGCGGAGCATGACACGGCCAGTGTTATGAAGAGCGCAGGCTCTTCGACGTTACGAGCCGAGCAACATGCAGAATACCCGCCAAAGGTAGACGGACAGCCACAAGCGAACGGGGTCATAAAGCCTTCCAGGCCCGGCTTGCCTCGATTCACCACCTCGAAGGAGAACGTTCTGGCGCAATTCTTCATCGGGAGCATAGATCAGGGCACGACTAGTACGAGGTTCATCATCTTTGACGGCACAGGGCAACCTGTCGCAAGCCATCAGCATGAATTCAAGCAGCATTATCCGCAATCAGGCTGGCATGAGCACGATCCGAAAGAGCTTATCGCGAGCGTTGAAGTGTGCGTGAAGAAAGCAGTAGCGACATTTCAAGCAATGGGACATGACATCGAGGACATCAAGGCGGTGGGTTTGACTAATCAGCGAGAGACCACGTGCGTATGGAATGTCGAAACAGGCGAGCCTTTGTACAATACTATCGCGTGGCCAGATACTCGAACGAAGGGTCTCGTGCGAGACCTGAAGCAGAAGGAGAAGGATATGGGTCTGGACTTGACATACTTGACTGGTCTGCCGCTCTCGACCTATCCGTCTTCGGTGAAGCTGGTATGGCTGTTACAACACGTGCCGGCAGTGAAAGAAGCGTACGAAGCAGGCAAGCTAGCTTTTGGCACCGTTGACGCCTGGCTCCTTTACAACCTCAACGGCAAGAATAGGGACTATTTCGTCACGGATTCGACTAACGCAAGCCGGACCATGTTCACAAACTTACACACAGTGAAGTACGATGACAAGCTATTAGACTTCTTCGGGCTGGACAAGACCAAGCTACACCTTCCACGCATAGTGCCAAGCTCGGATGCAGACGCTTACGGCAAGATTGTATCAGGTCCTCTAACGGGCATGAAGATTGCGGGTTGTCTCGGCGACCAGTCTGCGGCTCTGGTCGGACAGCAAGGCTTCACGCCGGGCTCAGCGAAGAACACTTACGGCACTGGATGCTTCTTACTGTATAACGTAGGCGAAGAGCCTGTTATCTCGAGTCACGGCTTACTGGCGACTATTGCCTATGACTTTGGCCGGCACCGCAAGCCCGTATATGCATTAGAAGGCTCAATAGCGGTCGCCGGCTCGGGCGTCAAATGTAAGCTCCTCCTCCGTACAACATTTCATGTCTTTGCGTTAACATTGTCGCAGTCATGATGAACAACATGGGCTTCATCACCCACTCTCACAAGATATCCGAACTGGCCGCCACCGTGGAAGACAACGGCGGCTGCGTCTTCGTCACCGCATTCTCCGGCCTCTTTGCACCATACTGGATCGACGACGCTAAGGGAACCATCTTCGGTATCACGCAACATACCCAACGCGGCCATATCGCTCGCGCTACGCTCGAGGCTGTCTGCTTCCAAACGAAAGCCATCCTAGACGCTATGGAGAAGGACTCAGGCCACAAACTGCATCAGCTTGCCGTTGACGGCGGGATGTCGAACTCCAACCTGTGTATGCAAACGCAAGCGAACATCATCGGCATACCCGTGGATCGACCGGCGATGAGGGAGACGACGGCACTAGGCGCGGCGATTGCGGCTGGTTTTGCGGTCGACATCTGGAAGGAGTTTGATGAATTGAAGGCGATTAATCAGAAAGACCGGACTATCTTCACGCCCGATATTGGACCTGAGGAGTCGGCGAAGATGTTTCGGAAGTGGTCCAGGGCGGTGGAGATGTGCCGGGGATGGTTGGATCCAGAGGAGAGTGCGGACGACTTCTAGATGGTCGAGGACTATATGGTGGCTGTCCATGCCTTGGTACTCGTCTCTCGAGGATGGTATAGGATTGCTTTAAAGTAGATTTGGCTCGTCCTGCAGGACTGTAGAGCATGCTTCATCCGCCTGCAAGCGTGTGAAGCCTTGGGTAGGGTTTCGCTCACTGAGAGGTTGGGTATGAAGCTGGAGGGTTCAGCGGTCAAAATCATGTCACTTGCTTCATGTTCTGCTATTTCTCGATGCTGCTTTCTCACTGTTCTTGCCGTTCATGTCACTAAGCTCATGCGCTGATGAGTGTAATAGGTGCAGATTGCATGGACGACTGGGCCACATAACTCCGTCAAATCAATGACACTAGCGATAACACAGAATGGTCCGAGTCTTGTTATGCTGCGAGCAGTCTGCGCCTTACCAACGAAGTTTCGAGAAGGCCGCATCGGTCACAAAAGTCCAACAGCGCTCGCAGCACAGACCAGGCCGACGTTGAGCCATCAACTGAATGGTGTCTGTGGAAGCATCCGTATCCGCATCCTGCCGGATGCTTTGGCCTGGGCATAGTGGCGTAGGCGCGCATATTACTACTGTTCGCTGCGGAGCAGTTGTACGCCAAGCCGCCTGACTTCCTAAGCAACGCACGATATTGACGGCTTCAGAGACAGTGCTGTTGTACCTCCTCGCTTCCAGCTCGGCTCGTGACCCGAGGCTCATGCACGATGAATACTGGGCGGAGCGACTACGCACGCCACTGGGCCTGGCGGAGCTCCGTGATTCGACAAATGCACCCGGGCTCACGGTTCCGGAACCGGCTCCGCAAGATGATCCCTTTGGACTCTGCCGCCCCACAACCGTCGGACATATTGTAGACGCGCCTTGGGAGGCGCACCTACTTCGTTGGTCGTATAGAGTACAGTATCTCGTATAAACTCCAGCAAAGAAGCTCATCAAGCAAGCGAAGTTCGCGAGTGATGGGGGACGGCAGTGGTGCTTGGATGCCAGCTTCGTGACATTCGTCAAGCCTTGACCACCCTTGTTGGCCTCGCGATGCCTGTGCATCTTCTGACGTCCGCGGGATCAGGATCATCAGCTTAACGAGCAGGACCGATCCAGCCCGACGAACACGGACCGCCAGAGTTACAGCAAGCGAATGGCAAGCTCGCTTCACCATCTCTTTCTTCTCATTCGTCACATAATTCTCTGAATCCACCCCTCCCATACCGGCCAGTCACCGGTCAAACATTCCTACAGCAGCCTACTGGACGCTCCGTGACTTTCATCTTTTCTCATCACGGTCAAGGATTCGCTTATCTTACAGTTCGCCATCGGAGAAATGATGTACAGAGATTTCGCCTCGGTTCTGGTAGCCGGGCTCTCTCATCTTCAGTGGCCTGGTTAGTAACCACATGGCTGCCATGCAGCGATCTACCGAGACCTGTGCCACAGAGCCACACTCTTCTAGCCGTCTGCAGGGTCATCTCGAACCGGTTGTGCGACCTGCGGCAGACCTGGTAACGACCTTCCTCTTCCACTCATGCCATCAAACACAGTTTGCCTTTTCAAGCACTCAAGCTCAGGCTTTGCGCGACGCTTCGACATCTTTGGTCTGGAGGAGCCTCTCGAAGAACGAGGAGGAAGCTTCCGAAACAAGTGGCGATACCGTACTCAGCCAACTCACTCGAGCCACACTAGGCTATCAGAAGGACCCGTTTTTAGGAATCCACTCTCCGGATTGATTTCTCCCAAGACGTACGAGTTCCCTTCATCGGGTACGTTGCACACAACGAGAACGGCTGGCGACCCATCAAGCACTCTCTAGAAAACATGTGCGACTACACACAGGTCATCTACCATGTCCCTTTTGCGTTGCGAAATTGCTAAGCTGACAGTGGCACTCACCTTTCAGGTGGAATACAAATGCGGCCATCTACGCTTTACTGTCCGCGCATGGTGTACGGCTTCTTGGAAGAGTAGCCGTTCCGGTCGTCAGCTGACGGACTGCCAGGCGTTCGTTATCAAGAAACGCATGTCAGATGGTACGCATGCATATCGGATCCGTCGCGCTGACAGAGGTGCTGACGAGTGTCTCACCAACAGCGCTCCGAACATCGTGGCAATCGAATACAGACTGCATGAGTATTGTGGTAAGCAAACTCTGTCCCAATGGCAACGACGAGCTTATCCCAATTGACGGCACGCTGCAGGGAATTGCAGGGAGCCTTCACCGAAGAACATTACCGGACCGTCACGGAAACAGCGCGACAAAGAAGGCGAGAAGAAGGAACAATCCAGCTCCGAAACTGAGCAGAGCCACTCTACAGACACTGGCAGTTCTTCAACGAAGTCGTAAGATCGGCGATCCGCACTTGTGATCCCCACGTCGCTATGGACTATGATCAGCCCAACAACCTCAAAGTCGCTCACTGCGCGGCCGTACATTCATACAAGCGCCGCCATGCTGTCGCGAGGCCGTGGATGGCTGCATCTATCTGTTACGACGATTCGGTGCAGGTCGATCAAAGCAAGCCGGCAGGAATGACAGCAGCGTCGAGATAACGAGATTCATCTGAAGGTGGGACATTGCGCAGAGGTACTTGCCTTGCAGCGTTCTCATGGCCCGCAACGATAGCTCGCAATAACAACTTAGCCTCATCGATCTCGGTGGTCACATCTGCTTCGAGTGTCGCGGGCGCCCGATCCAGCATGTTCGACCCGGAGGACGCCTTCATTGGAGTTGATCTTTGCTTGGATGTAGGCGACTATATTGTACTCCACGCTGGAAGGAAGGCGACGGAGCGAACTCATTGGTACGGGAACACAGAAGGCTTCGAACGGCAGTTGGTCTCTATGACAGCTCCCCACAGGGACCAGACGCAATTATGGCCCAAAAACACCAACTCCGTGGGAATTGATTGGACTCAAGCTTACAGCATATGCTACACTAGATCTGAAGACTCAACCCGTCGAATATCATTGGCTCATCATTGTGCATCACCTCAGTATTGTAGCTAAGGTGCATAAGGTGGCGGCGCAGCCGTGTCCTTCACATGTGGGAACAGCCCACTGAGCACCCTCTCAGGTCTTTGCACCTGGACCGCGGCTTGGCCTTCTTGCCTTTCCACGGCATTGTGATATCCCGGGAGCTCGTCGTCGTTGCGCTCTTGAAGCTCAACGTCAGCTTCGGCCGGAGCTGCTGCCCGGGCTTCTCCCGGAGCACCAGCATTTCTACCAGCCTCCAGGTCGCGAGACCGCAGCCATCTCCTCCCCCCACGTGGCCGTTGTGGTCGTGCTGGTCGCTGGCGACGTAAGGCGCGGTCTGAACGTCGCTCTCGGCCTCGCTGCCACCGTTCCTTACACCGATTCCACCATCCTTTCGCCCAACGGGCTACTGCTGCAGGCCCGATGCAAGGCAAGACGAGCAGCATTAGCACGGCCATGGTGGCAGCGGCGTAGGCGGCACACACTAAGCCAACTGGTATGAGTCCCCACATGCCCCACGGGACTGTGAGGAGTTTTGCTCTCCTTGAGCAGCCAGCCAGTGAACAGTTGATAAGCATTGAAACGCAGCTCAGGACGGCGACGACTGCGGGATAAGCCACGAAGAAGGCGACACCCACCCAGCCGCCCTTGTAATTGGCCCAGACGGGCTTCCATTCGCAGTAAAAGCGGTGCTGCTGGGCCAAGGTGAAAGTCGCCATGACGACGACGGTTACGACCATTGCGGTCAAAGCAAGGATGGTGTAGGTCAGGGTTGGACTGCAGCATCGACGGCCTCGAGCGCCGGTACGTGAGGCTTCGAGAGCCGTATTGCTGGCATAAGCGACGTATATCATTAGCGCGGCGATGATGTAGAGACACCATGGGAGCCATGTTCGTGCTTGGTCTGCTTGACTGGTGGTGTAATTGGCCACCCAAAAGGTCTTCTGCCGGCACAGTATCTGCGTAGCGTTGAGCGTGGCCATGGGGCTCTTGAGCTTCGTCTCCTCAAACGAATTACTGCGTGTTGGACAGTCGGCAAGCGATTGCAAAGCAGATCATATACACTGTGGTCTAATATGTGTCTGCCGCAGTACTACACCAAGCGCTTGCTCAATCGACGGCCCTTAACGGGCGTATCGATGCGCAGCTACTGAGACAATGCAAAGGTTGAGTGCAGGCATGAAAGGAACGAGGCAGCGAGGGGCTGTGATAGGTGCCCTCGCCCTTCGTGCAGCAACTTGATTGAGGCCGCCTCTCAAGCCGAGCCTCATCTGGTCACGTGAACCCCCACTTTTCACCGGTTCGCAGTGGCTTGGCTGGAGCTTCAGCCCAATCAAGCAGTAGCTTCGATCCTGCGCCAGCACACGAAGCTTCAGTCTCTTGTCCCTACCCAGCTAGCCAAAAGTACACCCTTGCCGGCCGAGACGCTGCATCGCACGCTTTAAGCGGGATGTATGACAACGGACCGGGTGTGTTCTCACGAAGGCACACGCCCCCTCCATTCAATGGGACGGACGACCGCATTGACTCTGACCTCGTCGAGCATATGACGGTGAGGCGCCCGGAGCCGCCGTCCAACAATTACGTGGTTGAGCATTGTTGTGCGCATCGTGCACATGTTCTCCGCTTCCCACGGATACCGAGCACTGTTCAAGTACGATCGTGCCCCTCGAGAGTGTTGACCTCACAGTACACGCCCTTGACGTCGTAGAGGCCGGTAAACTCCGTTCAATCTGGCCTGCATCGTCACGCCAAAGCCGCCAGTAAGCGCAGCCACTTGCTGCGGCCTACTGCGCAGGATCAGGGGTGTTAAGCACCTCATAAGCTTTTGCATAGACTGCGGAGTCTGCGTGTGAGCGCTACTTTGCAGATGCTTCGAGTGTAGCTGTCGATCCGGCACGCTATGATGTTGTGAAAGAATGGTCTTCGATGCGCTAAGTCCTGCATTTCGAAAGCACTACATGCACTCATGTGAGGCGCAGATCCGAGGCCCCGCGGCAGGTATAGGCTGGCCTTGATGGTATCCTTGTCATGCTTTCAAGGGTGTCTCATGAAAACTCTGAATAAGATGGTCGCCCACTTGCAGAACTACACTGCGGTGCGCCTGCATTGTGAATGACTGACCTCTTTAATTGCATTCCTTGCTATCACCTCGATGTACCCAGGCAAAGGGCAAGTGTTCGGGAAGGCGGTCGGCGCGAATGTTGGCTACGTCCAGTGTTGAACCGTCCGCTGCCGGGATACCTGTACGATGTAAGATTTATTCATTAGGTTGCGCTCTGATGTATTCTCATATTGTACGCAATACATGTCGTGACTTTAGCCTTGCGCCTCTGATGTACAACTTCCGTCCCACTCCTGAGAATATCTGCTGCGGCAGCCTCAGCATCTGCGGCTCTGCTAAAGCCAGCTTTGCCAGCCCTGCTGATTTCATCTCGTCTCTTCTCGGCTCCCTTGCATGGACTCAGTCCACCCCTACTTCATCCTCTTCTCCGCCGCCTTCCAATTAATAACATCCCAAATGGCCTTGAAGTACTCCGCCTTGCGATTCTCATACTGTAGATAATATGCATGCTCCCACGCATCCACCCCTAGAATGGGCCTAAATTGTCCCACCACGGGATCCTGATTCGCATATGTCTTGATCCCCAACTGTCCTGTAGCATTATCCTGCACCAACCAGCACCACCCACTTCCCTGGATGCCCGCCAGCGCAGTATTGAACTGCGTCTTGAACTCCTCAAGTCCACCGAACGTGCTGTCGATGCTCGAAGCGAGACTGCCTGACGGTGGCTCGCCGCCGCCTTGGTTCTTCGGCGCCAGGTTCTCCCAGAAGAGGGTGTGGTTGAGGTTACCGCCGCCGTTGAAGTTTATGGCGGCTTGCGTGGCGATTTGGGTGGGGATGTCGGAGGAGGAGATGGCGGAGGACATCTTCTCCACGGCGACGTTGTAGTTGTTTACGTAGGTTTGGTGGTGTTTGCTGTGGTGCAGTTCCATGATTTGGCCACTGATGGCTGGTTCGAGCGCGCCGTAGTCATCTATACATACCTCCAGTTAGCCGATCGGGGGTTCGGTGATGCTGTATTGTTTCTCTTACAAGGCAAGTCTGGCAAAGTGGCCTTGTTCTTGATGGCGGAGCTGCTAAAGCATGCTGCCGCAGGCTTAACGGCGGAGGTGAGGGAAGTGCGCGCTGCCGCACGGAGAGCGCTGGTTCTAAGCATGACTGTCGACATGTTGGTGACTGGTGTATTCTGTTCGCAGTTGCAGAACTCGAGTGATATGTTCATTTATCTGCAGCATTGAGATACACAGGGAGCTATGACCCTTCCGAGCGTTCCGACGTCACAGATGGTTCCTTACGCATCGGGCAGGCACAGCCGAACATGCATGGGATATGGCTTGGCGCTCGCCGCTCGTTCCTCATGGATGGTACCAAACGACGATGATCAGCCGTCACGGGCAGTGACAAACAATTTGAAGTCCGAAGATGTCGGCATTCTATATTAAGCTACATAGTCTGCGGGCGATACTGAGTCCAAGGGCTGCAGAAGATGGTACATCCTTGATCGAGAATGCTATACAGGCGGATGAGGTGGGTTTGACATTCGAGCCTTTGGCGCAGCAGCATGCAGCCATGGTTCATATGACTGTCTGCTGCATGCGTTGGTCGTTCAGTTGCGAGGCTCGTGCGGCGATCTACTTCAGTTGCTTGAACAGTTTCGGAGCGGCGCATTGGCTGGCGCAGTGCATGAGATGGAAGACTGGGGTGATAGCGTCAGCGATAGTGTAACTCTGCGGTACTTCGAATCGAGATGGTTCACTCACACTCCTCAACGCAGTCCTCGTGGGCCTTGCCGTGCTGCTCGTGTTGCTCGGTGACACGCTCCGCGCACTCATCGTAGTGGTGCTTGAGCGGCGCACACTTCTGCGATCGCATGCAGTCTGTGGTCACGTTAGTGAACATTGTTCAGGTACGCAAAGCAAATAACAAGATGATGCAGAGGCCCATTGAGGCTGGGCACATCCACCAGTGGCAGCACATCGTAGACAGAACAAACTCACCCTCCTCAAGCTTAACCTTCGGATCCACGGGCTCATCCTCCTCTTCCTCCTCATCCTCATCCGCCTCCTCCTCCTCATCGTCGTCCGCTGCCTTAGTAGGACCCCCATGCGGCCCACTACTCTTTGCCCCAACCTGTCCACTCGCGTCGCCACCATCCCCCGGCTTATGGCCCGGAGCACTCTCTCCCTGCTTCGCCTGCTGCTTCTCCGCATCAGCCTCATTCGCCTCCTTCTCACTGCCGCTTTCCTCATCCGTCCCCGCCGCCGGCGAGCTCAGACTCGCGCCACCCTGCGTCGTGGCGCCACGGTGCTGCGCGGTTCCCATCCCGCCATCGCTCGTGTCTTTGGCATCGGAGTCCTCACCCGTAGGGTTGCTGGGGCCTTCGTGTCCTCCCGGGGTGGTGCTAGCGTCGGCGTGGGCGGTGCCGACGAGGGTGAGAGAGGAGGTGAGGTCGGAGAGGTAGTCGTACCAGCCCATCTTGGTGGTTTGGATGGGGTGGAAGCGGTCAATGAGTGGGAAAGAGTGTGCTGTGGTAATGGAGGCTTGTACGACAGCTTTTTGCTGGCTTGCATTGAAGCTCCTTGAAGCACGGACTCCGGCCGGAAGATGTTCGGATGAGATCCGCTCGGCGAGAAACAGCTGTCACGTGGTCGGAGCTGGTCTTCCGTCGACGAGGCACGTAGGACTATAGAACGTCTCCTCCCGTCCGGTCTCTGACACCTCCGATCTCAACACAAAACAGACAGAGATCGGATGTGTGCAGGGTGTTGCACCATCTTCATCTAGGTACAGTCTGTGAAGTACCTGTTCTATTTTTGGTCTGGTAGTTCTTCGAGGTTAGAGTCATCGGAGGACGAGCGCAAAGCTGGCGATGCGGAGCGGCTTCAACGTCCTTAAGCATGGTGTGGTACATCCTAAGCCCGCATGCAGACAGCCATGAGATGCGGCGGTTGTGGCTTGAACGGGCGTCTACCTTTGAGCCTATGGCTTGAGGCAGCATGCACAGCCTGACGATAATGTTCCCATCATTGCACGCCATGCGGGCGTCCACATTGCCCTCGATCTCCTCAAGGCAAGTTGGTATATGAAGCGACTACCTCTGGATCCAACCAAGATGCAGTTGTAGATGTATGAGGCTGTCTACTCCGTACGACTTGCGGGCTCCGTGGAATGCTTCCCATGGACCACCTCAATGGCGTCCGCAGGGTCCTCGACAAGCTACGGATCAACAGACATCGTGAAGCGGCTTGGGTGTATAAGAAGTTGAATACTGACCAGCAAGATGTTCGTGTGCTGCTCGTAAAAGCTTCTGAAGACAGATCGAAACCTGTTTGCGGCACATTACGACACATTTCTCTGATAAACCAGCAGCTCCCAGGATATGAAACAATCTCATACGTCTGGGGCGACCCTAAGTTGCGGGGAAGGATATACGTCGATGGCTGCGAGCTTGAGGTGCCTGCCAGCACGGAACGCGTTCTCAGGCGGTTTCGGCTGCCACAACAAGACCGCTTGCTATGGATCGATGCTGTGTGCATTAACCAGCAGGACTTCTTGGAGCGAGCGCAGCAGGTCCAGCTCATGGCGGAGATATACAGCCGGACGACGCACGGGCTGATCTGGCTGGGTGAGGACGAGGGTTTTGCGGCCGCGGCAAAGGACTCTATCCTGGCGGTCTACGAGAACGCTCGGCAGGAGACGGACGGCTTCGAGAACTTCATGAGCATGCTTATCGATGAAGTCTTGCGGCTGTATCGCTATGCCGAGAAAAGGGGTAACCTAGCTTTCGACCACGAGCCATTACTAAAATACCTCGGTCTCCCGTGGTTCAGTCGTTTATGGGTATGAAGAATCACCATCACTGGTTGAAGTGAACTAACTAACAGCCAGTACAGTGTATGCAGGAAGCATGTTTACCACCACGATGTACTTGCTGGTGCGGCAACATTGAGATGGATCTGTTACACGTCGTACGAGCAGCAGCTTGGCTGGATTACAAACAATTGACGCTCCCTTTCCTCAATCATGAGAACATGGATGGCATTCAATACGCTTTTATACTCTGGACATACTCTGACCGTAGCCGCGGCCCGCATGGAACGAGTTCGCCGTTCCCGCCACCAACGCTGTATGCTTTGATGGCCGAGTTCCGATCATTTGAGACTGCCGAGCCAAGGGACCATGTGTACGGTGTACTCGGCCTGTACCAGAAGCTAGGCCGGGTCCAGCGGCTTTCCCAGGAGCTTCTCCCTGACTATCGGCGACCGCTCGATGCCGTGTTCAGAGATGTTACTGCCTTGTGGATTCGCGAGTGGAACAGCCTGGAGGTCCTTAGATATATCTATGGCACTCCCCGAGGTATGCACGGCATGGATAGGACGCTGGATCTCCCATCATGGGTACCAGCTTGGCATCGAAAGTGGAATGACGCAAAGGATCCTTTGCGATTCATCTTGTCCTTCGATGCTGCAGGTCAAAGGCCGGTAAGGCTATACGACGATGGAAACGCCAATCTTAGTGTGCTCAACGTTTCTGGCCTGGTCATTGGACGGATTGCCGCTCACACCACGACATTCGAGTGGGGCTTTTTCCGGAGAGCAGATAACGTACTGACCTTCATAAAGCAATGCGAGGAGATGATGGGAGAGGCTGATTCAAGGGTTGATGTCACTGATGCCCATGCACATTCCTTAGCCTCGAGACTTGCCATGACACTTTTCGCTGGAGGAGACCTTTATGGTCAAGTAATGGAAAGAGGCAAAGCCGCAGACCATATTGTGGCTTTCAGGGATTTCATTTTCTCCACAGGGGAGGTACCCCCAGACCTAAGAGGACTGGCCCCTGACGCTTCACGGCAGACTCTCATGGCTGCTCACAGCTACGAAATGTTATTAAGGGCCTGCATAAACCGCCATTTTTTCGTCACGCAGGACGGCCGTCCAGGCCTTGGTCCTAGAACCTTGAAAGATGGCGACATCGTGACTGTCCTGTACGGGTCTCAATGGCCTGTAATTCTTCGATCAAATGGCGGAGAAGACACCTACAAATTCATCAGACTAGCGTACGTCGATGGAGTCATGTTCGGTGAGGCTGTGCGTGCTCATGAGACGGCTGGTAAGGACGACCAGCTCTTTCGGCTTGTATAAGAGGGGCGCGAAGGATTGTGGGTCCCGGGCTGGAGTGAAGCCTCGAAGGGTTGCAGTCAAGTCATGCGAGGTTCTTAATCGGGCAGCGGAAGCACATTTGGCTATGGGCAACATCACAGCCGATCGACATCGCTATGTTGGTGGGCTGATGTAGAACTGGCAGCGCCTGAGCGGTTCAGGACGGCGATACTCTTTCTCTCCAAAACTCGGGAAGAGGAAGGAGGCCAATATTGCTTCCCAGCGGTATGACGCGGCGCAAACGAAGGACGAGATCTGCACAGCACATGACAGCCACAGAGAGTTCGGATCAAATTACGCTTATCGGCGAAGCAGCAAACCGTTGCGAATGCCACACACCTTCGAGGCAATAAAACATCACCATTACTTCATAACGCTCATTCAAGCCATCCAGAATCATCACCACCCTCTTTCCGCTCACCCTCGAACCCCAACTCCAATTTCGGCAACGCCTCCACCTTCACCTCCTCTAACCTGGGGGCCCCCTCCTCCTTCTTTCTTGGACTCTTCTTCGGACTCACACTCCTCGCCCTCTCCTCCAAATCCGGGCCCTCCCTCACAAACCTTGTCTCCCACTCATCCTCCGTCGCCGCCGCAACCCATGCTCGCAAGCCATCATGCACGCCGGAGTAGAATTTCTCCTTGCAAGTCCGCAGCGTGGCGCCCATAACTTTTTCGAACCCGCTGGCTTTCAGCTCCGCGCGGAGATTGTTACGAGCTGTGGCAGTCGGAAGGGAGGCTAGGACGCCGTTGAGCAGGTCTAGGTGTGCGGTTAGGTAGGTCGTTGCGTCCCATTCTACGCCGCCTATGTACGGTGCGGCGGGGACGGGTGGCCGAGAGCCCGGGAAGTGGCGGTGGGTGTAGGTCGCTGCTAGAACTTCAGCGCGAGCCGGATCGTTGGTAGTGGTGTCGTCGGATGCCTTTGGGCGTGGTACGACGTTAAGGTTGTGCAGGAAGATCCAGAAGACTTCCTTGGTCACCATGGCGACCTCGCGGCTCCAAAGGCGGTAAGGGCGAGGTGTGTGCATAGTCAGGACGAAGTCCACCGGCTTCTCGTCCTCAGACTTGGTAGTCTCGCCAAGGTACGACCGGATGCGGTGGGCTCGTTCTGTAAGGGTTGCGGCAGAGGAGCTGGTGGCCGTGGCGAGGAAGTTGACTGCTTCACGGTTAGCAATACAGCCAAATCTAAACAGTGGCTTGAAAGAACCCACACAACACATTGATGATCACAGTCCGAGTCGCGTACTCCGCCGGACCTTTCTTCTCATCGTCGAACAACATCCCCAGCAGTGCCGGAAACAGCTCGTCCGCCACCACAGCCAACTCAGCCATTGCTCGCTCAGTCGTGCAGAGGCCTTTGAGACACAGCAGCGTCTCGTGCAAGAGCTGATCCTCATGCTCCTCTCGCCACTCAAGGCCCATAAGGCGGTGCAGCAATTGCACGATCTCGGACATACCGCCTTGAGCAAGGAAGCTGTCAACCCAAGCGACCGTCTCGTTACGAAGTAGAATCCGAAGCTTGTGTAACCGGCCTACTTCGACGACTGTCGGATCAGTATGCTTGCGAAGGTAAGCTATATAGTCCGCTGGGATGGCGGGAGCGGCCGATCTTCGACCTAGCGAGCCGAAAGGCGAAATGGGTGTCGTTGCGCTCGTTGACGACGTGATGGTGTTCGCGTCATTCGCGACGTGGACAGATACTGGTCGGCTTCTGCTCTGCGAGCGCTGCTTCTTCGAGGGCGAGGTGGACGCATGTTTGTCGCTTTTCGAGAAGGTGAAGGTTCGGCTGCGTGGCCGAGATCGCTTGGTCGACTTTTGGTAATCTGCATCCAATTGCGCGTCTGTCGGCGAAGCCTCTGGGGCCGTCGATGTTGGCTGGGCGTCTGGGTGAGTGGCATTTACTGTCCCGTTCGGACTGTTGCTGACCATGTTCGATCCCTTGTCCTGCCTTACAAAGTCCGCCTTGACACGCAAGGTCAAAGACCGCATCTTCTGCCGCATCGGCTCTGGTATGTTACGAGAGTCAAGCACTGCTTCGAAAGCCTGATCCACGACCTTTGGGTCTAGCTCGATCTCCGGCTTCGCAGGTGCATTGTCGGTCTTACCCTTGCCTTGCAGTGCAGCTACAGCAGCCATCACCCGACCTCCTCGCTTAGCTACACTGAGTGTATTAACTCCCAGCACCTGCTCCGCGCTGCTGCCGCTGGCTTTCCGCTCAGTGCTACTGCGCTTAAGCAAGACCGGCCGCTCACCAGAGACTCTCCGTCTACTGTCTTTGCTCGTTCGGCTGGCCGAGTCTTCTGATCTTCTGCCTTCGGTGCTTAGTCGGCTCCCGCTAACCCTGCGAGTGATGGCTCCCACCAAGCTTTCCGATCCCGGTACGTAAGCGCTCTGCGGTCGAGCTTGGAGACTAGGTCTGAGTGATGGCTGCTCGAGTGTCCCAGCAAAATTTCGCTGCTTCGACGGGGAGTACTCGCGTGGTGTATACTTCTCGATCTCTTCGGCAATGTTGCTAGATGACTTGCTGTCTCTGGTACTTGGCCTCGAGAGCGGCTTGCTGCTCGAAGCAAGCTGCGACCATATCGGCGTCTCCGCCTGTCCGCTCGAGGTAGCCGGTGGCGTAGTATTCTCTTTGTCCTTTTTGATTGTTGCTGACAAGTCCTTGCTTGAGCGATTTAGTTTGGCGAATACAGCTGCGAGGTTGGTTGAAGACTTGGACTTCATCACTGCATCTGGCCCATCTCGAGTCTTCGTAGCCACCTTCACACCCTCAACCTCCTTGCTAGCTTTATTAGCTGTGACACCTCGTCGCCCACTCTTAGACAGCGACGACGATGGAGACTGCACGTTGTTCTGCAGTTCGCCCAGCGGTCTGCTCTTAGCAGCATGTGGATGATCCGGCGGCAGCAACGGCACTGACTTTGTTCTCACTGCTGCTCTACGCTTAGCAGGCTCTGGAGACGATGGTCTTGACTTCGAAGCGACGAGGGATCGGAGAAGGTTGGGCTTTGAGGATGCGTTGCGCTGATAGCTTGGTCTCTGCTGCGTTTGTGTAGCGTTAGTGTCCATATTGCTTTCATTCGTGACTGCATGTAGATGCTGTATGATGACGGATCTATAGCAATGGACTTATAGAAAGCATGGCGCAACCAATGTCTCAGGTTCATGAAGTTGAAGGGTCGACGCGGCATTGTTTACCGAGGCGGTCGACATGGCAACGGACATCAGTCCCGATCACCGTTCGATATGAGTTCTATGTTCGCCATGTATTCGCATCCATGCGCGCAATTTTCCATACTTGACATCGAATACCTTCGCTCGACCACTCGCAGTCATATGACATTTACAGGAAGCACGATGTATTGCTCGAATTGTTCCAGGCCTATTGATGGTATGATCGTCGCTGCAGACGTCATGCTAAAGCTTCACTTGTGTAGAAGTGAGTATCAATATCATCCAGCTTCGTTCTTCTCACTTCTTCTCTCGAACAATTGTATTCTTCTCAGCATCTTAAAAAACAAGATGTCATCTCCCACAGCAGTCTTCCGTCAAGGCGCGAATGCGCTCATCACAGGTGCGGCGTCCGGCGTAGGACTGGCCGTTGCGAAACTATGCGCATCCCACTCAATGAACGTGATACTGGTCGACAATAATACCTCTAAACTCGACGAGGCAAAATCGTCTTTGAAAGATGGCAAGGGCAGCGTGGAGTCTCACTCAATGGACGTTGCCTCCATCTCCGACTGGTCCAACCTAAAGTCAGAGGTTGAGAAGGGCGGCAGGAAGCTCGACTTCTTGCACTTGAATGCAGGCATTGGACTGAACAGTGACTGGACCGACAATGCTTACTTCCACAAGATCTTTGATGTCAGTAAGTAGACGCTTGGATTGGAAAGGCAGCAGCTCGTCACCGTCTATACTAATGTACGAACAAGACTTCTTCGGTGTGATAAACGGCATCAACACCTTCTACCCCCACTTCACCAACAACAATAGCCAGCAGAAAGCCATCATAGTCACCGGGTCGAAACAAGGCATCACGAACCCACCTGGCAACCCGGCCTACAACGCCTCCAAATCCGCCGTGAAAACCATCACCGAAGGCCTATCCTTCGACCTTTACAAAACATCACCCAAAACCTCCGTCCACCTGCTCGTTCCGGGCTGGACTTTTACAGGTCTCACGGGCGGAGGTGGCACGAAGGAGAAGCCTGCTGGAGCGTGGACGGCGGAGCAAGTCGCTGAGACGCTGTACGAGGAGATGGGAGAGGGCCAGTTCTACATCATTTGTCCAGATAATGATGTGAACTGGGAGCTGGATAGTAAGCGGATGTTGTATGGCGCGAGGGAACTGGTGGACCGGAAGAAGCAGCCTGTCCCACCACTTAGTCGGTGGAGGGACGATTGGAAGGATAAGGCGGCGGAGATGATTAAAAATATGAAGACTGATGCGTGAGCGGGGTCGGTCACGACTGAAGCGATGATAGTGCAGTGGAACAGATAGTTCCTAGTGTAAATAGTTGGATCTTTCTGGTTGTGGTGATAGAGATGCGGACGGGGAGACTGACGCAGTCTGCCACTGAGGTGAGAAACGACAAGACATACTTCAAGCTATGTACATCAAGCGTCCTATGATCACACCGATAATGCCACCACGCCGCTCAATCAGGTACACAAGCGTATTCCGATTGAGTGCAACTTCTTCCGCGTCTAGCCTGTCTGCCGGATGGCTCAGCAGTCCAGGTTGAAACAATGAAACCTGCTTAGCAGCTGTTAAGCCGTTTCGCTCGTGCTTGAACGCGAGCAAGGCCATAAGACCAAGCAGGTACAGCAGTACCCTCCTATTGGGCCCCGGCAGACTCAATATCTGGTCCGCGTACTCCTCGCTCAATTCTGCGTGAGGTAACGGGAGCCTGAAATCTCTTCATTGACGCATGGGAAGGCGAAATTGCTCGTACATACTCCATGGAACAACCGGCTCTGGCAACTCGGTGAGGTATAGTGACAGCAGGTTCGCAGCATCCTTGATGCAATACGCCTTCCAATCTACATTCTTGCCGTACTTTGGCGGAGACTCAAATTTCGATCGCAATCCCTGGAGACGTTCGGGACAGCTTGCAGTCTCGAACAAACCTACTTCTTCTTGGCCTTTCTGCTTCAAGAAAGAGCCACATTTGGTGATGATGATGGGGAGGTCGGGAGTGAAAAGGAAAGCTTGAGCGTATGTTGCGGTGAACGTCTCGAGCGGTATACCGAAGACCCTACCCTCGGCAGTATGTCCAACACCATGGGGCACCGGGGGATGATTGCCCTTAGGAGGACGTTCTCCAATAGTATCGTTGAAACCAAGGCGATGAGCTGCGCTTCGCTAGAGGCAACCTGTTAGTTCTTGCCGTCTGCTGCTCTTCATATTCTTGAGCGGTGGATCTCGGTTCTATCACAAAGCGGTACATCTCCAGATTTGATATCTCTGCTGCGTAAATCGGTATGGCGTAGAGAGAGATACTGGAGATTTCGCCGAGGGTCAGCGACGAACTGATCGAGAAAGCAAGTGTACTCCGTGCTCCGCTCATGGTTCGTAAGCATCTGTCTCAACGTGGCGGTAGACGCAAGACTTGTGAACTTGCTCTTCAAATGTAGACATGGTGGGTAGATCGAGTCTTTGGTCTTCTTCGTCATTGACAGCTGGCTCAAGTAACACTGCAACAATGGACGTGTCCTGGTCGCTCAGCCTCCGGACTGTAGCGATCGCTGGCGTATCAGACGCGTCGCCAGGATCTCCTCCAGTGTCGGGCGTGGGCGCCGTTACCTTTGTGGACGAGTTGTGCATTAGGTACAAATGCTCCATGTTTCGCAATCGCATGGAAAGCCTCCGGTTGGCGCGCAGCAATCTGTCGACGTTGTCACATAAGCGATCCGTGTTCCGCTCTGCTTCGCTCAGCGTTGCGCTTTAAGATCACAGCTTATCGATTGGTAATCTGAACAGTGCTGGATCCTTACCATTGCAGAATGCTAAGCATGAGTGCCAGACTAAGCTTGTGGTTTTGCAGTCTCTGTACGATCTTCTCAACGTGACTCTCTTCCATAAGCCATTTAGCGCGATCCCATGCACGAAGTATATCAACCCTCAAAGACCGAACAACCACGTCCGGGTCGGAGAAGGTTAATAGGCAGCCGGTCAGTGTAGCTGTCACCTGCTCTACAGTGATGCACGATAGTCTATCGGTTGACACCCGGGCTGTGCCGTCGAGGTACTTTTGAAGCCCTTTCAGGATACCGGTGACACTGCCAACTCAGTTGCTGTTGCACTAGCGAGCCTGGGGGCATGCTTAACTGAGGAGATGAAGCCGTTAAGGAGCTTGACCATTGCTATGCCGCCATTGATCAGGCCGACTATAGCAGTCGCAACGGAAAGTGGCTCAGGCATGTCTTGAAACACCTTTCAATTATAAATCAATCCTTGATGTCGTCTTGACCTTTTATGGGGTATTGGAGTGGTTTGAACGATCGAGAAAGGAGGTGATCAGGGGAGGCATAGCCTCGTCCAGCCTGGTTACTGCTGAAGCGATGAGCCGCAGCATGCGCCACCGTGCAGCCTACTGCCCCAAGGCCGTTCTTCAGAAAGTCGAACTCCGTACCTTTGTCGCACTAATTCATCCGTTCGACGGAAGTCGGAAGTCGGTGGTTGGAAGTGTTGCAGGGTTGCGAAGGCGGGCACGTCGCCGTACGTCATCCGTGCCTAGAGCAAGCAGTAGGAATGCTCCAAAACTAGTATATAAGGTACCAAAGCAAAAACTCAACAGTCCGATTCGAATGTAGGGAGCCCACGAGGTTCGTTGTGCGTATATACATCGTAACTCATCAAAAGTAAATGGGTATCATAACAATCTTCGCGGCAGAACCAAAGCACCAAACATGTGCAGCAGAACAACAAACACACCCATCCCTAACCAGCTCACGGCACTCCGAGCTCCCTCCGACGGCGCCACGATCAACACAGTTCCGCAATCCCCTCTCGCCGTCGTCGGCACATTGACCCCAACCTCGGTATACGTCGCGCAGTACTGCCCATAGTATATCTGAGTCGTCGTCTGCGGCGTCGTAACCGCCGGATACACCGTCGTCGCTTGTTGCACTGTCACCACACCAGCACCATAGACTGTTGTCGCTTGGGGCTGGGTGTAGACTGTCGTCGGCTGCACGTATGTGGTGTAGTATTGTGTTGTGGAGAGCGGTGCGTAGCCGTTCGCGCCGCCTATTGCGCCGGAGCATTGGACGCCGTTCGGACAGCAGGCGACGTAGTTGTTGTTGTTTGAGCAGACGTTGTTTGAGGGGCAGCAGCTGCGATGGACTCGTCAGTGTGTTGCCATTGCTATAACGAGCCTGGTGGAGTCCTACTAGTTTGGGTTGATGTTGTTGCATTGTATAGGGTAGCCTGCTGGACACACAGCCGGAACTGCAGGCGAGCCGGTCTGCTGCGAGATGACCGAAACTGCGCCAGAGAAGTAGTAGACTGTCTGCGCGCTGACAATCCTCAGTGCTGCTGGCAATGCGATCAGACTCAGCAAAGCTCGTCGTCGCACTGCAGCTGCGCGGGCCATAATGTGGGGTGGCTGGAGATGAGATGGAAGGTGAAGGTGCAGGATGCGCTGTAAGCTGTTCAGTAAAGTGTGGTCTCCGAGAACGCAGACTAAGTGGTCGCGCAGCAGTGATGAGATGCGCATGCAGAGCGAGAGGAGATAGCAGTGAGCCCGGGTTAAACCTGCCGTACAAGCCTGCATGCTGGGAGGAGGTAGCAAGCTTCCAAGCTCTGGCCTACCCAGCCTCGTCTCGCCAGACTTGACCCTACGGCTCCGAGCCGTATCCTGTGTTCTCTTAACCCTTCTTTTCTTGAGAGCACCATTGTGGAGTGTTGACAGTCAATAATAAAGCGCATGGCAACGAGCGAGACGATCGTCGACACGATCTGAAGCGCCCCACTTGCGCCGCGAGCCTTGGTATGGCGTGCATTAGCGCTTTCGCTTAGTCAAATGTGATCGCCTTGAAACGAGATCAGAAAATCACCGTGTTTTGTCCAACGACGACGTTCGAGAGAAATATACCATTGTCTAAAGAGCGTTGGCCAAGCGAACTCCGGCAGTCTGCACGTCCAGCATTAGCTGTCCGAACGAACACACGGAGCTTGTCTGGTCAATTTCTGTACGTAGGGCGGAGGACGAGTTGCTCATGGCCGTGCAAGAAGAGAACAATAACTTCGCTGAACGCCCTAAGACCGTAAGGCTATAAAGAAGGATCAAGTCTTGTCCAGGCCGCCGAGAGAAGTTGACCACTCGCTCGCCATATGTTGTCCTTCTCCTTCGAGCTTCAAGAAATTTTTTGGCAGCATTGGTGCATCTCATATTCTTACTATCATCGCATTGTAGTTGCATTTGAAAAGGCATGAGCACCCGCAAGCGTCTGAGCTTCAATGTGAAGCTCAACACGACGGGTGACACGATCACCATCCACATCTCAGATCCATCAAACCTGCAGGCCGATAACTTAGCACTCGCCACCTGGGGCTCTTCGGAAGTGCTGGCTAACACCTTGCACCGCCTGCCCACTCCCGACTTCGCGGGTACCGGGGCCATTGCAGGCCTAGGCTCGGTCCTCGAATTGGGAGCAGGGACGGGGCTTGTCGGCCTGAGTGCGGCTGCCATTTGGAGGGTCTGGGTCACTTTGACGGATCTCGAACCGATACTGCCGAATATCAAAGCCAACATCGAGCTCAACCGAGCTGTTATCAGAGGCTACGGCGGCTCGGCAGCATGCGGTATGCTGGACTGGGCACGACCGGATCTACTTACATTCTTCGTACCGGAGCACGAAAGTCAACTCACTGCCGATGCAAGCGGAGAGTGGAAGCCTTGGAAGTTCCGTGTTGTGTTAGCAGCAGATACTGTTTACAGCGAAGAGCATCCTGAGCTTCTGACTAAAGCGGTGACTGCGCGGCTTGAGCGTTCGCCGAAGGCGAGGTTCATCATGTGCTATCCTTTACGCATCGGATATTTGGATCATATTCGTGATCTGTGGGAACGCCTTGAGCTTGCAGGGCTGGGGTGTATGCAGGAAGGACGGGAGTCGCTTCACGAAGAATGGGACGAAGACACGCCGTACGAGTGGTGCGTTTGGCGCTGGCGCGGAGACATATGAGAAGCTCCGACGTGAGGCGAGGACTGTTTGCCGCTGCTTCTGTGGGCACAGATCTTAGTTTGCAAAATGATCTCTAACCGGTCAAACGGGCTGTGAGCACTACGAGCAGCATACACAGGTCATACGTTGTGGTGTAGGAGCAATATGTGGCCGCCGTACTCACGCACTTCCTACCCTACGACTAACTGCAACGTAATGCCTGCACAGTCGTCAACAACCGACCCACCCCGAACACCCGGCTTTGTCTACATCCTCGGCTTCTCACAACACCATTTCAACGCACATTTCAAAGCGCACAGCAACATGTCGGACGCCATCATCGCGGCATGGCAACCCTTGGTATTCGCTGGTTGATCCAGCCTACGGTACGCCGCTTTCGACAATTCATCCCCTGGATGAGAGCGACGCTTTGTACCTACAGATGGTGTTGATCAGTGACCAGGCTAGATACACTGGAGCTTACTGAACGTATCGTTGGCACAAGATGACCGTGCAGCGACTGTTTGTTGAACCGACAGCAGGGGCGAAGCCTGACTGCGAGCGTAAAGAGGGTTATGTCGCTCTAGTTTGACCATGACAAACAGCGTACGATCCCTAGTCTTCACCACGGCGCAACATCTACACAGAGAACTGACAGCAATCGATCATGGCAGCAGAAGCAATCGCAGGGCTGCACACTCAAGGAGGCGCAGACCTTCCGTCGCCAACCCTTGCAGACCTCTTAGCTCATCCGTAACTCAATGGCGCTGCCTCCCCCAACTCCACCCCGAACCGCAATCCACGTTGTCAGCTTGATCAACGAGCACACCAACATGCCACTCGAAGCATACCTGGACCAGTTGAAGCGAACGAAGCCGCACAGCGAGCATGGGAGGCTCACATACCTGCCGAATATGGCGAACCGGTGACTGAGCCTCATCCAGCAGAGGAAGATCTGGTGCCACACCGCGTCACAAGGTTGACGTCCGGCATGCCATTCCACGAGGGCGAACACACGCGGCAGGAGATCGTCGTGGACCGGATCTACCTTCACCTACATGGAGACTAGGGGCTGCAGAGCGTGAGACAAAGGCAAGCTTTGTCGCTTACGATTCGTGCTTGTACTACATTATACAGAATGTACATCCATCTCTACATGCATATATACATTCACATGTCCATATCCCATGCACTTTAGCTGCGTAAAGCAACCGTGGTATCTGTCCCAGCCCATGCAACGCCTCGCTCAAACGCACACACAGAGATCCAAAACCCACCCATATCCAAGAAGTAGCGTTTAGGCCAAAGCCTATATCCATCCACCCCTGAGAACTTCTCTCCCAACAACCTCCACCTGACCATGCGCACTTGTCCGCCGCCTCTCCATAATCCACTTCGGCACTACACTCCCCGCCGGATCCTCCGCCTTCGCATTCGTCACGGCGTCATTCGCCTTGCCTGAGTGGGAAGATGAAAGTAAACTCCCACTCATCGTCTTCGGCGACGAGACATTGCTCGTGGTTGCAGCAGGTTCCGGTGACGTAGGCGGTGCTCTTCGGGGCGTCATCTCCGCATCTTCCACCGCATCCTTCTTGCTAAACGGGAACTGCCCGCTCGAAGTGGCGGAGTGCGGACTATCGTGGAACTGCAATCGCTGCGGACTGTCGAACTGGCTCGACGAAAGCGGATGGGTGCTTGACGGGACGCTCGACACCGTACTCTCCGAACCCCAACCCAGCGTCATCGGCGCCCCTCCCACAGGGTTGAAGGTGTTCTGCACCGTAAGACCTGGGGACTTCGCGCTCGCCGGGCTGTCAGACGTCCATGTCCACGCATGAGCCGGCGTACCTTTGGCCACATCTTTGTCGCTGGCGGGGCTACCGCTGCTCCCACCTCCAAAAGCCGAAGCGCGCAGCTTCCTCAACTGCTCAAAGCTCGCGACTTCATTCTCCTTCAACGGTGACCTCGCCAGCGCCAGTGCCGGGCTCGAACTGCCATGTCCATGCAAGCCAGCACTCGGCAGGCCGAACGCAGCCCCATGTCCTAGGTTGACAAACGAGTTCCGCGTGCTGAACTCACTCCGCTCAGTGATGGGTGTCAGATTCGGCTCCTTCAGGCTCTTGTTCCGCGCCAACCCATCATCCCCGTCGTCACCAAAGAACCCGCCATTCACTGCCTCTACCTCACTCGAGCTCGGACGAGCTTTGGCAAAGAAGCCAAATTCTTGCCCGTAAAAGGCGGCGTCTTCGCTCATGAGCGCTTCCGCATTGGCGGCAGCGACGATGTCATCGTCTTCGGCGAAGTCATCTTGGACCGTATCTTCTTCGACACCCGTAGAGAGATCATCGAAGCCGAAGTCGAAACTCATCTTGGGTAAATCGAGGCTCATCTTCGGCGGAGGGCTGTAATTCGTGTCGTGATCCATTTTCGAGCCCGTTGATTCGTCCGAAGGCCCACGATCTAGATTCGGCCTTCCATCATCTGGCACGCCCAGATGGTTGTTCTCATCCCGGGAATACTCACTCCGATCATCCCTCCCTCCCCTTTCATCCACCTCCTGCATAGCTTTCGAAGCGGAGTACACACTCACACTCCTTGTCGTAGACAAACTCGGCTGCCTCCAAAACCTTCCCTCACTAGCAGCCTTGTTCGCCGCCTCCGCAAGCGCAGCATGATATGCCTGCAAATTCGCCTGCATCTGCAGCATGGCCTCCTTACTCCCCGTAGGCGGAGGTAGCGGAGGCACTTTGTCGCTCAAACCTAACCGCTTAGCGTCCTCGGACGGGTTGCGCTGCGGGATGAGCTTCGGGTCGACAGGACCGGTCAATAAGGGTAGATCTTCAAGCAGCATCTGCGACTGCCGTTGACGGATCTTCATCGGATTCCCGCCCATTGCAAAGGAAGGGTATGGTCCATCGCTGCCAATGCTGGTGACAGTCATGGCGCTCGCAACACGTTCGCCATCGTGGCTTCTGTGCCGGCCGAAGCCCTTGTTCACGCGGTTCAGGAAGGCATCGTTATCGAACTCCTCTTCGTCCACGCTATCACGTCGTCCGTGATGGAATTCGTCATCAATGTCTTCCTCGAACCCACCGTCGTCGTAGTAAATGTCATCTTTCGGCTCGTTGACGGACGTCGGCTTGCCGTTGACCGAAGGAGAAGCGTGCGGATCGCGACCACCAATCGCCCTCTTAACCCCACCGCTCCCCTCCGGACTCGAGAGATACGAACTCGCTCCTCCCTGCGAACCCTGCGTTCCGCCCGAGTGATGCTTGATCTTATCCGCCCACCCAGCATGTGCGGGCATCGTCTCGCTATCCTTCGACTGATGCTTGACCTTATCCGCCCACCCCGCATGCGCCGGCATCGTCTCGCTATCCTTCGTCAACCGGTTCGAGTTCGCATTCTTTCCCACATCCTCAGTCTCCGCCGAAGTGGACCTCGTAGCATTGGCCTGCGCATTCGCATCTTCGCTGAAGTTGAAGTCACTGAACCCGCTCAACCCAAGGCCACTGTCATTCGTCCTGTCCCCAGACGACCTACTGCCATTACCCACAGTAGACTGGCTGGTAACACGCGCCTGCTCCGATTTGCGGCTTTCCGGCCTTGCTGCCACAGGACCCGAACCAGAAGCAAAGCTCATCCCACTAGCGACCCGGTTCCGTTCGCTATTCCCACTCTCTCTATGCGGCAGCGCCGGCCTCTCATTTCTCGGGCTGGGAGTGGTCGTAGGCGAATACCCAGCCGCTTGCGGTTGCATGTAGAAGCCACTTCTCGGCCTCGCTCCACCGACACCGCCCGGTACGCTCTCAGTAGCGGAGAAACCGTCCTGGACGAACGCCGCGTTCGCATGATTGGGGCTGAGCAGAGTAGTATTTCCCATCAATGCGGACCCCTCGCTCTCCTCCCTCCGGTTCTCCTGAGTACTACTACCAGTCGCTGGTGCCATGAAGCCATAACTCGTAATCCTCCGATGCTCAGGCGACTGCGCAGCACTATGACCCTTACTCCCGCCCCGACTACTCTGCTCTGGAGTGGCACCAGCGCTCGTGGGACCAAATCCATAGCTCGTTCGTAACCGATTTTGCTCAGGCGACTGCACGGCACTGCCAAGGTTACTATTACTAGCACTCGTCGTCTGACTCGCCGTTCGATAATGATTCGCCATAGCCGAATGCGCGCGCATGACTGGGTGCTCGTACCAGGGTAACTCGCGCTCGTCCATGAGTTGGTCTTCTTCTTCGGCGCTATAGGTGCTCTCATCGTCATCATCGTCGTCGTCTGAGACATCGGCGCGAAGTTGTCGGCGCGCGTGTTGCAGATGCAGTAATTCCCGTGAGTAAGCTTGCGCTTTCACTTCTTGCTTCGGCACATCCACATCCACCTCTTCGTCTTCCTCCTCCTCCTCCTCCTCCTCCTCCTCCTCTTCCTCTTCAACCTCCTCTTCTTCTTCCCTCGGCCTCTCCATCTCAAGCTCATCCAAATCATCAATAGCACTCTCATCAAACAACTCCTCCTCCTCTTCCTCCTCCGCCGCTCCCGCTCTCGCACCCCCGCTCCCTCTCACACCCCCAACGCCACCACTATACGCAGACTCCAAACTCTGCCCCTTAATCTTCCGATGCTTCTCCTCCAACGCCTGCTCCTCCTCCGCGCTCTCGCCAAACTGAAAGCTAAACCGACTTGCATTGCTGACGCGGTGTTTCGGCATTGCTGTCGTCGCACCGCCACCTCCAACACTCTTATCCAAACTCCCACCACTACCCGGCCGAGCAGGCGTAGCAGTAAGGGCAGAAGTAGAAGGACTCGTAGGAGTAGACCCCCTCTTCGCATGCCCCACAGCCGACGCCTTCCTCTCCACCAGCCTCGGCGTCCCATTGACCTGCCTCCCACTTCCCACACGCACCGAATTCGCCGTGCGGATCTCGGGAGTGAGTTCGGGAGTCGTATAATCGGAGTTACGTCCTGGCATCGAGATCGTCAGGGAAGAGGCAGAGCCTCGCTGTGAAAGAGAAGTCGGTGCGGGCACGGCTAGACTTCCGCCGTCTGGTGTTAGGGAGGAAGTACGATCCGGGATCGGTATCCGCAACGCCTCGGACGCCTGTACGCTGGATCGATTGGGCAGTATGACGACTTCGGGAGCCATGGCCGAGTTCCGGTAGGAACTGCGTATGCTCGGCACAGCAGGGAAGATGGGGTCTTCCGAGTGATCTTCCACCACCGCCGCCGGCGGCTCGACAATAGCCGGTTGCGACGGCAGGAAGTTCGACATCGGAGTCGAAAGGGAAGTAGACGCAGAAGCAGGCCTAGCCGTTCCCGAAGCCTCATTGAACGTCCTAGCCCCACCTCTCGGATCCGGCGACGTAGGCGCAGTCCTGATCTGCAAGTCGGAGGAGAATGTCGAGAACGGCCGGAAGCCAGCTGGTTCGGAAGTAGCAGGCGAGACGGGACTGAACTTGCCGCCTCCCACACCATCACCCTGAGGATGACTCCCTCTCAGATCGAGAACCTGCCCCTTCCGCCTCGAACTGACAATAGGTGAAACGTTTTCACTGACGGAAGTAGGTAGCGAATCCCTCTCCCGCTCCCTCTCTTTTCCACCACCGCCGCCGCCACTGCCAGAACTCGGGTCACTACTCCGATTCGAGTACCCGTCATCCTGATGATACAACCCCGCTTGGCTGGTGAGATCGAGCGTCTGACTCTGACCCTGACTCCTCCGCGCAAACGGAGGTAACACACCGCTCTCCTGCGATAACCCGCTATTGGACGACTGATGCGAGACGCGCTGCAGAAATTGTCGGTTCTCCAGTCTTTCGGCGTTGAGAGAGCCGATGCGGTCATCGTCGTCCTCTTCTTCGGCCAGGTGTTCGCGGAAAACGGGGGAGTGCGTTTGCGTATGCGCCACCGTATTCGTGCTGAGGCGCGTGTGGCTGGAAGTGTCATCGCTTGTGTGTCTATTGTTAGTTCCGTTCATCTGGCGTGGTATTTCACCCTGCTCATATCCCAGCTCCCCCGGCGCCGTCACCGCAGCAGCAGCAATCGACTGTCCCTGCGAATCGCGAGTGAGTAGTTCTCCTTCATTGTACGAAAACCCCCTCCTCGCGGTACCCCTCGGCGCACTAAAATCATGCACCACTTTCCCCCTTATCCTCGGGTCGAAATCCTCCGGCATCTTGTTCACCCCGACAGCAGCGACACTCTTCTGCCGTGCGTACGCTTGAGCCGCTTCGGACCGTTCGGCCGCAAGAGTCACTTCGCTGGTGGTGTTGTCTTGGCCGGATTTGCGGCGGGAGAGGATGTGCATTGGCTTCAACAGGCGGGTCTTGCGTTTGTCCGTCTTTTCTGGGGTGTTGTTGTCGTGTTGCTGTTTCTGTTTGGAGGACGCAGAGGTGGTGTGATGCGTGGGCACACTAACCCCCGCCACTGTGGCCGTTGCGCCGGCTGTCTTAGGTCGGACGGAAACATGCTTCGGTAGGGGGTAGGAGGATGAGGTTTCTTGGTATGGTGTTCCGATTGTGCTGTGCAGGGTGGATGTTGAGGGACCGTCGTGGAGGGTTACTGGGACATGTGTTCTTGCAGCGGAAGATTGTGGGCTTGCGCGGATGGTTGAGCCACTGTAGTCTGTCGCTGCCGGTGTAGCAGGCGCGGTCGCCGTCGTAGTCGTTGTAGCCGTCGTGACCGCAGTACCGCTTGTCATTGACCTTTGCAGTGGCGGTGGGGCGGAGAATGTCGTACTCGTCGGACTCCTCAACGGTGGCGGTTGTGCAGAGAAGGTGGTGCTCGTCGGACTCCTCAACGCCGGCGCAGGAGCAGAGAATGTCGTACTCGTCGGACTCCTCAACGGTGGCGGTTGTGCAGAGAAGGTGGTGCTCGTCGGACTCCTCAACGCCGGCGCATGAGCAGAGAACGTCGTGCTCGTCGGACTCCTCAACGCCGGCGCCGTCGTCCCAAACGTCCCACTCGTCGGACTCCTCAACCCCACTCCTCCCCCCGCCGTCATCACAGAAGCAGAAAAAGTACTCCCCGTCGGACTGCCCAACCCCAGTCCTCCCATGCCCTCCCGCGGCGCCACCCTCAAATCCTCAACCGAAGCACTAGGACTCAACCGCGCGCCACTGATCCTCGGCGGCGCACGCAGCGATGCCGCATCCGCCGACGACGGCGACGGCGGGCGGAAGGAGACGGGGGGATCTTGATCGGAGTAGAAATTGCCGTAGCCCGTTGGCGAAGTGACCGGGGGGAGGTCGGGCATGGGCGTGCTGAGGCTGGGGAGGAAGGGGAGGCTGGCGCTGCTATGGAGTTGGATGGGTGGGGGTCGTGAGGTAGATGTTGTTGTGGTTGTGTTGGTGGTGTTGGTGGTGGTGAGGGTGGGTAAGGTGGGTAGGGTGGAGTAAGTATAAGGCCTATCCCTACTATCCACAAATGCGCGCGACATGGGTATGCTCGGTGACGATGAGGATGATGCTGTCGCTGTGGCTATGGTGGAGGAGTCGGTGCGGGGCGGGAAGAGTGAGGCTTCCATTTTCGGCGTCGAGCCTCCGGAAGTTGAAGGGCGGCCGTAGGAGGGTGCAGCGCTGGAGCGTGTGGCACTCGGTGGCGGCATCAAGTCGACGGGGTGGTGGTGTTGGTATGGTTGCTCGAAGCTGGATTGCGGCCGCACGTGGCTCCGTTTGCTGCTTAGGCTCAGCCCGCTCACGCTTATGGCGTCGCTGTTGTCGATTTTTGATTTCCGGTGGGTGCTTGTTCCGCTGACGCTGACACTATCGCTGTCGACCTTTGACTTGCGGTCCGCCGTCGTTGGGTCCACAGGTTTGGGCGGCTCCTGCGAACTCAGACTCGTGGAGCTGGCGTTACTGCTCGCCACCCTCGGGATGGGAGGGAGGACGGGTGGCTGCAAACTCGGCGAGCTGACGAACGTGCTCTTCCTGGTACTCGCGGTCGAGAGCGCGCCGTCGCTCGTCCGCGGTCGTACCGAGCCGAAATAGCTCTCCTCGCTGCCACGCAAGACGGAGTCGGCCAGGGATGAAGTGTTCGGCTGTTCCAGTTCGAAGTCGAAGGTCATCTGCAGCGGGCTGACGAGTGGTGCTGGCGGTGGGAATGTCGCGGACGCGGGCGGGGTGGGTAGGGGTGGGACGGGCGGAGGGGGTGTTGGCAACGCGGGCTCCCTTACGGCATTGGCGGCGGCGGCGGCGGCGGCGGCAGCAGCAAGTCTCTTCGCCTCGGCCTTCTTCGCTGCAGCGAGCGCGACGGGGCCGGGGGGTAGAGTGTGGGAGGCGCTGCGCTCGCGCTCCTGTTTGCGCGACTTGGAGAACATGTTCGCGGTCGCGACTATGTCGTGTCGCGTTGAGTGTCAGATTGCCGGGTGCCTTTCCAGGTCTAACTTGTTATTCCTTATGGAGCCATTGTGTATCGATCTCCCGTTCCAGATCTAATCCACCTCTATTACTGTCCCCAAGTGCAACACACCGCGTGCTTCTTTTGCGTATACGTTCCAAAGTCGACCCCTCCTGTCGTGTCTGCGGTCAATCTCCACCAACTTTCTCCCGTCCGGCGTAGATTAGGTTAAGCAATTCAGGATCCCCACTCTTACTACTGTAGTACGCATACACCTTGTAAAAGGACAGACGCGCGAAAGAATAGTATAACAGCAAAGAAGTGAGTAAGTCGGTTGTTCACACGTAACAGTTGTTACTACAGTAGGCGATTGGGAGACGCTTGGCAGCAAATTAGGGAGGTGGTGGTGGAAATCTATCTTTATCGGTTTTGCGTGCGGGTCGGGTGTGGCTTGATTTGAGTCGAGGAACCGCTGCAGCGGGACGGCCGAGGTGGGGATGGGATGTGCAAGCGAGGGGAAGACATTGCCATGGGGGGGCCAGCACTAGCTGGACCTGACTCGAGTCAACGTACGACAAGAGAAGAATTGGACTGAGTTGAAGAGATACAACACATTGGTTGTGCACATTGTGAGTCTCGATTGGGAAGGCACACAGTGGTATAGAAGAGGGCGAGTTGTAGTTACAGTGGTAGGGCTGAGGGCATAAGGAGCTCGGCGAGGAGCGACGCAAGCACATACCAAGGCTCGCCAAGTTCTTGACCGCGACGAGGGATAAGACAAGATATAGGGCCAGTAGGTGGTTGCAGTGTAGGGTGTCAGACATAGCATGCGACGATACAAGAGAGAAGGATATAGTTCGCAATGGCACCGTCGATAGTGCACCTCCCCAACGGCCAGACCTTAACCGTCACCCCCGTCTTCGGCGGCATCCAATTCCGCGCCAACGACCTCAACACCCACCACAACGCCTTCCCCCCCGGCTGGACCATCGTGATCAACAGCGAAGATGACGAGGATGACCACGTACCGATGCCGTCAATGGCAGCACATACTCACGCCGACCCCGATGCGACACCGCGAGCCGAACAACCCGCACCACCGCAGCAGAAAAAACAACACCACATCCACCGCTTCCGCAAACCGAGCCTGCGCAACGACCACATGTTCATCTCCTCCATCTCCTACCCTCCCACCTCCGACTTCCGCCCGGCCACAAGCGCCACCCGGCAGATAGCCATGATGCTCTGGGCGACGCTGTGGTGGTACTTCCACCAACCCCGACCCGCACCTTACCTCCTCACCCCCGCCAGCGCGCAGACCCCGGAAGAGGGCCGACCAAAAGCCGACTGGCGCGTCAATGTCAACCGGGAGGGGATCTTCAAGGGCAAACATCTCCTCCCCAAACTGGAACGGATGGGTTTGATCGCCTCCGAGGACTCGAGTGTAGGTCTCGATCCCGACGACGGCGTGACGAGTACGGGCGAAGCATGGACCCGCATGTTCGTCTCCCAACGCACCTTCTGGCAACTCGATGCACGAATCTACCTCTTCACCATCGCCCCGCAACCGGGCAACTCCCCCTACCCCTCCGTCAGCGTCAGTCCCGCTCACAGTCGTCCCTCCAGTCCCAGCCGTAACAGCAACACCACTGGCACCGGCGAGGCCATCAACACCATCAGCTCCTCCGCCGGACTAGGCTTGCAGGCGGGCTCCGCAGTCCCCTCCCACCTCACCCGCAGTGTGAACACGCCCACCGCGCCACCCGGTCCATTCACGTCCAGCTCGCATCTCCCGACTTTCTACCCGCCTCCGCCACCTCAGTTCACTTTTACGAACGGAATCCGGCATCCCATCCGGCCTAAGCCGCCGAGGCAGGGTGAGACGTTTTATACCCGCTACATCCCTAGCTTGGGACAGTACCTCAGTTTCCGCGTCGCTTCACTCTCCAAAACGGCGTGTCCGTACCGCGGACCTACTTCGGAGAACCCGACAGCAGCGGCGGCGGCGGGGACGCGGGAGAGTCTAAGGAGTAGTGGGACGAGCTTTTCCGATTCCGCCGTGCCGACTCTGACCGCTACTTCCCTCACCCCGAGCCCGAGCCCGAACCCGAACCCGAACGCACAGGACTCCGACCCAACCTCCACGTCGAACATGACCGACGTCGAGCTCCTGCACAAATGGATGAACGACCCCCGCGTCTCGCACTCCTGGGGCGAGCACGGTCCCATCGCGCACCAAGAAGCCTTTCTCAAACACAACCTCGCGAGTCGGCATTCCATCCCAGTAATCGGATGTTTCGACGGCCATCCCTTCGGGTACTTCGAAATCTACTGGGTCAAGGAGGATCGACTCAGCGCTCACCTCGGTAATAGTGGTAACAGTGGTGGGGGGTGCGGCGACTGGGATCGGGGATTGCACGTTCTCGTCGGCGAGCAGGAGTTTCGCGGCCAGCATCGAGTGAGGGTTTGGTTGAGCGGGTTGGTGCATTATTGTTGGTTGGCCGACCTGAGGACGGGCGGGGTGTTGATGGAGCCGAGGGTGGATAATGGGAAGTTGAGGCGGTATTGTGAGGATGTCGGCTTTTATCGCGAGAAGGAGGTCGCTTTCCCCCATAAGCAGAGTAATTTGATGAGGATTCAGCGGGAGGCGTGGGAGGCGCCGGCGCTGTGAGGGATGGGACGGGATGGGTATTAGGTGCTTGATTCTCGAATCTCTCGACCCTCGACTCTCTCGACTCTCTCGACTCTTTCCGGCACATCGGCATTCTGGAGGCGCACACACCTCGCTCTTCCGCATCACGCCCGCCTGTCCGGTCTCGAACGACACCATGACGCGCCGCGGTCGCGCGCCATGCTCGCATGCATAGCCCTCGTAGCACCACGAGGTTCAGCCACTCTTCGCAGCCGCAGTTCCGGAAACCACCACCTGCCCGCTACCACTTCACTGCTCCGCAGCGACCTTCTTCCTCCTCTCGGGGAACGCGTTATACTTCTCCAACACCCTCTCAAACGAATCCAACCCCGCCTTGAGATGATCCATCCGCGGTCCATAACTCACCCTTACGAAATGATGACACGGACTGTCAAACAAGTCCCTCCTCCTGCTCGGATTGAGATCGAAAAAGATCCCCGGGACAACGATACACTTCTCCTCCAAACACGCCTGGAAGAAGTTCAATCCATCATTGATCTCTTCCGGCAGCTGTTCGAGATCCAGCCAGAGGTAAAAGGTGGAATCCGGTTTGTACGCGAATTCGAAACCCATCTTCTCCAGCCGGCCGACGACGTAGTCCCGTTTATCGCGGAAGTGGCGCTGGAGCGCTTGCATCTCATTGCGGACTTTTGTCGGCTCGAGCATCGGTATCGCTGCCTGCTGGAACGGGACGTTCGTTCCACCATCCAAGTACGAACCACACGAGCCAATGGCTTTGATGAAATCCTTCGGTCCCACGATCCACGCCACCCGCCACCCGGGCAGACGAAAGCGCTTGGTCAAGCCGTCAATGATCAGGACATCGTCATCGTTGACATCCACAATATTGTCCGCGGCGGAAATGACAGCCCCATCACAATCAGTCGTGTAATTATACCCACCATAAAACTCATCCATGATCAACGTCGCGCGATCCCGGCAGATATCCTGGATCCGCGCCAGCTCGTCGGTCCCCACCATCATCCCCGTCGGGTTCCGCGGGTTCGATGTCAAAATCACGCTAGTACCCCGACTAATCTCATCCTTTATCTTGTCAGCGTGGATGTGATATTTATCCTCTCGTGCGAGCGGGATGGGAATGGCGGCGAAGTTCCTAAACAACGACAGCATCTCGTTGTACGCTGTGTAGTCCGGGATGAAGAAGCCGAGGTATGCGTTGCCTAGCACCGCGGCGATACGGATGAGACCTGCGCGCCCGCCGGGGACGATGCACACATTTTCCCAGGTGTATTGGCTGGGTTTGTTCTGCCGGTGGTGGGTGTTGTAGAGGTTTGCGACGGCTTCGCGGAGGGGTTTTATGCCCGCCGTCGGGCCGTATTCGCGGCCGGTGTTCGAGACTTCGATGGTGGTGGGGCGGGGGAAGCAGCCTTCGATGTCTGGGAGGGAGGTTGGGTTAGTGGGTATGGTGGCGAAGTGTGGGAGAAGGGGGAGAAGGTACCGTCTTCGACTTCTGGCGCGCCTTGGCCAAGGTTGGCCCATTCTTCGGGGTGCTCGAGGAAGCCGTGTTCGTAGGCGCGCTCGGTCGTCCAGACTACGCCGGTCGAGGCGCGTGAAGGGTCGAGGCCGGCGTGAGGCTTGTGGCCTTCGTGGGCTTGGCGGAAGTGCGTGTGCGCTTTTGAGCCGGCCTCTAATGAGTAGTTGTTAGCGTGCCGTTTCCGAGCGATCATGAAGACCTTTAGCTAGATGATAAAATGTGGCCATGACTGATGAGAGAGGCTCGTTTGGCGAGGGATTTACATAGGATTGAGCTTGGCCTTAACGTACCATTGCGACTGGGACCTGCGGTGGAGAAGCGTCTGTCTTTCCCCTCTCCTGTCACGTCGTCCAAGACCTTCGAGGCAGTTCTGCCTTCGTTTGAGTTGGTGGAAGTCATGCTGTTGGACTGCCAGGCGAGTCGACACTTGTTGCGAGATGCGGCGGGTAGTAGGGCTGCTCTACGAAAGATAAATGGTCTGGTAGGGAGGCTTCTCAAGACGATGGAGGGTGACTGCGAAAGGAATGACATTCGGAAAGATGTAGGAAATAAATGTGGTTAAAAGATGCTGTCGCCATTGCCTTGCTATCTCTCTCATTCACTACTGCCGGCTACGTCAGAAGGCTCGCCTGCTGCAAGATCCCGTCGTTGTTTGCAAGTGACAACATCACTACTGATGTGCAGGTTCGAGACTGTGGTGCAGATATATAGATATAAATGCGCAAAACCTGTGCCATCATGTTTGCAGAGGTGACTGTCATTGCGAACCAGTTGACGTGCCAGGGAGAAAGGCCAAGCGCATCGTCCGACTGTCGTCGCCGTTGCCAAGGGAGTCCGAAAGACGCAACGGCGGACCGATCGGCGTGGCTTCGGAAGCCGCGGCAGTGGCTGCCAGCGCGCGCATCACGCTGTGGATTTATTTGGCGATCATTGGCGCCCAGTGACGCTCCGAGGACCATATGACCAGCGACCACGCTGCCGTGACACAGCATGCCGCTGGTGGGCAGTGCACGGTGTTTGATGGCCTCTACATTGTGGTGTTTGCTTGATGCTTGATGACTTCCAGCAGAGAGTTCCAATCCGTACAACAGCCATGGCTTCACGTTCGACTGAACGGAAGCACCTTTCGCTCATTACCGTAGGTACACTTGAATGTCAGCATGAGCATGACTGACGACGTATTAGCTCACTCTCCTCAACTCTGCACTCATTCTAGTCCTGCACTACTCACGTATGATGCCTCCTGTCCACGGACAACGATACTTCGCCTCGACGGCAGTGTTTATGAACGAAGTGATCAAGTTCTCCCTCTCCTTGTCCATGGCGCTGTATGATATTGCAACAAACCCAAAAGCGGTGGAGACGTCAGCAGCAGGCTTGTTCGGCGAGCTCACAAGAGTCGTGTTCACGGGAGATAGCTGGAAGCTAGCAATACCGGCAGTGCTATATACACTGCATAACAGCCTGCAATATGTGGGAATCAGCAATCTTGATGCCACGACGTTCCAAATCACCTTTCAGCTGAAGATACTCACAACGGCGTTGTTCAGCGTCGGGCTATTGGGAATGTCCTTGAACCTGCGGAAGTGGATAAGTTTGGTATTGCTCATGGCCGGTGTTGCCATTGTTCAGATACAAAATGCGGCAACCTCGGAATTGCAGGTTCTTTCGATCAAAGATCTGAAAGATGGAGCTGCCTTTCACTCGCCACGAACCATTTGGGATTTGAAAGCGCTTGGCAATGCAGCTGCAGGACAGCTGAGCAAGCGTTCAGCAACATACGAAGGCATTGACGATGACTTTGCGGCTGTGAACCCGCAGTTCAACGCAACAGTGGGCCTCCTCGCCGTCTTCACCGCCTGCATATGCTCGAGCCTGGCTGGCGTGTACTTCGAGAAGATCCTGAAGCAGTCCTCGGGCTCGGCTGCTACCTCTCTTTGGGTGCGGAACGTCCAGCTATCATTCTATTCGTTGTGGCCCGCACTCTTCATCGGCGTGATGTTCAAGGACGGTGAGCATATTGCGAGGGCTGGCTTCTTCGCTGGCTACAACTGGGTTGTATGGACGTCAATATTGCTGCAGGCTCTCGGTGGCGTTGTCGTCGCGCTTGTGGTTAGCTACGCCGACAACATTGCGAAGAACTTCGCCACCAGTATATCGGTCCTGATCAGCTTCTTGGCTAGCATAGTCTTCTTCGACATGCACCTCTCGCTATCGGTACGTGTCACGTACATGCTTATGCGATGTTTTAACTAATTTGGGATGCAGTACCTTGTTGGAGCGCTGCTCGTGGTTGCGGCGACGTTTGTCTACAATGCTGAACCTGCGGAGCCCAGTAAAGTGCCGCCGATCAAGGTGTCAGACTTCGGCACAGACGAGCAGTCGTATTTCGACCTCGAGACTGTCGTGACTGGTGGCAAGACACCTCTTCGAGGCGAAGCGCTATCGACCAGCCGGCCTACCACACCGGGTTTCGACAGGAGACGGCCCAAGAGTCCAGGCTTGACTTCGATGTAGTTTCAACGTGTACATTATGCTGTTTACACTATTCACGCATCTGCTAAAGAAACAGACGTTGACGTTCAGCTCCAAGGCATGCGCGGCTCCTCGCGCCTTCCATTTCCGTTTCGTCCGCCTACGAGCGACCTCACCTCATCTCTTACACCCCATGACACATGACTAATGTCGCATACGTTCACATACCTCACCATTTAGTCCTTCACAGCACTGTCGAACGAGCTCAAGATGGACCAGAGAATCTTCGATCAGCTAGATCGACTGGAGCGCGGTGCGCGCATCGAGAGCCGGCCAGAACGTGCCCTCTATCACAACAGCAGCACCGAGTACTCTGCGTACGACAACCCCGGCGCCGCGTATGCACCCGTCGGACGTGGACTGGTGCCTTATGAAGCGGACTTTAATGCGTTCACAAGTCCTCCTGTGAAACTTGACGCTTTCAGTACGCAGTATTGCTCCTTCTTGCCCTCCAATTCCCCAGCTAAATGTTGCAGACGAGCAAGAGCATCAACGACCAGACCACGTTAGGCAGTACAACCACAATCAGTATCCATCGATGCACATTCGCAACCCGCCGCAGCCGGATCGTCGTCCGTTCGACCCATCACGCTTTGCAGAGAATCCCACTCCTATCGGACAGTCAAGCTCCTCCCCTTGGGCTCGTCCTTCGCAATCCAGCCCAGCGTTGAATGCAAGCCAGCGTCAACCTGCAGCGTACGAGCCTGTAAGGCACCCTGGACCGCCCATGACTCGGCTTTTGCCGCCTTATCACGAGGAGGCTCCCCGCTATGAGCCTATCAGTGTGGAACAGCTCGAAGAAGAGGGATTGTGTAGGGAGTCAGTCAGGCAAGATGTTGTGCGAGCGGGCCCGCCGCGCCACGCTTCAACCCAGCAGTTTGCGGTCTTGAAGCATGCCAAGGCCGGCCCGCCGGTTGTCCAAGGTGTCAGCCTTGTGCCGACGCATGAGCTGCCAGATCGCTTCCGCTCTATCTTTCCATTCGCGCTGTTTAATGCCGTGCAGTCCAAGTGTTTTGAAGCAGTGTACAGAACTAATGACAACTTCGTCTTATCTGCGCCCACCGGCAGCGGCAAGACTGCAGTACTTGAGCTGGCGATCTGCGGTCTCATCAACGGCTACTCCAACGGCTCATTCAAGATCATCTACCAAGCGCCGACGAAATCACTGTGTGCGGAGCGCCAGCGTGACTGGCAAGCCAAGTTCGGTCCGCTAGGTCTCGAGTGTGCGGAGCTCACTGGAGACACGGACTTCGCACAGTTGCGCCATGTCCAGCATGCCAGCATCATCATCACGACTCCGGAGAAGTGGGATGGCATGACGCGAAAGTGGAAGGATCATCAGAAGCTCATGCAGATGGTCAAGCTCTTCTTGATCGATGAAGTCCACATTCTCAAGGAAGACCGAGGCGCGGTCCTCGAGGCCATCGTATCGCGTATGAAGTCCATCGGCTCAGATGTACGCTTCCTCGCCCTCAGCGCCACCGTACCGAACTCCCAGGACGTCGCTGTGTGGCTCGGTAAGGATCCAATAAACGCGCATTTACCGGCCATCCGCGAGCGTTTTGGCGAAGAGTTCCGGCCAGTCAGACTTCAGAAGCATGTCCACGGCTACCAAGGACATAGCAATGACTTCGCCTTCGAGAAGATGCTGAACGCGAAGCTGCCGGAGGTCATCTCAAAGTGTTCGCAGCGTAAGCCCATTATGGTCTTCTGCTTCACCCGCGCCTCTAGCGTCGAAACAGCCAAGCTCCTTGCGAGTTGGTGGGCCACCAAAGGCCCGAAAGAGCGCCTCTGGTCCGCGCCACGGAGCCGCCTCGTAGTAAGCAACCGTGACCTTAGGGACACGATCTCCGCTGGTGTTGCCTTCCATCATGGCGGGTTACAGATCCAAGACAGGACTGCAGTTGAAAAAGCCTACCTTGCCGGAGAAGTCAACGTCATATGCTGCACCTCCACCCTGGCCGTTGGTGTCAACCTGCCATGCCACATGGTCATTGTCAAAGGCACAGTAACTTATCAGACGAACCAAGTAGCGGGTCTGAAGGAGTATTCTGATCTAGAGATCATGCAGATGCTTGGACGTGCTGGAAGACCACAATTCGACGACAGTGCAGTAGCTGTGATCATGACAAGGCTCGAGAAGGTGCAGCGCTACGAGAAGATGCTCACAGGACAAGAGATCCTCGAGAGCTGCTTACACCGCAACCTGACGGATCATCTCAACGCAGAGATTGGGCTGGGTACAGTCACGAATGTGGCGTCAGCCAAACGGTGGCTGTCCGGCACCTTCCTCTACGTACGCCTGAAGGAGAATCCTGACCATTACCAATTGGCTACCGCCGCTTCCGGCCATAGCCTGGACGAGCGTCTTGAGAGTATTTGTCGCAACTCTATCGCTGAGCTTCAAGAAAGCGACCTCGTCACAGCTTCGCCCACTCTCCACAGCACTGAATTCGGCGATGCGATGGCTCGCTACTACGTCCAGTTTCCCACCATGAAGGTGTTCCTGGGTCTACCACCAAGAGCCAAGATATCAGAGATTCTGTCCGCTATTGCTCAAGCGTCTGAATTCCGAGAAATCCGTTTCCGTAGCGGCGAGAAGAGCGTTTACAAGGATCTGAACAGGAACTCTTCGATAAAATTCCCGATTCCGGTCAATGTGGATCTGGCTGCCCATAAGGTCTCATTGATCATTCAAGCTATACTAGGCGTGATCGACCTGCCGACTGAAGACAGCAAGCACCGCGCTGAATTCACTTTGGCGAAAGCGGTGATCTTTCAGCACGCACACCGTCTGATCAGATGCATCATCGATTGCCAGCTCCACCTTAACGATGCTGTTTCCGCTCGTAATGCTTTGATGCTGGCTCGCAGTATTGGCGCTCAAGTCTGGGATGACTCGCCGTTGCACATGAAGCAGCTTGAGGGGATAGGCATCGTGGCAGTCCGCAAGCTTGCATCAGCTGGGATCAAGGCCATTGAGGACATCGAAAGTGCCGATGCGTCGCGTTTAGAGACGATTATGTCTCGCCATCCACCGTATGGTGCGCGGATGCAAGAGCGTGCAAGAGCATTCCCCAAGCTGAGAGTCACCCTGAAGGCTATCGGTAAGCCGGTCGTTAAGAAGAGCGAGCACGTCTCGATCAACGTCAAAGCGGAAATCGGCTTCCTGAACGAGAAGACGCCGGAAGCCTTCCTCAAGCGAGCAGTCTATATCTGTCTGCTCGCCGAAACCTCCGACGGCCAAAAGGTGCACTTCGCCAGAATATCGGCGAAGAAGCTTGACAAGGGTCAGGACCTAATCTTCACAGTTAACCTGACGAGTGCGAACCAGTCGATCCGAGCGTATGTGATGTGCGACGAGATTGCCGGCACGGCACGGCAGGCACTGCTTAAGCCTGAGATTCCCGCAAGTGCATTTCCGCCGCCGAAGACGGCCGAAGAGATGAACAAGCAGCGGAGCCAGGTTATTCGCGCTGAGAACTCATCAAAGCGACGAGCCTCCCGAGGCACTACCGACATAAGCGATGAGTTCGGCGATGCGGATATCGATGATGCAGACCTGACGCTTGCTGAAGGAACTGGCTTTGTTGATATTGACGACCTTCATCTTAGTGGCGACAACGAAGGAGCACAGCGAAAGAAGCAGAAGACCTTTCATGACGCCGATGCTCCCCCAGAGCATCAAGCACTTCGACTACCAAACGGTAACTGGGCCTGCAACCACGCGTGCAAAGACAAGACATCCTGCAAGCATTTCTGCTGCCGCGAGGGGGTTGACAAGAAGCCCAAGCCGCCGAAAGTACGCGAGAGCAAGAAGCAATCGGAGGAAGCTCGACTGGATTCGAAGCAAACAAAACTGTCTCTGCCGGCGTCGAAGAGGTCAGATCTGCATACACAGACGTTCTCAACCACCAAAAGCACGCAGTCTTCCGCAAAGCGCACAGTATCCGACTCCCGCGAGATGCAAGACCTCAATCGCTTGCACAACGGTGTCAAGTCAGCGACGCCGCAGGTGCCTATGCTTTCGAATGCTCCGGCGAGTACTCTGAAAGGCCACACCAAACCATCGCTGAGCTTCTTCGGCTCCCATGGATCGAGTGAGTACGGCACCGATGCCTTCGAGGTTGAAAATACATGGACGGCGGTGAACGATACTAACACGCAGCTGGCGACCCGCATGAGCCCACCCAGACAGGCATCCGACCTCATGAGCATAGATGATCTCCTCCACCCCCGTGATGGAGAACGTGTGGATGCCGATCGGGTTGGAGAAGGTGGTGGCGACAGTCCTGTCGACCTGCCGCAATCCACTGACGAACAGAGCCCGTTAAGCGAAGACGTCTGGCTCGTGGAGCGCAAGACGGACGATCATACCGTTGCGCTTGCGCCAAATACTCCGCTTCAGGCTGACGCCTACGCGCTCCGAAGCGAAGATCAGGAGGGCAGTGGAATGCCGATATTTGTGGGCATCAGCACCGATTCGGCTCCTGACTCTGGTGCTAGTGCACTGGCGACACAGACTCGCCTGCTTGACCACACCCAGCGCCCCGTGACGCCCAATAAAGCGCCCGCTCTGCCCTTCGATGTCGAAAACGGGATACCAGCAATGGAAGAACAAGCCTCCGAGACCGATGAGCTGGAAGCGTGGTTCAACAACGAGTTCGGAACTGAACGCTTCACGTTTGTCCGGTGAGGTTGTTCGTAACTATTTCGCTGGGGCCATGTGCGCGGTGCGCAGCCTGTTATGGCTGGCTAACATGCCAGCGTTTTCGAGACGCTATCGTTCGGGGCTATAGCACATACCCGCAATCTCTTGCCGTAGCTAGTTTAATATACACGCCGTCACCGGCAGGAACCGCGTAGTCCACTTTTGCCGCCCACTCTTGGTCAGGTGAATACTCCGTAACTCCATCCGCTGGGCCCAACCTGTCGTACTCCCACAGCCTTCCGGAACACATCATGCCGTCTCCAGTGCAAGATCTCATAACTACTAGCCGTCGTCTCCGCCGGACTGTGGCCCACCACCCCTCGATCTCTTTCCGTCACCGGCTCCACCATCACCATCATGAGCACGCTTCTGGCCTGCGGCCGCATTACCACCACGACCGCCGGCAGGACCTCCGCCACGTCCGCCACGGCCTGCATTACCACCTCCGCGCGGAAGCCCCGATTGTTGGTTTGCGGCGCCCTGGATGCTAATGCCCGCACTACCGCCGCCACGGTTGGGACCTGCGCCTCCACGCGGAATGCCGCTGCCGCCACGTGGAATACCACTGCCTGGCGCTCCCCTTCCGGCCAGGCCGGTAGGATTGGGCCGCTGTTGCTGCGCGCCGACCGGACCGGTGGGCGTGAACGCCGGAGCTTGAGGGTTCGGCGGCAAGGTACCGCTTGGACGGCGGGCAGGTTGCGCCAGAGCAACAGCTGGCTGGCTTGGCTGGCCGAAGGTCCCGCCAGTTGGGGGTGCAGAAGGCTGCCCGAATCGTAGCGGCGCTGTTGTGGGTGATTGCGCGGTACTACCGGGCGACTGAACCGCGCCAAATCGCTCCTGCCTCGCTTGAAGCTTGGCTGCTTCCGTGACATTTGGCGTCTGTTCGGTTGCTGGCGCTTGTCCTTGCGTTTGTGATGCTACGGTCGGAGATGGTGGCACGCCCGGAGTTGTAGTCGTAGTACCAGCCGGAGGCGCTGGCTTGGGCGCTTGTGGTGCCGGCTTAGCCTTGAGAGCAAGCTCCCACACCTCCTTGACCGGCTTGTCTGGCGTTTCTTCCGCAGCTTTCTTCACCACGTTAACTTTGGCCATTGCCATATCCCTCTGGCCGATTTGCAGCTTCGCCTTCAGCGCAGACGTCTCATATGCCTGCTTAACAGCGACCTCTTTCTCCTTATCTTTAGCCTCAAGCTTCCGCTTCAGCTCCTCGATCTCTGCAGCACTGCTGTCGGCCTGAACAGGCTCAGCTGGGCCGGCGTCTTGCTTAGCGCCGATCTCCGCCTTGAGTTGAGTGATCTCTTCGGTAAGCTTCGCAATCCCTTCTTCCCGCTCTTGCAGAGTCTTGGTGAGTTTCTCCGTCTCGCTAGCAACGCGCCTGGCAATGTTAGTGCGTAGGACCGCTTGCACGCGAGGGTGACTCTTCATCAGCTCATTCGCTTGCGCATCAGAAAGCTCAAAGGTCGCCATATCGGCATTGTCTTCCGGCTTGACCATTGTCGTTCCGCCTTCCGCCTTCTGCACGGCAGCGTCGCCGGTCCTCTGCAGACGCTCCATCTCTGTTTTGTGGATATTCTTAAGCTCTAGCACGGCAGCTTCGTGCTCTGTCTTGACCTTTTGCAGCTCGGCTGAGTGTTGGGCAATGAGTTCTTGCTGTGCTTCAGCGCGCTGTTTCTCCCGTGTCTCGCGTAATTGACGCTTCAGGCTCTCTTTCATATTATCAATGCGTCGATTGCAGTCCTCATCCTTCTGATGCAAGGCGAATTGGTGCTGAGCTTCCATCTCCGACCGAAGCTTGTCGACCTCGGCCTGTACTTGCGCTGCCGTGAAGCGCTTCGACTCACTGTCACCGTCCACATCACCATCGGCATTAGTGTGGGCAGTGACGGTCGCCGCTGAAGTCGTGGTAGTCGTTGCCGCATTGGCACGCAGAGTCTCAACCTCCTGCTGAGCAGTCGCAAGGTCCTGCCGGAGCTTTTCCAGCACCTCGCCGTCTTGCGCCGCGGTCGTATCCTGCGGCTGTGAGGTTCCACCATCAGCCTGTTGCTGCTGAGCACCCTCCGCTTGCTGCTGTAACTCAGCAACTTGCCCCTCAAGCTCGTTCACTCTAGCCTGCAACGTCGCGACTTGGCCATCCAGCTCCTCGGCCCTTGCAGCATGCTCAGCGGCGCCCCTTTCGGCCTCCGCAATGCGCGCATGTAGCGCTGCATCACCATGCTGACCATCCTCCTGCTCAACCTCCTGCACCTCACCCTCCTCCGCCGAACCCTTCGTCCTCATCTCCTCAAGCTCCTTCTTCGTCCGCTCGAGCTCAGCGTTCGCGCTCTCCAGATCAGCAGTAAGGCGCTCCTTCTCCGTCCTCAACTCACGCTTCTCGTCATTCTGCTTGCGATTTTGATCCTTCGCCTGCGTACGGAAGCGTTCGAGCACCTCAACTCGTTTCTTCACATCGTCTTCCAGCTCCGCCACGCGCTCTTTAAGCGGAGTCTGCTCGCTCTCTAGTGCCGCCTTCTCAGCCTGAAGAGTCTCGAGTTGCGTCTTGAGACTCTCCAGCTCCGCCGGGTCGACGCGGTCATACTTTGAAATGATGTTATGCGTCCGCTCGCGCCAGTGGTCGCGATCTGATCGCAGAAGCTTGAGCTCGCCCTCTTGGCCTTCAAGGTCAGCCTCCAACTTTCCGCTGCGGGCTTTGAGCGGTTCAATTTCGGCAAGTAAGCGGTCGATCTCGGCCTTGCTCTCCGCCAGTTGTTTGCTTAACCGCTCATTCTCCGCTCTCAATGTGATGTTCGCCTCCCGGTTGGTATTGAGCTCATTAATCTTCTGCGCCAACAGGTTAGTCGAAGTATCCGACGCAGACTGCTGGGTCGCAGCCCTCCGCTCCTCCTCCAGCTTTTGCTTCGTCCCGTCCAGCTGCGCGAGCGTGTGATCGAGACTCTGCTGCAGGCGTTTGTTCTCCTGGAGGCTAAGTTCGTACTGCACATCCACGATATCCTTCTCGCGGCGCAAAAAACGCACAAGTTCTTCCAGATTGCCCGTGTCGGCAGCCTCGGTACCTTCCGCAGCGACGCCAGAGACACGGCGCCCTTCCCTCAGCGCCTTGAGCTCGGCAGAGAACGAGTCCATTTGCCGGTGCAGTACACGATTCTGCGCATCGACTTCCTCGCGCCTCCTCTTCACATCCTCGAGCTCACGCTCGAAACGCTCCCGCTGCTCCGCCCAGCTTTCCTCACCCAGGCCCAGCCGCTGCTTCGCCGCTTCCGCTTCCGACCTGAGCCCGGCAACTTCGCTGCGCAATTCATTGTACTCCCGACGTACGCTCTGCAGATGCTCCGCAGCGCGGCCGTGCTTGACCAGCTCGTCTTCGTAGGACTGCTGTGCCTGCTGGGCGATCTCTGCTTGAGCTTTGAGGTCCGCGAGGAGCATCTTCTTCTCCTCGACATGCTTCTCAGCGTCATCTTTCAGGCTGGCAAGTTGGGTTTCATACTCAGCCCTCTGGGCCGCAAGAGACCGATCGGCATCCTGCTGCTTCGTGCGCAGCTCAGACACCTCCGCATTGGTAGTCGTAAGCTCGTCGCCAAGCTCCTTGAGCCGCTGTTCGAGCTCCCTAATGCTCGCCTCCTTTTCCGCAAGCGCAGCATCAGACTCCGCTTTGAACTGCTCGCTGGTCTCAGTGATACTCGCGAGCTGCTCCTCCGAGCTCTGCGCAATGGCACGGTACTGCTCGATCTCATGCAATTTCGCCTGGACCTCGTTCCTGGCAAGTTCGAGATCGCGCTTCAGATCTGATACTTCGACGGCCAGTCGCTGCTCCGCTGGTAGCTCGTCTTCCACCTCACCGTTCTGCTGCGGTCCTTGCGCGGGGCGTGGAGTAGGCCGAGGCTGCAACGCCGCCGCCTTCTCCTCAGCCGCTTTCAGGTCGATTTGCAACTCGTGCACGCGAGCTTGCAGCTGGTCCCGTGATGTCTCAGCGGCCACAAGCTGCTCGCGGACATTGCCGAGCGACTTGACGAGGTCATCAATGCGGGTCCTGCTCTGGCCTTCTTCGTACTCCCGTCTGAGCACCGCCTTCTTGCCATCTTCAATCTCGCGCTCCAGCTTCTCTTTTGCCTCCTTAAGCTCCGTCTCCAGCGCATCAATGCGGCCTTGCAGTCTCCGCCGACTTTCGCTTTCGCTCAACTCGCGCTCATTCTGCAGGCTTTGAAGATCTGTGACGAGCTTATTGAGCCGACTCTTCTCGTCCATAAGGTTCCTGTTGTCTTCGGTCAGGCGAGCTTCGATCCTCTTCCACAACTCCTTCTCGGCCTTGGTGTTAGCATTCTCGTTCCGCAGACTCTCAGCCAGACTCTTTGCTTCAACCAGATCTTCGGTAAGTTGTTGCGCATGCAGATCCTGCTTGGACGCATTCTCCATAAGCTGCTGCGTGCGCTTGTTAAGTTGCTCTTGCTCGCTCCTGAGCGCATTGTAGTTGTTCTGCAACATGCTGTATCGGTCGTTGGCCAGCGTGAGCTGAGACTCTACCCTAGCGACATTCGCTTGCAGCGTAGACTTCTCCCGCGTCAGAGTATCGGCCTGTTCCTTCAGCATTCGCCGATCCGTGGCCGACTCATCACGGTACTGATCGAAGAACTTCTGCTGCTCCTTGACCAGCTTGTTAAGGTCGTCCACATCCTTCGATCGTGGCGTAGGTGGCACATCTCCAACACCACGCTGCGGCGTAGCAGGCGGGACGCTCTGGCCAAACAAAGCCTGCTGCTCACTGTCATTGAGTGGTAGCTGGCCACGATGTTGAAGCATACGACGGAACATGTCGCGCTCCTTGACATAGCTGTCAATCTGCGTGACGGTTGCATGGAGCTCATCTTGCAGTCTCTGCACTTTGCGCTTTAACTCCTCATTTTCTGAAACATGAGCGGCGTTTTGACGCTCTTTCTCCTGCGCCTCTTCGCCTTCCAGCCTGTCGCCCAGAGTCTCCACAAGCCGGAGCATGTTTTGATTCTGCTCCTGCAGTTCGGAGACATTGTGGTAGATCACCAGACGCTCGGCAATGAGGCGGCCAACGTCAGTCATAGACTCCAACGCACCGTCGGTGAGCTCACCACGAGCCGCACGCTCCAGTTCCAGCCTCTCATTTGCAGACATCTCACCCAGGCCTTGATCCCTGCTTTGAATCTCGACAAGTAGGATCTTGAGCTGAGCCGATAAGTCGCGGAGCTGTTGACGAAGGATGTCACCCTCCCGGGCGGCCGCAGCAGCCTCGGACCGCCAATGCTCGGTCTCATGGACGGCGGCTTCACGGGCACTGTTAGCATCGTCGAGCATGGTGGAGAAGCTGAGGACTTCCTGCTCTAAGCGCTCTTGCTCGTTGCGCATCTCCTGGAGTTCCGGCGTGCGGTTCTCTATCTCGTTGCACAGTTCGTCCAGCGCCTCTTGCAGTTTCGTGGAGCGGCGCTTCTCATCAGCGAGCTGTTGCTGAGTTTCGGTATAATTGGCGTATAGCTGTGTAAAGCTTACGCCACCGATCGTTTTCTTTAGGCTGCCGGGTAATGCAGATGGAGAACCAGCCCTTGATGGAGTGTTCGGGCCGCCATTCCGCATTGGCGTGCCAGGTGCGGACAAGCGAGGTTGCTGCTCCAGACGCTCGACTTGCAACTCCAACTCTGCCACTCGTCGCTCTGCTTGCTCCTTGTCGCCCCGCTCAGTCTCGATCTCCGCTTGCAGGCGACCGATCTCGTCTGCAGCGTCATCCTTCATTTGGTCGATCTGACCTTGTACTTCTTGCAGTCTCGCCTTATGCGTGGATGCACTCTGCGCTTGTAGCTCAGCCAACCTCTTGGTCGCATTCAACTCAGTCTTGAAGTCCTGCTCCTTTCGGGCCGCATCTTCCTGCAAGCTCGCGATCCGCGCGAACGCCTCGTCAGCCTTAGCCTGCGCTTCATCCAGGCGCTGTCGCAAGGTAGTTTCGGTGCGCTTAAGAGTCTCTACAGTGGCCGTGCTGTCCTCGAGTTCGCGCTGCAGGCTTGCTATGCGTGCATTGCGCTCTTTGCGAAATTTGGCGTGCTCTTGAGTACGGGTTTGTAGCTCGTTGCTGTGCCACTCCTGGTTCTTTTTCAGAAGATCAATCTCCTGCTGCAAGGACTGCTCTTTGAACTTCTGCGACGATGCAGCGTTCTCTAACGACTGGTTGCGTTCTTCCAGTTGGCCGATCTCACGGCGAAGAATGAGTAGCTTGCCATGCTGCTCGGACAGCTCGTTCGCCAAGCGATCTTTCTCACCGGACTTACTCTCCACGAGAGCCAAAGCATCGCGATTCGAAGCTTCTAGCGTCTCAATGCGTTGCCTCAGGGTTTGCGTCTCTGAGGAAGAAGAAGAAGTGGACGCGCGAAGCTGCTCGAGCTCACTCGCTAAGCTCTCACGTGCCGCTTCCGCTTCAGTGAGCTTCTTCCGCAGCTCGTCATTTTCTTTGACGTGCTTCGTCACCTGACCTTTCTGTGCCTTTACTTTACTTTCGGACGTCCTCACAATACTCTCCAGCTCAACATCCACTTTCACCTTGTCGGACTTGAGCGCGTCAAACTCCTGGGCCTTGGTAATGAGCGACGCAAGTAAAGAGCGAAGAAGCTCAGTTGTTGGCGATTCCAACAGTGTCTGAAGGTCGCTCTCGGGGAAGTCGTAAGCGGTTGCGATATAAGGCAAATCGTCTGCGGCCAGATCGCCGGCCTGGGCGCGTGTGCGCACCATGTCGCGTGACGTGCTTGTCGGCCGCTTACGTTGTGACCATCGTCCGCCAGAGTAGCATCTCCCTACACTCGCATCAGTACAGAGTGGACATGTCGCAGCTGAAGGAGCGCAGCAGATTGTGTATATCTTGGAGTCGACCTCGAGAGACGCGGTGGACGAATGCGGTTCATGCAAAGACGCTTGGGCCAGCAAGCAGCGGGTACGGCCCGTCGCTTTGCCGCAACTACTCACTCACTCGTGCAATTCACAGCCGCCCAGCCAGCGACCTTCACCGCCGCGCAACCAAGTGAAGTGTAATCTGTTCTGGAATATCACACTGCGGGCATCTCTTCGCTATGCTGTAAAACTGTACTCAGTGGACGAGGTTTCCCGAGCTTTCCGCTGTCGGCCCGAGGTTTGAACAGCGGAACTGGTCCGCTGGTCGGCCCAAACGCGCGAGCTAGCTCATTGGGAAGCTGACAGGTTGCCCGATCTTACCATTGATCGTCACCGACTGCTGAGTCGGAAATGAACATGCAGTGCAGAAGCAAACGCTAGGACATCGTCTCTGTTTCCAACAATGTCAACAACCGGCCAATTCTCGTCTAAGAACCCAACCATCAAGCGGATACTGAAGGAAGCATCTGAACTCGCCAACCATTCCTCTGCAGACTACCATGCCGCACCGTTAGAAGCAGACCTATTCGAATGGCACTTCACGCTACGTGGTCCACCCGCACCCTCACCATTCGAGGGGGGTGTTTATCACGGTCGCATCGTGCTACCGCCGGCATACCCGCTGAAACCACCTAGCTTCCGCTTTCTGACGCCCACCGGCCGCTTCGAAGTAAATCGGGAGATCTGTCTCAGCATCAGCGGGCACCATGAAGAGACGTGGCAGCCTGCGTGGGGCATAAGGACGGCTTTGGTCGCGATACGCTCGTTTATGGATACGAGCGCTAGCGGGCAGCTAGGAGGGATGGAGGCGAGTGAGGAGGTGAGAAAGAGGATGGCGGGGCAGAGTGCGGGGTGGAAGTGTCCCGCGTGCGCGAAGACGAATGCTGAGATCATGAGGGAGCAGGAGGAGACGGTTAGGGAGCAGGGGGCGGAGGCCGAGATGGAGGAGACGGTGCCGGAGGAGTTGCGGTTGGCGTATAGGGAGGATCTAGCGCAGAAGCCCGAGCCTGCTAAGGAGACGAATGGAGGAGCGAAGACGCCTGCTCTCGCAGCACCAGCGAGTGAGCCAAACATACAAGCCGAAAATGCGTCACCGCAGCCAGCACCAGCACCACAAACTCAAGCAGCACCGCAGCAACACCCCGCTCAACCACCGCAACAGCAGCCCGCCCAGCCACAGCGGCAGAACGAGGAAATACCGCCTTGGATCGACAAAGCCATTTATGGTGTGGTGGGAGCTTTGGTGTTTTTGGTTTGGCGGAAGTGGTTTTGGTGAGCTCACCAGCTCAAACCCATCAAGAAGATTTATTGTCATACATGCTCACTTTAGCGTGGCGCGAGCGGAGTTAAGCAGAAACCGGAGTCTGCTTCTTTCGTCTATGAGCGAAGGACGTCCTTCTGAACCTTTTTACTGTACACTGATTAAGAGGTAAAGTAGAGCCCGGGAAGCTTGTTGTATAACTGTCCGCAGTCAGAGGACGACACCCTTTAGTAGGCGATGAACCTATGTAGGCGCGCTGCGCATTCTCCACAGAGTCAGTACTTTTTCGCCTTCGGTCAACAAGACGCCTGCACGATGCGAAGGCGACGGTATGGTGATGTTCATATCGAAAGTGAGGTTCAAATGACGTTACAATGGCTCCCCTGGCGCACGGACTTCCAGCCGACAGCTCCAAGCTTAACTGCCAGCCTGCATCGACTTTCTTTATGCGGAGCTCCAACAAAGTCCACGATAATCCTTCCTATTCACCCACCACTACCATGTCGATAGCACGCGCGAGGGCCTTGAAAGGCCTTCAATCCGCCTTTCGATCCTCAACCGGCCGCGCAACACCCAGAGTCTCCGCTCCTTCACGAACAGCGCTCCGCGTCGGCAGACGCTACGCCAGTGGTGGAGACAGCCATGGAGCACCCGCACCCGACTGGCCATGGTGAGCCTGGCGCCATATGAGCATGTATGCGACACGAGGTCATCTGACGGAATTACAGGGCCGCCGGTGCCGTTGTAGTCACCATCCCGGCATGCTGGTATCTATGGCCGAGCACGCATGCCGACGCCGGACATCACGGTGATCACGACGAGCATGCCGAGCACGCTGAGGGCGGCGAGGAGCATCATGAGGAGGAGGAGAAGGAGGAGGCACCTCAAGCAGACACGGCACCCGGCGAAGAAGCACCGAAGCCGGAAGGTGAGGAGTCTCAAGAGCAGGGCGAGCAAAAGGACGAGTCTGAGGAGCAAGGTGAGAAGAAGGAGGAGTCTGAGGAGCAAGGTGAGAAGAAGGGGGGTCCTGAGGAGCAAGGCGAAGAGAAAGAGGAGTCCGAAGCCGACAAGCCCTCAAAGCGTGCTCAGCCTTCGAAGAGCATAGAAGAAACTGACCAACCAGCCGGCGTCGAGGGTCAGGGCATGCCGAAGACATCAGACGCGAACAAGAAGTCTGAGCCGGACGAGGGTAGTGAACCGAAGGAAGGCGGACCTTCAAACACGGGCGGCGCACAGTTCAAGGGTGGCGTGAGGGAGGACTCACCGGGCTCAGGTGACGAGCGCAAACGCGAGCCGGACAGCAAGGGCGCGTACAAGAAGCGTATCGACTCGGGACTGCAAAAGAATCTGGGCGGAAACGACGAGCAGTTTGACGAGAAGGGCAAGGAGACGGTTTGTCACCCCGACTTCCACCCTGCAGAGGCACACGTAGTGCAGAATCAGATGCTAACTGGCTGTAGGCTGCATCCGCCAAACCACCAAGGAAGGGCTCCGAGGGCGAGATCAGCGGCAAGCAGGCAGGTCTATCCAACACGCCTACCCGCCATTCGTTGCAGATTGACAAGCATGACGACGCGTCAACAAAGCCGGAGGGTACCCCGGACACGGCGAAGAGTATGGGCACGGTTGACCCGAGTCGGCCGGCGAAGTAGAGAACTCTCGGATGTATTAAGACAGTTGCTGCTGCGGCGAAAGCTCGAGCCAGGCGCTAGTCTGATGCGACATCAGCGAGATATTGGGCTTCGCTATCGTAGAAGCTCGCTGTACATATGTGCATGTAGGTTTACAAAACAACTTCAGTATATTGATGGTAAGAGCACATCGTTGCTATCAACTCACACTACGGGATATTGCCAAGGATAGACCGCGTCCCTCACACACCGCGATCGCTTCTTCTGCTCACTTTGCATCCCCCCCTTCCTAACTCAATAGCCTTTCGGGAAGTTCCGACTTGGTCAAAACGAGTTGTTACATCCAAATTGACAGACTTTGCGTATCAGATTCAACAAGTGGAGGTGTGAGCGACAAGTCACTTCTAACGGCGAATTTCGAACGGTATGTCGTCTATCGCATCATCTCTAGGAGCTTTGTCTCCTAACATCAACCAGGCCGACATGGATCGGTCACCGCTCAGGCAAATTGCCACCGGAGCTGAGAAACCGCATCTACGAGCTAGTCCTATGCTGGCACGGCGCTATAGTGCTTGAACCAGTCTCGTTCTCTCCGCGCACGAAGTTGGTGACAGCACAAGGACCATATGTCGCAATTACTGCCACTTGTCGCCAGACCAGGACCGAGTCACTACCTATTCTTTATGCGCTCAACGAATTCGAGCTCAATACGCAGGCACTCCTCACGCTTTGCGACTCGCTGGAAACGAGCGATGCCAAAGCGATCAAACTCCAATGCACACTCGATCACGTGCATAATTTCTGCGTCCGAATCCACTCTGCCACCAAGGGACGCCATCGACCCGTCACCGTCACGCTTCCCTCCATACGTGCGCGAGTTTGCTTCCCTCACGGACCCGGGCTCATCCTGAGCTCGCTTCACAGCAGCCTCGCTCATTGTGGACAGGCGGTGGGCAATGTCTGCTACAAGCTTTTGATGGAGTTGCCCATGAAGATGTCCGGAGTCGCGGATGGTAGGTACACTAAGACACTGCGGAACCTCCAGTATAACTTTCGCATGACAGAAGAAGCAAGCACCCAAGCGGACCTTGCGGAAAGCTTTCGATTGTCCAAGCCACCTTACGGCACGAAGACTACAGTGGGGCAAAGAGCTCGCCAATGAGAGCTACCTGAGTAGGGTACACGCGAACGTCGTTCGGGCTTTCATGCGGCAGTCAGAGCCGGCAGCCACCATGGAGCTGTGAAGGAAGGTGACTATAAGGATTGCAAGGCTTTTGGAAATTAGGTGTGCTAGGTAAGGCTGGCATTGGCTATGCCATGGTGGTGACCGCTCCAGGTGATGGCAGTGAACGCGCTCTCTGCAACCGAGAAGGTTTCGTGATCTTTTGTAAAAGCAAAACGTATCAACAGAGGCAGCTCTCAAAATCTCTTAGTCCGAATCTGCTGTCAACCACAGGTACACATTGCAATTGAAGCGAACGCTCTGCCCGGCGCTGAGGCGTCTATGACGTACTGAGACCTCTGCACAAGGCGCCCACACTAAACAGAGAAGTAACCCCTCGGTGCATTTGACACATGCTCTACAATTGACTTCCACGTCCGTTATGCGTGCTGTAAAGCTGGTGCATCATCCAGCGCGCACAACATCCAGGGCGCGTATGTTGTCGGCACCGGTGCTCGTGGAGAGCAACCCATACTGTGTTCTGCCATCTCAACACTTCTTGTCCGATGGACAGAGGTTGGGGTCCGCTCACGGATTGACTCGTTCGCCAGAAGCGGCGGTCCGCAGGCTCGCGTGAATGAGCTTGCTCCGCACAAACTCGCCTCGACTATGGCTTCTGCACCAGCGAGGTTGACTATGCTCTCTGGGCGGCGCCACGGTTGGCAGATTCGTGCAGGGTGCAATGAGCCGAAGAAGGGCATCCAAACACAACAGCGGCTCAGATTAGTCCGTGATCAGGAAGTATTCCATTGACGAACGGCCGACTGTCTGTGCCTGCCCTTTGTGTCATGGGCGCAGCGTCAGCCAGGCAAAAGTCCTTGACTCCACCCTTCCAATCACTGATCCTCCCGTCTCGGATGCGTACCACTACCACCCGAACGTCCTCGTCTTCGATATAGCTGACTCGCCCACCGTCGCCCATTGTGCTACCACTTCTTGACTGTGATGGGCTTGTACTGAAGACATCCTGTCTCTGCTCAGTCATACCATTGCTCTCGAAAGTGTTGTTGGCAAGATGTTGCTCTTTGCACCACCGCTCTTCGTCGGTTCCCGCGGGTAGCACAGCAGCCTCACCGTTGATGGTAGCTGAGATGCTGCTCATGGCCGCCGAGTTCATCTGCATAAGCACTGTCGCCAAGCTGCTTGATCGTCCTCCCACCGGGCTTCGTTCACGGTCTGAGCCGCTTGTTCCCACATTCGGCGGCCGGCTTGAGACCCAATCGTGCACCAGTAAGCTTACGTTTGGGTTCTGAAGGAGATTGATAGTCTTCTTCGAGGACGGGTTGGAGGTCATGATGATCAGCGGACCGGAGGGGAGGTGTGAGTAGCCGGGGTGAGATGGCAGGTAGGTGTAGTTCATCAGGCTAACGTGAGGACGGTTGTTGTTGCAGGTCGCTAAATGGAGCTGTGGCCATGTAATGCTTGATCAGCTCAAGCCAGATACAAACACATTCACGTAATATACGTACAAAGCGTGCGTTTTGAAGACATGTGACTACTTCGTCCGGCAGCTTGTCAGAGATGGTTGGGTTCGAAGAGGCGCTCGTCTCCCAAGTTAACGGCGGTTGTGCATCAGCCATGATTCTAGCAGTTATGAGTGTATGTGTCTGACGGTCGCGCAAGGAGCTGATCGCTGTGATGTTCTGCAGATCAGGAATATGAAGGTGCTTGGACCAAGTACTCCCAATGAGGAAGTTACAGGCATCTGCCTTCAAGCTCCGCCGTTCATGCGCTTCCCCGCAAAATGCAACAACCAGCCTCGATCGTTGCTGACTCCGCACGCCCTCGCGCATTGATTGTTCGTCGGCCTCTACGTTGCACACAGATCTCGAAATCATTCACTATACACATACCAACGACTTAAGAGGCAGCCCTGAGAGCGTGAAGACCATCCTATGGCCACGGCAACATCATGTCAACGATATCACCAGCTATAGAACGTAGACCAACGCTGCAGGACCGTACACTCTCCGGTTCGCCCGATGTACTGCGGCACGCGCCTCCTTCGCCAAAGCGCAAAAGCTCGGAGAGCGTATTGAACCACGATGGCGAAAACGACAGCTCGAAGAAGGCGAAGAGGCGCAAAGTCAATCATGCCTGCGTGTACTGCCGACGATCACATATGACTTGCGACCTTGAAAGACCATGCGCGCGATGCGTCAAGAGAGACATCGGGCACCTTTGCCATGACGAGCCTCGAGAGCCGCCCAAGCGGACCAAGAGCGAACTTGGGTTAGCAGAGCTTGCACCTGCTCCGGAAGAGGAGCAGGACATACGGCACAGTATAGGTAGCTCGGGTGGTCTAGACGCGGTCCATGGCGCTCTGCCGCCGGTATATGGCGGCGATATGGCCGGCTTGAACGGTAGCATCAGCGCAGCATCCACTCAACCCCAGCAGCAACCGCAGTTGGCGCAGCCCAAGCCTCTGTCGCCTACTCTGCTCCAGCGATCGCAACACCTAACGAACAATACGAATAACATGAACACGCTAGCTCCGTCGTCGACCTTCGATTGGAACAACAACAGCGTCAATGGCCAGTTCCAGGACATGCATCATCTGCACCCGAACTACATGTTCAACACATCTGAGGTTACGAACGAATATAATCTGCTCAATGACTTCCTCTCCAATTCCCTCCTCGACGACGGGGCACTATATGGATCCAATGACGCCGCTGAATCGCTTTTCAACGACCCTCTGCTTACTACCTCTTCGCTGAGCGCGCTGACCAACAACTTCCAACAACTTCCGCCACAGCCGCCACTACTGCCACCGCCACCCCTACAACAGCCACAAATCAATCAAAACGCCAAAGCAGGCGAGGAGATCTCCCGTCCTTCATCCGCCTTCCCCATCTCCGACAAAGCCCGAGATAAGTTCTACATGACCGCTGCCGACCCGGCCGGGCTGGACAGTGCCGGCTCCCGCTTGCACAAGCTACTCAAGGCCAAATACGATGCCGGCATGCTCAAACCATTCAACTACGTCAAGGGTTACGCAAGGCTGCAATCATACATGAGCCGACATCTGCACCCAGGCAGTCAACGCAGGATCTTGGAGCAGCTCAGCAGATTCCGGCCAAAGTTTAGAGAAGCCATGCACTCCCTAACTGACATGCAGCTTGTGCTCGTCGAGATGTGGTTCGAGCGAAGCTTGATGGAGTATGATCGAGTCTTCGCCTCCATGGCCATACCGGCCTGCTGTTGGCGGCGCACAGGTGAGATCTTCCGTGGCAACAGGGAGATGGCTGAGCTGATCGGAGTGCCGATGGATCGGTTGCGGGATGGAAAGATTGCCATTCACGAGATCATTGCCGAAGACTCGTTGGTTAGCTACTGGGAGAAGTTCGGCGCGATTGCGTTCGATCAGACTCAGAAGGCTATCCTGACGTCGTGCTCGTTGAAGAGGCCGGCGCCGGAGCCAGGCGGCGGTGGGGACGAAAGCGCAGGCAACCGTAGCGACGCACCAACGGCCTCTGAAGGGAAAGGGACAGAGAAAGGGGAGGGTGTACGGTGCTGCTTCTCATTCACTATTCGAAGGGATACGCACAATATGTAAGTCACCGTTCGACGCTGGAAGCCGAGATTGTTGCTGACCGTACATGACAGTCCGTCCCTCATTGTGGGCAACTTCTTGCCGATCCCGCCGGCCCGCTCAAAATAAGCACTGTGAGCTTTGTACATACGCAAGCGCTGCTCGACGATCGATACAATGCTACGGTCTTGTGCATTGCACAAATGCAGCTTTTTGGTCCGATGTTGAAAAGGAATTGCCAAGGCTCCAGTGCAAGCTCTAAAGCATCCCGCACCTCAAGCTTTGAGCTCCCTTCACCACGTGCAAAGGTTCCGACAACTCCAATGGTACTTTCGTTCCTGCGCTAAACGCGATACTTGGAGCCATTGAGTCACCCTGCAGCACTTCTGTCAGTTCAGGCGAGCTGCGATCGCAATGGTACCGCGTATAGAAAGGTAGGAAAACCTGCCAAACGCCTGAAACTCATGAGGTAGGACAATTTCGTAGATACTGTCTCGCCATGTCTCTCTTTCTTGTTATTGCCGCCGCCGCACAATGTGCGCTGTTGGCGAGTGCTCAGGCTCCATTAGGCGAGGTGTCTGGTGTTGTACCACTCTCTGGCAATCACTCTGCTGCTACGTTGCCGTTCTGGCAGAACTACACTTACTGCCAAGGTGGGATTCGCATTGTGCTGGACTAGCCAACATATACCGTCGAAACTCCCTAGAATTTGAGTTAACGACGCGTAGGCCGCATCATCGACCCAGCGACAACATGGTCGCCTCTAGCCAACGCTACCATGGTCAAGCTGCAGGTCATGTAGGTCGTATCTAACCCCAAGATATCACCTCCTTCTACCCACTGATGCTGGGAAGGCACCGCCACGGTGCTCGTTCGCCCGCTACTGGTCCAGTGCCTGGTGATTCCACACCATGGTATCAATGCGGCAATCCGGACGAGTTCACCTTCACCAACGAGGGCGACTATCTGGAGCCTGGCCGTTCTCCATACATGAAAGAACAGATCACAATTGATGGACTGTTCAACTACACTTTCTGGCAGGGAAACTGCGACCTCGGCGAGCTTACATCGCTTGGCTCGCTCCGTATGCAGGCTATAGGGCGCACATTGCGGAGCGTCTACGTCGACCAGATCGGCTTTCTGCCACAGCAGATGGATTCCGGCTTCCAGATCAGCCATACCTATATTTGGTAAGCTTCAACAGCCTCTCCTCTTTCGAAGGCGAAGCACGCACTAAGGATATTGTAGGCGCACCCGTGAGTCCGTGGAGAATCTCTTCGCCGGGCTGTACCCAATCCAATACAGACAGCCGACTCAGACCCTCACTATGCACGTCAAGCCGCAAAACATCGAAGTTATGATTAGCAATCCGACTGCGTGCCCGCGCCTGGGTCAGCTAACGACAGCATTCACCACTTCGTCCACATATCTATCTGCGCTCCAGCCGTTTAACGCCCTGCAAAGCACGCTCGTGGCAGCATACGGCACGCAGAACGTCTCCGGCTGGAACACGACGCAGACCCTCTACGACACCGCATCAGCGGAGTACTGCCACGGCTTAGGCACCAAAGGCAATATCACTGGATCGAACATCCAAAGCCTGGTCATCCCGGGCACGGCATCATATCACGAACTCTTCCGAAGCAACCCAATGGCCGAACAGGCCAAGCAGCTTGCTGTTGGGCCCTGGCTGAGCCAGATCCTCGCATCCTTCTACGACCGTAGCACGACGCTCCAAGTCTACTCCGCGCACGACGCCAGTCTGGACATGTTCCTGTCCGTGGTTGCGAACCCGGACTTGCCGTGGCCGCCGTTCTCGTCCAGCGTGGAGATTGAGCTGTGGCAGCATAACACCATGGGCTTGGTCGTGAGGATGTACTATGAGGGTATGATCGTGCCGGCGCATCCGAATCTGAACTGTAGCTTTACGGCTTGTCCGCTGGGGACATTGCAGGCATTCATGAGCAGGTATATCCTGCCTAACTATCGGACGGCTTGCGCGGCGGCGTAAACAGCTGCCGGAGCTTTGCAGGCTACCGTTCGGCATGTCAGCGCGTCAACCTGTCAGCAAGTCAGCATGTTAGAATGAACATGGATATATAAGTCACATATGAGATGTACTTGACAGTTTAGAACGCTTCTCTCGGCCTCCTGCTTCAGTGTCTCCGGCAAGTCTCGCGCGTGGACCGGCAGTTGCAAACGACACCAACACCCTCTCGTCATGTCAAGAACGCATCATTGCCAAGGCGTCGTTTGCGTTCCTTCGCACCGCGCCCCTTCTTGGCATCGGAACGTAAGTCCCCATTAGCGGCGTCAGACACCGCTATGCAGACCTCCTGATGAATCCGAAGCAGTCCACCCTCATCCTCCTCCGCCCACGTCGGAAGCTTTTCTTTGCGGGACTGCTTTGTACCAAGCGTCAAGAGTAGTCCTCGTACGCACCTCGTCGCCGAGAGATAAGCAGTTGGTAATCGTGCTGACCTCTTGAAGATCTCCCGGAAACCTGATCCGAGAGCCCTGGCGAATCCACACAATGAACTCGATGAACAGGTTCCTCATATCCGCGCCATATTCCCTAGCCCATGTATAGACCGCTTGCAGGAACTGCTGAAGATGCCGTTGGTCGGACTGTTGAGGTAAGAGCAGTAATACCGGTAGGACCATTGTCACAGAGGTGATTGCTGCCTGGACGCGGTGAGGATCTCGTGAGCGAAGCGAATGCTGCATTCGAGATATTCGGCGAGGATCTCTTCGGCAAAACCACGTTTCCTATTCACAATCCTGTCGTTAATATCTCTGCCTAGGTACACTCTGAACATGAGGCCGTAGATGACTGATCGGCATTCCTCTCCAATCTGGCGACAAGTCAAAAGGAGGGCGAGTGGCGGCCTTGTTCCGGAGTGAGTCAACGGACGCGGGCGGAAAGATCTTTCACGGCGGCATCGCTTCTCGGACTGCCGGTCGACTGCTTCGACGACCAGCTGATCGCGCTGCGAGCCTCAGGGGCGATTACGCCATCTGTCACATTGCCGGTCAATGGCTTTGTAGCTGATTTGATCGTGCTGCTCGAACACGAACTCGTAGATCCGGTTGCGGAGCTCTGCGGGCAGCTTGCCCAATGACGATCGACCAAGGGCGGTCTGCTTGAATGGGAGACAAGACTCGACGTTGGAAGCTGATGGGAGGAATTTGTCCGCATTGGATTTGTGTTGCTTCTAAGTCATGGGGTCAGCCAACTTCCAGCGTGAACCGTCCAGATATACCGAGCCGTTACCTTCTCGATTCGTGTGGTCCTGATCGGCTTAGCTATCCTCGAGTCGGAGGCCTTGGCAATCTCCCAGACCGTGGTCTGCCTTCGGTTGCGTAGCACAACCATGGCAACTACAAACGTGCGGGGCGATGTCGGCAAGTGTAGCAAGGACTTGTAGTGCAGGACAAAAATCTGGGTTTGTAGATCGCGCGAGACACGTGGCAGGCACTGGTCCGTTGCGCGTGGGAGGCCTCTGGCGACGATGGATCGGAGAGTGACCTATGATATAGTGATCCTGCGAAGTGTACGTGTATGTGGAAGTGAGTCGGAGTCGCCAGAACGAGAGAGGGGACGAGCCTGTCGAAGCCAACAAACGGCAGAATCGGGTACACGCGGCTAGTTGAAGCTGCAATCTCCTTAGCTGTCTATCATTCACAGACTACCAGAGCGCCGTGGCTTCTGCGAAACCTCGGGTCCCGCTCCTGGTGCCCAGTGCCACTTTATCCCGTAGCTGCCTATATCGCTGCGCCAGCGTACTAAACGAGATGACGAATACGGTGCTAGCCCTTTTCAACTGCAGCGGCGCATAGTCACTCACGCTTCTGTCGCAGACTCTGCAATGACAGCAGCCGCCTTAGCGTAATCGGTCACTCTCTCCCCCCCCGCCGCGTTACCGTCCCTCTTATGTCTTATACTTCTGATGCAACTGCCGAATCTGCTCCTGCACATCCGTCACCGGCCTCCCCATCCCCTCCGGTGCCTGCACACCCACGCCCATCATCTGCCCACCGTCCCCTCCTCCACCAACGCCACCACCAGCATCTTGCGCCCCCACCTCACCCTCCACCCTCTTCCCCGCCCTCTCCTCAAAAACATCCGTCCGCTGACTAGCCAACCTCTTCAAATTCCCCGCCACCTCCCTCGTTGACAGGTTCGTCAGCGCACTACGTTGCACATTCACGCGATGTTGGTCGCGCCAGTTGGGATCCATGAGCTCGATACGCATATGCTGCTCAATCTCCGAGTTGGCTATCCAGGTCCCGCAATTGGGGCAGAGTGATGTATTGGGCGGTTGTTGTTGACGGGACTGTTGGGCGGCGGCGCGAGGGATGTAGGTGTTTGTGTCGCGGATTTTGAGGTTGGCGGGGGCGGAGCGGGCGGCTTCTTGGGCGGCGCGGGCGCGGTCGCGATCGGCGCGGAGGGAGGCCAGGCGGGTTGCTTCGGGATCCATGTTCTGGGGAGGGGGTTGGTAGGGTGTTGTTGCTGGTGGCGTGGCGTGGGCGTGGGCGTGAGCATATGCTTGCTGGGGCGGCGGCGGCGGCATCTGTATTTGGGGTGCTTGCGGGTAGGGAGATGGTTGTTGCGGTTGCTGTGGCTGGCCGTAGAACTGATCGTAGTCGTTGAAAGTCGGCATGGCTTCTTCGATCCTACGGTCCGGGCGGATCGACATCGCCGCTTTCTGCTCCAAACTTGCGGATTGTAGGTCGTTGAGTGTGGTCGGTGGCGGGAGGTCCATACTATCATCCTCCTCCGTAAACAACACCGTCTCCACCACCGTAAAGTCATGCCAATCAATCTGCGCATACGCCACTTTCTCCTTCTCCTCCGCCTCATCTTTCGCCACTTTCTGCGCTTCCTGCCACTTGACCCACTCCGCGCGCTTCTTCGCCCGCTCCAACACGCGGAAGCGATTACTCACATTTGCTTCAAGCTCGGTGATGCGCTTCTTCTGCGGCCGCCCACCATCCACGCTCTCGCCCTGAATCAACTCGGTATACTGATCCACCAACCGCGAGAAGAATTGGTACAGACTATGCTGCGGCCGGAGGAAGTCGAATTGGAAGTTCCCCGCTTCGCGTTGAGCGAGCTGACTCATGAACGCGCGCCCGTTCTTCGCCACCCACAGTGCCGTCAATTTCACCACTTCCAGATCCTGCGCGGAGATGTTCGGCATACGCGCGGAGAACTGGAACTCCTCCGGCTTCTCCGGCCCTTTCCGCTCCTCTCTGCCTCTCCCACTCACGCCCGTCTGTCCCTGCACGATTTCGTTCTCGCGACCGGCGGAGATGAGATTGCCCTTTCCCGCGCGGATCTCGGAGAGACGCCATTGGTAGTAGGCGAGGTAGGGGTCGTCAGATTGTAAGAAGGAGAGTTTTACTGTCCCGCTGTTGCGCAGTTTGTCTTCGAATGTTTGCCCATTACGCGCCACGTAGCCGGCCGTCTTTTCGATTTGATTGCGGATCTGTTTGGAGGGGATGAGCAGGCCCGATGGTGCTCGGGAGGCGATCTCGTCGATGATGTCTTTGCTGTCCGTCTTGGCGTCGGTGGTCGCGGCCATGATGGGCGGCGGTGCTTGCTCTTGCCTGCCCTGCCAATGCCTACTTGCCTGCCTGCTCAGAAAAACACACAGTCTTAGCACATTAGTTGATGTTGCGAATGTCGTCGATGGTAGAGTTTGTCACGAGAGACTGATTCAACTGATTCAAGCTCGGCGGCTTCACGAAGCAGCCGTTAGCGCAATCATGACTCGAGAATCTCTGCACGAATCATGCGCCCCGCAATGGAAGGAGGTGCATAAGCGTTGCAGCCAGCGTGGCAGACCCCTGGCCCCCAAATATAGCTGACACGCGAGGAAAGCTGGCGACATCACCAGCTGAGACACACATCCGCATTGAGCACCTCTCTTCAATTCCCAGTACTGTCTTGCCCTTATCGTCCCTCCTTCAGACTCGTTACATTCACCTCACCTTACTTCTTGTCGTGCCTGCCATATTGGGAAAGGGGAAGAAGGCGCATTTAGGGAGCTTGGACTTGCAAGGCTAAGGTGTCTATGGAAGCTTAAACATTAACGGCCATCGACCACATCCTACCTCTCACACGCGCCAAGATGGCGTCTCAGAGGAAGAGTGACAGGCACGACGCCTCATATTCCAATGGCACCCCAATCACACCCGGCATGGTGCAATCCTCACCCGACAAACCCCCCCACCCTGCATATGACTACACCTCCTCCGGCGTCACGGACAACAACCCCTTCAATCTCAAGAGCCACGACTGGGAAGCCCTCGGCGCCGTCACCCTCATCGCCCTCTTCGTGCGCCTCTTCCGCATCTACCAACCCTCCTCCGTCGTCTTCGATGAGGTGCACTTTGGTGGCTTCGCCAGCAAATACATCAAGGGTAAGTTCTTCATGGACGTGCATCCACCGCTGGCGAAGTTGTTGATTACGTTGGCGGGGTGGCTGGCTGGCTTTGATGGCGAGTTTGACTTCAAGGACATTGGCAAGGATTATGTCGAACCAAGAGTGCCGTATGTGGCTATGCGGCTGCTGCCTGCGCTCTGTGGTGTGCTGCTGATTCCGACGGGTTTCTTGACGCTGAAAGCAGCTGGCTGCAAGACCATCTCGGCAACGCTGGGTGCCGCGCTCCTGCTCTTCGAGAACGGCCTGGTCACGCAAAGCCGCCTTATCCTGCTAGACGCACCCCTCGTCATCTTCACCGGCATGACGGCTCTAAGCTGGTTCTCCTTCACCAACCAACACGAACTCGGCCCCTCCCGCGCCTTCACCCCCTCCTGGTGGTTCTGGCTCACCGCCACCGGCCTCTGCCTCGGCGCAACTGTCAGCGTGAAATGGGTCGGCCTCTTCACCATCGCCTGGGTCGGCTCCCTTACCGCCCTGCAACTCTGGGTCCTCCTCGGCGACACCCACAACGTCACCATCCAGAAATGGTTCAAACACCTTTTCGCCCGCGTTTTCTGCCTTATCGTCATCCCGATCACTTTCTACATGGCCATGTTCGCCATCCACTTCACCTGTCTCGTCAACCCGGGCGACGGTGACGGCTTCATGTCCTCCGAGTTCCAATCCACCCTCAACACAAAATCCATGGCTGACGTCCCCGCCGACGTCGCCTACGGCTCCCGCATTAGCTTGCGCCACCACAACACCCAAGGCGGCTACTTACACTCTCACTCCCACATGTACCCGACCGGCAGCAAACAACAGCAAATCACCCTCTACCCGCACAAGGACGAAAACAACGTCTGGCTCGTGGAAAACCAAACCCAACCCATCGATTGGTCCGCAGATCCCACAGGCAACACGTCTGTTGCCGGTCCCTTCGCCTGGGACGCGCTGAAACCCGAATACGTCCAAGACGGCGCCCTCATCCGTCTCTACCACATCATCACCGACCGCCGTCTACACTCCCACGACGTCCGTCCCCCGCTCACAGAAGCAGACTGGCAAAACGAAGTCTCCGCCTACGGCTACGAAGGGTTCGAAGGGGACGCCAACGATCTCTTCCGCGTCGAAATCGTCAAGTCAATGTCCGACGGCTCGGCGGCGAAAGAACGACTCCGAACGATCCAGACCAAGTTCAAACTCGTGCATATCATGACCGGGTGCGTGCTGTTTAGTCACAAAGTCAAGCTGCCCGATTGGGGCTTCGAGCAGCAGGAAGTCACGTGTGCGAAGGGAGGGACGCTGCCGAATAGTGTTTGGTACATCGAGTCCAACACCCACCCCGCCATGGAAGAAGGCAGCGTGGAGAAGACGAATTACCGTAACCCGGGCTTCTTTGGCAAGTTTTGGGAACTGCAGAAGGTGATGTGGACGACTAATGCTGGACTGGTGGAGAGTCATGCTTGGGATTCGAGACCACCGTCCTGGCCGGTCTTGAGGCGCGGGATCAACTTTTGGGGGAAGGACCATCGACAGATCTATCTACTGGGAAACCCTTTGATTTGGTGGGCGAGTACCGCGGCGGTGGGCGCTTGGGTGGTGTTCAAGGGACTGGCGGTGTTAAGGTGGCAGCGCAGTTGTGAGGATTATCGGGATGTAACGTTTAGGCGGTTGGATTATGAGGTCGGGACCAGTGTGTTGGGTTGGGCGTTTCATTATTTTCCTTTCTACCTCATGCCGCGGTACGTCCCTATACCCTCGATCTGGCGTGACAGCAGGGCCGCTAACGAGAACGGGTGGATTATAGGCAACTCTTCCTCCACCACTACCTCCCCGCCCTCTTCTTCGCCATCATCACCCTCACCCAACTCTTCGACTACACCTTCCACCGCATCACTCTCAGCTTACCAAACAACACGAACCTCTCCTTCAAACACTACGCCGCCGTCGGCCGCACCGCCGCCGTTTTAATGCTAGCAGCCAGCATCGCAGTCTTCTACCTCTACGCCCCCATCACCTACGGAAACACCTGGACGAAGTCCGACTGCAACCGCGTGAAGCTATTCGAAACGTGGGATTGGGACTGCAATACCTTCCTGGACTCCTACGCGGACTACGGTTCCCTCGCCGTCGCCGCCCCAACCGGAGACGCCGCGCCAACGGGGATGGAAGCCGCGCACGGCCCCGCGCCGCCCGTCGCAGAGGATCCGGCGAAGGATGTCAGTATCACCCCCGGAGCGGGCGGGCACATGAATGTACCCCCCGGAGCGGTGACGGAGGAGAAGATTGAGTATAGGGATGAGAATGGCAATTTGCTGGATGAGGCGCAGGTCAAGGCTTTGGAGGGGAAGGTGTCGTTCTCGACGCGGTACGAGACGCGCACGAGGTTGGTGGATGAGATGGGGAGGGAGATTTATAACGAGGTTGTTGAGCCGGCGGGGATTGAGCCGGTGGGTGAGGGTGTGGAGCAGGATAGCGTGGCTGCGGATGGGGTGGCCGGAACGAGCGCCAGTGGACCTGAGGTCGAGACGCATGGCCGGCCCGAGGCGGAGGCGAGTGCCAGCCCGCCTGGTGTGGATGTCGAGGAGGATTTGGAGAAGGAGGAGTGGGTTGAGGGTGCGAGGGCGACGGCGGAGCCGGAGAGTGAGGCTGTTAGTCAGACGAGGAGGGATGAGTTGTGAGTGGCAGTCGTGTGTTGGGGCATGAGGAGGCGTTTGGCTTGGTAATTTGAGCGAAGGGTTAGTAGACATGGGGGGGTTGGGATGGGAGTGGATGTATGTATGATATACGCTGTCAGCATTACTATAGTAATAAAAGATAGCGATAAAGGCGATGGAGCACGTGCGCCCAGTCCAGTGGTGAACATGTCACATCGTTGGAATGATATCTACACAGGCATTGCAGTAGAAAAGGCGTTTGCACGCTGTCACGCCAGAACACGCGGCTGGCTTTTCTGCGCTTGACAGTCAAAGCGCTCAGCGTCCCGCCAGCACCGCACGCCATCGCTAATGCAATGCGATGAATCGCGAGACTTTTCGACAGCACCCTTTGTGTCGTCGGCTTCTGTGCGCGGTTGGCCAGGCGCCGACGCTTGCGTTACCCTCGCTACCATCATACATTGCTCCGCTGCCTCACTCGAGCGATTAACGCTCCGCTTTTCCGCAATTGACTCTAGACGGCCATCCGCTCATAAAGCAGGATATAAGCGACCTTGTTATCCTTCACCCCTTCCTTCCTCGCAGGCGTCGGGGTCCGCTTGCCCGCCGTACTAGTAGGCGTGGCCGTGCCATTAGTAGTGGCAACACTACCCCACTGTTGCTTCTTCCCACCGGCTACATGGCCATTGACCTGCGACCACGGTCCCTCTTCCTCGGCCTCGTGGTCGGCTTCATCAAGGCCTTGGTAGATATTCCGTTGCTTCTGCAGCTCTGTGTCCGCCTTATGCTGCTCGAGCGCTTTGGCAAGCAGCTTGGGGTCTTCCTCCGAGCCGCCTTCGGCGACATCTTCGGGCCTGATGCGGCGGATGATCGTGTCGTCCATCCGCACCCATTCTCTCTGGTCCTGGCGGAGCACATCCACGGTGTAGTGGCCGCCTGCCGCAGACTTGCCGTGGTGGTATACGACGCTAATAAGCCTGTATTTCGGCAGGCCACCCTTCACGGCCAGTCCAGCTCGTCGGGATGATGGGAAGACTTCTTTCGGAATCTCGAGTTCGAGCGGATAACCAATCTTCTTCCAGATCTTTTGGGTGCCCGTCAGGTTGTTCTCGTACTGGAACCGCTTGAGATGCAGAACCAGCACCGGCGGCACCGTGTCGATAAACACCTGCTTCTTGGCAATGTTGCCGCGTCCGCCGAACTCGCCGGTCAGGGACTCTGTGCGTGTCAGGCCCTTCAGAGCATCTACAATGTTGTTGACATGTGCCGCGCCGATGTCAAGCTGCAGCGGCTTATACGGCTCCAGTGTGACCGAGTCCTTCAGGCCGGGCACGCGAAGTTCGGAGCGTAGATGACCTCCAAAGATCTTGGTTATGGGTGATGGTGCGTCTTCATGCCCGGCCGTTCGTGTCACCGAAGCCTTCTGCTTGGGTCCGACTTCAAGCCAGCCATCTGCGGAACTCGGAGAAGCTGTGATACTTGGCGAAGTCACGCCTTCAGTCTGCGACTCAGTTGAGCTGCGCATGACTGTAACGCATTCGTCGTGTAAGCACTCCAATATAAAGCCGAGGAACTCTTCGGCATCTTGTTGGTGACCGCGCTGCACAATGTCAGCGTCGTCAAGAACCTGTCGTCGTATCAACTCACCCTCATATTTTGGAAGCGCGGAAGATCTCTGACAGCCTCGTATACGTATTCCGGCGTGACAGGCTCGCCGAACTGCTCGAGCTGCTCTTGCTTGAGCGTTTTGCGCAAAGCTTCCACCGACTCCGCGCTTGCTAACACTTTGAAATCGCGCATAAACATAATCATGGCATCCACCAGTGGGGTATCACTTTTCATCGAATGCACAGTTCGTTGCCGCACCTGGTCCAAGAAGTGATAGAAAGGAGTACAGAACAACAAAATTTGCAAAACCTGGAGATAGAAGATTAGCCTCATTTGTAACACAAAACAGGTTGGTGCACTCACCGAACTCATATAACACATGTTGCCAGTATTTACAAGTCCACGCGGCTCAAGAAATGGGATAGGCGCGGCGCTTTGGACGCTATATTGGCGAAGCGCCTCTGCAAGTGTTGCAGTCTTCGGCAACGCTGTGCCATTTTGGACCGCGTCAGTAGCCTGAGAGGCAACGCTGCCGGGACCAGCTGCTTTGCGGGCCATGTCAGCCCATGATTTTGGTACAGCCCTCGGTGGCGGCGTTTGCGGTGTCGCCGCTTGCTCCGGCTCCTTTGGTTGCTCTTCCGAGGTTCGCTGCGCCGCTAGTGTTTGCGTTTGCGCTTGACTCTCAGGCGTGGGTGTGGTCTCATCCGCAGAGGGAGCGATCGGAGTGTCGCGCTTTTCCGTAGACGCTGGGGAAGACTTTGGCTTCGGCAAGCCGGGTATGTTCGGCACCGCAATCGCTGTTCTGGTATCTCTGCGTGCATGTGTCTGCGCTAATGTGTACGTTTGCGCTTGCGTAGGCGTCAACTTGGGTGATGGCAACTGTGCTTGCGCGGGTGTAGCCGGCGTTGACACTTGCGTAAAGTCGCTCTCGGAAGGCGGCTGAGATGTTGCTGGTGTCTCAGGCTCTGATGGAGCTGGAATTGTTGACACCTCAGACGGTGCTTCATCCGTCGCTTGTTCCCTATCATCTTCGCCCTCTTGTTGTTGCTGCGGCATCGTCAAGGCGCTCGGCTGCGAAGGCTCTTGCCGCTGGGCGCGTCTTCTTTGCTTGGGCATCGTTTTCGGTGGGAAGCTCTCAGTGGGTACTGAGTACCATGGAAGGGGTGGGTAGTAGGGTGTTTTGTGCTCTGGCGGCAGCGAAAGAGGGTTTTGCGCTTGTGATTGTCGCCTTGAGGTGGGTGGTTGTGACGGCATCTCAGATAGCTGCGCAGGTTGATATGGTTGTGAACGCTGCTCTTCCGCTTGATTCGCCGCTTGATCTTGCCTTGTTAGCCCTCTGATCTGCGCTTCAGATCGTTCCGATTCGCTTGCTTGTTGCTGTATCTGAGGCTGTGGTAGCGGCTGCTCAGGTTCCGCTTCCTGCTTCGGCGTCGGCGCAGGTGAAGGTGGCGCTAGTGGTGTCTGCGGCATGCGGTTGACGCTCTGCGGAGCCGGTCGTGGTGAATGCATCATGCCTGGCGTTTGCATATGCGGATATGGCGAGGGTCGCGTGACTGGCGGAGGCGGTCGCCCGTGACTAGAGCTCACCACTACCGGACCGGGACCGGTGAATGGAGAAGGCGGGCCTGGATATACTGGTGTCTGAGGATGCTGTGGCCAATACGTAGGGTGTTGGTGTGGCGGCCGCTGCGGGAAGTAGCCCGGATTATAGGGTGGGTAATACGATGGATGTATCGGCGACTGCGGGGGGTGGTGACGAAAGGCGCTGGCATGGTATTCTTGCTGTCTTCGCGATTGACCGTGGATGTTGGGTGGTAGGTGTGGGGGTTGGCCGGGGCCAGCCTGCATGGTATGGTTCATCATGCTGGCGGCGAGAGCGCAGGAGCTTGCGCTCCCACGCGGACGGCGGCTGCCCTACGGTGAGGACCCAGCCTGCCGTTCTCTATGCACTCCTTCTACCTTCTTGTGCAGAGGTGGGACTGCCTCTGGACCACATTGAGCCACGTGACGCGGTTGTGGTAGGCGGAAGGGATTGTCTCGGTTGCTGAGGAAAGATCTTAGACTATCTGCATCATTGACAGAGATGCTCGAGACGGTGAGCTTCGTTGTTCTCTCGACACCCACTCTACGACGGAGATGATAGAGTGAAGATCAGGGTGTTTGGAGGAGATCCACGAGGGAGGTGTCTCGTGAGCAGGTTGGGCATGATGGAGAGCGAGGGCGAGCGTTTCCGGGATGCCAAGATTGACAGGTCCGTGCGCGGTATTGAAGCTCAGCGTCGGCGAGATGGAACAAACATGCACTCACTTATCGACTGAAGCTTCTTACAGGAGAGCAATGCTATCCTTGAAAGAGACACTCAGGCTAGGTCGCAAGTCATCCGAAAGGTAGACTTGCATTGCTCGACGAACATCACGTTTGCTGCTTTACTAGCTTGCCCGAATATGACCGACAGTTGCCTCCAGCGCCTCGCTAAAGCAACCCTTTGGGAACGACTACGCTCAATTCCAATGCGGACTGACCCTTTTCACGTACTTCATAAACTTCCAGAAGCCTACCGCATACTCCACGTTACCATACGGATCCTTGACCCGCTCGGGCCATGCGATGCCAGCACCGTACAAGCCCGGAAGCCGTTGCGTACCAGGTTCTGGACCTGCCGCGTATGTAAAGGTGCCGTTCTCGTGGTCGTAATGTGGATCGATTTCCTCGCCCTTGCTCGTCCGTAGGCGTGGAATCGGTTCGCGCGTATACCCAATGGCCTGGATCACAAAGTCCGAGCCCGGCAGATGCTGCTCGAATGCCTTTTGCTCCTCACCTTTTTCGTAAGTGATGACATCGATGAACTTGCTCACAGGGCTTTTTGGGAACACTTCGGGCTCAAGATGCTCTTTGGCCCAGGTGGCGACTTCGCCCTTCAGGCCGGTGTTATCGCGCAGAATCCAGTTATCCATGTACTCTGCGTAGCGAAGAGCATGTCTTGTGCACCAACGTATCCTCAAGTCGGGCTTAGCAGATGCGGCCAGGTTATAGAGGTTGCGCAGCACCAATATAGCGGAATGGGATGCTCCGATGACTGAGATCGTCGTTGGGCCCAACGGCGTCAGCTTCTTGGTGAGCAGTGTTGGTGATAGAGCATCATCGAGGTCGATGCGCGGTGTATCATTAACATTCTCCGGTAGAGGCGCTTCTGTGGGCGACGAGCCAGTGCAGAAGACAACCCTCTTCGTGGTAGCCGTTGCCATTTGCGCTTCACCTTCAACGTTCACCGACCATCGCTCGGTTTCCAGATCAAGCTCTGCGTCTGTGACGTAGCCCCTTTGACCGACTACGTCTGGCCGTTGTAGCAAACCTTTCGTAAGAGTCAAAATCATATCTGCTGCATGGCTAAGGTGGCAGCCTTTTGTTGGATCGAGCTGTCGCAAGTCCCAAAGACTGTCTCTCTGCTCGCCGAACGCAACGGACCCGCTTCGGTTCGTCGGTTCCTTCGGTGTACCGTCGCTGATCGTCTGTCTGAACGGTGTTACAGCCGTAGCAAAGTCGATGAACAACTGCACCTTTGTATTGGACGGCACTTCTCGATACTTGGCATTGACCCGGCCTCCATTGAACGCGGGATCGACCCAGAGAATTGGCGCTACACCTCGTTCCAGGAGGTTCCCAACACATGTGACGCCGGCCGGACCTGCGCCGACAACGATCGCTCCATACTCCTGGGTTTGCTTCGAGGGGAAATTTGCAACGGTGGCGAAACGAGCTGTTCGTGATTTGCGCTTTGTGAAAGATGGATGTAAGGTACCCTGGTACGATGCCTCACGTCCTGCCTTGATACTGAGACGCGACGCGTGGGCTACATCGTAGGTTGCATTGAAAGATCGTCTTGGTACAACGGAATTTGTGAAGAGGCGAATCCGTCCGGTACATGCCAGCCAAGGCTTTGCAAAAATCTGCGTGTTGCAGATGGTTAATGCAGGTTGGCCATACACAGCAGCCAGTTCGTATGCGTGGCTAACTGTACGCCTGGTAGTCTGCAGCATAATTCGCACCGTCGCTCCAAACGTGAAGCAAAGCCGCTATGAAGAAGAGTCAGCGGGTTTTTGGGTTGTCGCTCGCGGACCCTCTTCACCGGCGTCACTAATCCCGGAGACGAAACGGGCTAAGCGTATAGCGAAATGCGGATCTTCCCGGTGAGGTGCACGATTCTCTAGATCGTACATCCGCATCACTCCGTACAATGATGGCTGTCCCATTCGTAACATCACCTCTCAGTGGGTGCCAACTGTCGCAAATGCCGATTAGCCTCTCTCACGCTCTTCGGTGGGCCATGCGTCTTCGCGGACGTAAGGATTTGCTCTTCCTCTTGCATGTTCCTCATACGCGTGATCTCCAACACGCTATTCCCGTCTTCGTCTTTGACTTCGAGATCGGGGTCCCCAAGATTAACCAGCAGGCGCAATATCTGCGTATCCCCTTTATCTAATGCCTGCAGCACTGCGTTCCACCCTCGGTACATCAGGTTGATGTCCGCGCCCTTGGCAAGGAGGTGTTTTATGTACGATAGATCGTCCTCGCGATGCCGCCGAATGGCTTTGATGATGGGGAGGTGCTCGCCGGGTAGATTGGGATCGGCCCCAGCCTCATCCAGCAGATACTGGAAAATGGCTTTCCGGTTCTCTCGGATGCTCGTTGTAAGGGGACTGAACACACCTCCGTTCTTCTCCTCGACGTTGACGCCTTTGGCCAGCAGCAGTTTGACGCTGTCCAGTTGGTCGGCTTGAACGGCGAGTTCGAGTGCGCCCTTGGGAATCCTGTTCGTCGGCAGATGTGCAAGGACTAGAGCCAGTATTGACGGCTCTTTGACGGCCATGTTGACTGGCCACTCGTGCCCGCGCACTCCGGGGTCCGCACCGTGAGCCAGAAGGATTTCGATGAAGCCGATGTCGTTTTTGGATATCGCGGTCGTCAGCGCTGTATGACCGGCAGCGTCCCGAGCGTTCGGGTCGACCTTGGCCTTGAGCAGGTATAGCAGCGCGTCTTGATCATTGTGCGCCACGGCCGTCTCTATTATCCCCTTAGGGTGGTTGAGGTCCGCGCCTGCCTCGACCAAGCCAGGCAGTAAATGGGTGCGGTGATGTGTCACACATTTGAACGCCGGATACTCCGAAGCTGGAAGATTGGGATCCGCTCCGGCAGCAAGGATGATCTGCACCAAGCTTTCTCGGTTGTCTCTAATTGCGGAGCAGAGTGGCGTAAAGATGCCATCCTTCTTCGCGTTTGGGTCTGCGGAATGCTTCAGAAGGATTTGGACGCTTTCAAGAGAGTTGATCGACGTGGCGAGCTCGAGGACGCCCGGGGCGCGTCGCAGATCGGCACCTTTCTGGAGGAGACAGTCGAGAATTGGCGGTTTGTGGACGGCGGGCCAGAGCATGTGCTTCGGTCCTGGCAGGTTTGGGTTTGCACCGTTGCTCAGCAAGAGCGTAACAATATCCACACGGTCTGCATTGATAGCTTTAAACAGTGGAATCTCGCCGTGGCTGTCTTTTGCATTGGGATCAGCTTCGTAGATCAACATGAGCTCGATAAGCTGCCGTGGAACGGTCGAGTTGATTGCGTGCATGAACGACGTATCACCGCTTCCCAGAACCTTATTGGGATCGGCGTTATACTTGAGATACAGCTGTGCTAAGGCTCCCGTGCCGTGGCGGAGACTCAGGGCGAATGGAGTGCCTTGACCAGGCCCTGCTGGAAGATCCGGATCCGCGCCGTACTTTACCAACAAGCGCGCCGCTTCGATAAACAAGGTCTCCGTTGCAGCATAGAGGGGTGTGAACTGGTCCTTGTCTTTGGCATTTGGATCCGCTCCGAAGAGTAGGAGCAAGCGGACGCTGTCAATGTCATGCTTCATAATAGCTACTCGCAGCAGGTTGCACTCTAAGGTGCCGTCTGGAGGCACTCCTCCATCCAGCAGATGCTCGACCATTTTATGATTGGATCCCCGGACAGCGACAAGCAGAGCTGTTTGAGCAGACGGGGCGCTCGCACCCTGGTTGTGCGTTGGCCGCCATCTGGATACCGTTGTTAGATCGACCTTTGTCCGGATTGGACTTCTTGGCATGTCATCTAAGCTCGGAGGCTGCCCGGTATCATTGACGGTCTCCGCCGACACGTCGGAAAGCCGATCACTGGTTGCCGCTGTATTTACGGCGCTTTGTGGCGTAAATGTATGCGAGACGAGCGTTCCTCTGCTTGAGCCCTGACCTCGAGGAGGGTCACTCCAGCTCTCTCGTCCGCGGATGTCTGGAATCTCAGACCACTCAGGAGAAGGGAAATCCCGCGGCAAGTTTCGATTAGTACCAGACAACTTGTCCTCGGCGTCACGCATTGCTCCTCGACCACCCGGAAGTGTGTCAATAGCGTTCACGGACATGACTCTCGGTACGCCTCGCGTGGGGTCCGCACGACCAAGGATTGCCGCGAGCGCTGTATAACCGATGCATAATCCGGTGTCGACATTGACCTGACCTAGCATCCAGGTGAAGATCAGAGAGCTCTTCCTTGCGACTTCCCGGCATTGGATGATGGATTCCGTTAGCTTGTTCATTTCCCCTTCACTGAACATCATACGAAAGCTCCTGGCAAGCTTACTGACCCCTTTTCTATGTTCATCTTCGAGAAGTTTGTTAACCACGTTCTTAACCACGCTGAAGTTCGTCTGATATCGACGCAGAACGTCAAGCAGCTCGTTTGATTTATCGGCTGGGAACTGTATTCGACTGCGTTCTGCTTCAGCTAAACCGGTATTTGCAGCAAAGAGCGGACGACTTGTCTCTAGAAACTCCTCGGCGAACTCTCTGGAACCGTGACGTGGGTTGCGCGCTTCACTAAGGTATTCCAACAAATGTACTGCGCAGGTATTGCCAAGCTTCAGGCTGCTTGTGCATAACTCTAGAAGAGTGTTTTGTTCCTTGCGCGCCATAGGTATGGACCGTATGGTTCTCCCTCACGGAGCATGCGAAAGCGTTTAGAACGTAGTAAGTGAGATTGGCTCTCGATAGCGCATCGACCTACCTCTAGTCTAAGTCCTCAGCAGCCCCTCGGTCTTATAATACAGACTGAGATCGATGGCCTGGGGAAGCCCGGCAAATCGACCACATACCCTGGTACACTCATCGTCGCTACACATGGCCAAGTGGGGCTATTTCGCCCAATCCGGTGTAGCAGAATCTTACTGGACGTACAGTAATAAAGCGGCACAGCTTGGTCCACTCGTCGGCGATGCATTGGGTCCGACTCCCTCGCGCGCTACGACACGTGTATCGCAACATTCTGCTCCATTAACAAGTTTGCTACGGTATGTATAGCATCTTTGCGTGGTTCCTCCCGTCTGTCTGACAAGAGCATTGGTGTGCTGTTCAACAGTCAAGTGGTTGAACCTTGGTGGAGGAAACTCGTGGTTGATTGAAGCGGAGCGCACAGGCCGCAGTGCACCAACGTCTGCCGTAGTGTCCGCTGAAACGGCCCCTCTCTGCTCGGTCTGGTCTTCACGACTTCCAAAGCACGATTGGAAAACTGACTCGTCGGCCGACCGTGCCCACGACATTTAGTCCCGCTCGGGCACCAACAGCGTCGGTGGCGGCGGTCGGCAGCAGGCCTAGATCCAGTAAACCTTTTTTCCCGCACTTTCCTGTCTCCCGGCTGCACTTATCACCCTCCGCAGTATACCTCCCTCTCCCTCCAACACCATGAGAAGCCGAGTGTTTGTCACTGGAGGTAGAGCAACAAACGTTTTCCCATCGTACGACTTCGAATCATCTGACCAAATGTATCCGGGCGAGTCGTGGTTTCGGTAACGACTCGCTGGCTGCGTGGGTGGGTATAAATAGTAACATGCAATAACAGAGCAGAGCAGTCGGTCGCGACTCGCGGCACCGCTGGCGTGACCGGCGCGACCTGCGCGACCTGCATGACCTGGTACATGAGCCGGGTGCTGCTACGTCGGCATCCTCACGCGCAGGAGGTGCTTGCTCGGTTCCAAAGCTTATGGTCAGCTCCCTTGTGCGTGTGCCTGGAGCTTGAGGCTGATGGAAGGTCAACATTGTATGTACTCCCCGATCTTCATGTGGGATGGAACGGGAGATTGGCGGCATAGATATGTTGTCTGATTGGCTTTAGGAGGCAGATGTCTGGAGGAGTAACTGGAACCTACCTAGACATCTCGTAGACCTAGGGCCTCCGATGTCACAGAGAACTCGAACGAAGCGGAGAGAATACTGTAGCTGTGCACTACCGACGAACTTGACTGCAATGGACACAATGTCGATGCCCATACATTGGCCTCACGGCGCCAACTCAGTAGCACCATTCATGCCATCCTTCTTTGCCGCCTCATAGCTCGCTAACTTGAAATCATACTGCAAATCGAACTGTGCTTGCGGATCTCCTTCCTTCGGCGCGAAATCCACGATCAAGCTCTCCTTAACCGCAAACACAGAATCATCGGAGATATGCTTGTCCCTCCGATCGAAGATCTGCGTAACAAGCGGCTTGTAGCCGGGTGCGGTGATGATGAAGTGAATGTGCGCCGGCCGCATAGGATGCCGGTCCAACAGCTCCAATAACTTGCCTGCTGGTCCGTCGTTGGGCACAGGGTAGGAGGTCGGGCGCAGACAGTAGAAGCTGTACGTGCCGTCTGCGCCTGTGGTGAAACGGCCGCGAAGGTTCATATCTACTTGGTTGGGATCCTGTTGCTCGTAAAGCCCGTTCGGCGCCGTGTGCCAGACGTCCAGCTCGGCGTTTTCAATCGGTTTGCTGGTGTGGTAATCCAGGACTTTGCCGTGCATGAGGGTGTTGTCGCCGTCGTCGATGCCGAAGACGATCGTGTCGCCCATTTTGCGTTTGGGAGCATCTTGTCGCCAGAAGGGACCCAGAATGGCGGTAGCTGTGGGTGCGTCTTTGGCGTCATCTGCCAGTTTGTAGGTGATTTCGTCTACGAGCGATTCAATTCCGAGGATGTCGCTGAGGAGTTGGCCTTCGTTGCGTTTCGCGTCAGACATCCTGCCTGCCCAGTTCATCTGATCGTGCCGTTAGTCGTCCCGAGATAGTGAGTCAAGTATGGCGACAACTCAACGACTTACCAAGTCGATGGCAGCCATGTACTCGTCAATCTTGATCTCATTCTCGCGAAGGAAGTCATGCAGGTGTCTGGTTAGGCTCGCAATCACCTTGCGCATCCGTGGAGTGGCTTTTGGTCCGGTGGCGTTAATGACGGCGTCGGTGAAGTGAGGATCGAAACGTGATGTGGTAGTCGACGATTCAGCGTGCCCATTGACACCGTTAGCGGCTCTGTGGTCAGGTTCGATTTCGGGAACGAGCTGTAGCGGTTGCTCGACCTTGCCCGACATGATTGGAGGTATGCCTGGTCGAACGGCTAGTCTTGGGTGAAGAACGTGTCGAGAGAATACCAAGTCGGTGATGGCCTGAAACACTAAGACTATCGAGTCCAGCTTTAAACTCACTGTGTTAGCAAAGTGGTTGTGCTTCACAAAGCGTAGTTTAAGCTACAACTTGCCATTCCGCCCTTGACTATTACAGTTCCAATCTAGCCGCATCCTCGCTATAACACCACGCTATCACCGGTTGAGCGGAGCATTGTCGTGGCCATCATCACTAGCACTAAAGACTAAGATATTCTTCGAAGGCAGAGGAGGCGGGGCAAGGCGGGGAGCTTCGAATGGCGGAGTACGCTGCCCGGACTTAGTTGATCTTCTTCCTGTCGGTTTGCTCCAGCTCAGCAGTCCAGGGATGCTTGATCCGCAAGCACCAAATGTCCAGGTAATCGCAGATCGTGACAATCACATCAATGACAAAGCTGCCGTAGACGCCGATTGCAAAGCCCAGGCAGACGAACATAAAGCCGACTTGGTAGACTCCGCTGCCAAATACACTAGGCCAACCCATGCCAACAGTCTCCTGTGCCTTCGGACCTATTGCATCGATCACGCCGATGAGCAGAGGTAGGGCCAGGACATTCTGGTATGGGAAAGCTGACTTGGTAAGGTGTGCCGTGATCATCTGGCCCACGCTGTAGGAGTTAATGAGGCCGACGTAGAAGACGAAGGGAACCAGATGGCTCGTTAGTACGACCGGTTGGAGCGCAAGGTACGCAACGATCAACGTCCAGATGGCAAAAAAGGGAGCAAGTCCCAACATCGCGGTGACTGCAGGCTCGCCACGCTTCGTTCGAGCAGAAACGACGTTGAAAATGCTGTACTCTTTGTCACTGACCGACACTGCAAGTAAAGAGATCGTATGTCTACATACCTCTCAGCCGTATTGCACACCAACAAGACGCCCGCGACAACCATGAAGAAGCTCCCGAAGTCCAGCTCATACAGATCTCGCGGCAGGAAGTCCATATACGGAAAGCCTAATGTGGGCAGGGCAGGCTGCTCCCAATACCATCCTCCACCTTTAAGCGCGGTAAAAGCAAAGACGTAGCACTGCAACAAGACGCCTTCAACGGGACCGGACATCAACCCTAGAGTCAGAGTCTTGGTGTGATACTCATCCCACGTCTGGACGTAGAAAGTAAGTAACGTGCCGAAAAGCGGGAACATCGTCCGCCAAGTCTGTCCCAACTTCATCGTCGCGGCGAATAGCAACGTCTCGAGGCAGGTGTTCAGCGCATCGACTCCGTGGTCGAATAGCTCGCCAAGTGGACCGCTCTGGCGTGTACGTCGTGCTTGTGCTCCGTCAATTGCGTCGAAGGTCTGATACAGGAACAGCCCGATAGACCAGGAAGCGTAAACCCAGGGCGGACAGTCCTGGTCCAGCGTTGGAGTGTAGTAAAGCATAGTCAGTATATTGATGATGACGAAGCCAAAGCCAGCAAGTGTGATTGCATTGGGAGCGACGGATAGCGGGAAGACCTTGATGACTTGACTCCACCAGTACGGCTTGAGGACGTAGCGAGATATTAGACTGTGATCAACACCGGAATACTGGTATTCTTTGAGCCTTTCGAGCTGCTCGTGGCGGATGTAGACCATTTTCACGACTTGAACACGTTTTGCTAGGACCCCAGCACTTGTTTAAGATCAGAGATGGATGTCCCGAGCACGCAAGGGGCGAGAAGTGAGGCGCGGCCTTCTACTAAGAGAAGGTCGTGAAAAACATCTCACTGAAGCAGTGAACAAAGTCGTTGGACTTGAAAGTTCGAGCCAAATTTGACGCGTTGTGGGGAACGTTTGATGTAGTGCGCGCCAATGGCGCGAGCTGCAATGGTCCTCATTCACCGCGTTCCTTCACATAGCTCATACTGCTCGTATCGGTGTATGATCTTGCTGTGAAGTCGTGCATGTAATGGAATTGTGCCTCGCAATATGTTTCTTGGCGTGCCAGCTCACCACCATTTCCAGGCCGCAACAACTCTCAACGCCTCCCCATGCTAAGCACTTCCCGCATCAACCGATCGGACTCCAGGGCATTGGAACCATGATCCTACTCTTCATGCTCTGAATGAGTGGCACAGTCTTGTGTACCGTTTCACCCCAGCCTGAGACACTCCAGCTCTGCTCACGCCGTGCTCTACGCTCTTCCAGATCTGCAAATTGCCAGAGATGGTGCACTGCGTTTAGATCACCAATCTGTACGAACCAAGCTCCGACGCCTGTACTAACATCAGCATAGATCAAACCAAGGCACACGACTATCAACTGACCTTCCATCACTTCTCTCCGTGCTGCCAAGCCCTTCTGCCAGTGTGTCTCCCACTCTAGCAAATTACCAGGATGTAGGGTGTATGATCGCAGCTCAAACACTCCACCAAGCTTCCGCGGCGGACTTGTTGGCCAGAACCGGAACTCTTGCATAAGCGAAGTATTCTTGCTGTTAATCAGAGTCCGAAGCTTGCGATCGAAGTCAGCGTACTCCGGGTGGCTGCGACTGCTGTGTAGCGAGGCGTGGTAGCCGGCGTAGCGTTGGTACTCCCAGATGTGAACTACACACGTAGATTAGCATGTGCTCCCACGGTTAAGGTGCCGTCAGCAGAAGTTGCACGTACCGAACGTATCGCAGTCTCCTACCTCCGTCCTCCAGCTGCCAACCAAATGCACCTTGTTATGCGGGTCGTTCGCAACCTTGGGATACCACTTCCCCACCAGTTCAACATACTCATCCACCTTATCCGGCTTCACCTCATGAAGCACAATGCTATGCACATACTTCCCTCTCGCCAGCACCTGCGAGAAGCTGCGCTCAATCTCCCGATCCATCTCCCTACCCTCCTCGGTTCCGTAGATGAAACTGCTCAGCCCGCCTGACGGAGCCTTCTTCTTGCCATGGTCTGCGGTCCTGCGTTGTGCTTCGCCTGCAGCATTAGAAAGTGAGCCTAGGCCCGCAGCGTCAAGGTATTCGGAGATGGTAGATTTGGGAGAGGAGGAAGAAGAGGACTTAGCGGCTTGGGTGGACGCTGACTGGAGAGCTGACTGACGGTCTTGTTCTTTCTTTCTCCGTTGCGCTTCGGCGAGGTTGTCGCGGAAGTCTTTCTGTTTGGAGTCGAAGATGTGGCCTTGATCTGGTTCGATGTCGGAAAGGGCGGGTGATTTGGCGTGCCTGTGTGTGGTGGAGAAGGGTCGTACCAAGGACTCTGGTCGCTTGTTGCTGAGCCTTGTCGCGATACGGCGGGAGAGAGTGTGAGTAGCCATGCTCCTGGTTGCTTGGTTTAGGTTGGTATTTGCTCTAGGTTGGCCCCAGGTGTGTCGGCCAGGCACGCGATGATCACCAGCTTTTCCGATCAAGTGTACGTATTCCGTCAGCAGTCTTGCGTCCACCTTGAGCCGCACCCTCCCACGCTATCTTCGTACCGAGTACCTGCAGCGCGTGAGCGGTTGAAGCTCGCTTGCCCTTCTCCATCCCAGACCTTCCCCGCACTTGCCCCGTTTGGCGCTCCATGGTTCTATGGATCAGGAAACGGCACCGTGCGTTCCGAGGCGCCTAGAACCAAAGACATTCCTTACTGCAAAGATAAAGTTGTGATTTGCTGAACGAGTTGCGGCACATGATACTACTAGCACTTATTCACTGTACAAAACTATTGTCTCCTCCGGCTCTGGAGTGCAAAGACTCCGGCAGTTGTGTTAACACATCCACGCCCACCGACGCTTTATGGGCCTCTGTCATGTTTACTCTTCACATTTACGCTTCGCTTGGAATATCAAGTCTGCCTTCTCGGCATCTTCTTGGCCGGCCCAGTATTGCCCGTCGGAGGCTCCTCGAAGTCTGCAGCAGGTGACTGCTCAGTGCGAGCAATTTGCGATGCTGTTCGCTTTCTCGTCTTCGTCTTGTTGGAGTTCTCTGTTTCGAGTGTCTGCGCCTGCCTGTGCGTAGTCGCGTGATTCGCCGTGGGCTGAGTGGGTCGACGCCTGGTCTGTGGACGACGCCTTGGTGCAGCTGTATTTCCGAACTTTATATGATCGTCAACTTCACCTGTATCTGCGGCTATGAGGGCCGTAGTATGACCGCTCGTAGGCCGGATACCGAAGTTGTTGTATAGCTGCGTGAGGCTGGTAGAGGAGGAGGTATCGCGCGGCATGACCATAATGTTTGAGCTGGCATCATCTTCTAAGGTTACTGTAGCATTCGACAGGGCGGTACGTACAGCTGGCGGGGCCGTTGACTCATCCCTCGCAGGAGGCTCGAGCAGTGGAGGCGCCGCGATGACAGTGTCGCTCTTTCCCAGCACCGTGATAGCACGTGTTGCCTCCGAGGCAGCTATACCATCCGTCCTAACGGAATAAAGGTCGTCAAGGTCATTGTTAGTAACACCCTGTCCGTTGTTATATGTAGCCTCAGTAGCATATCTGTCCTCGTGTTGCTGGGGTGAGGCTTGTGCAGTTACATGCTCTAGCATGCTTCCTGAGTAGGCTCCCTGGGCTTGACCCGATACGTCGGACACCGCCAGGAAAGTTTTGACCGCATGGACGGGACGGCTTCTTCTACGGCGAGGATCTTCACCCCCGAACAGTGTAGGGGTCGATGCGGCCATAAAGCGCTGGGTCTGCATGTTTGATATTACATCGCCATTGTTCGTCCTTTCGCTGCTCAAGACGACAGCGGCTCCCTCAAACACCTGCGAGAGTGCGTCCTCACATGTCGAAGCTGTCGCCTCGACTTCAGTCGTGCCTAGCGAGCTTGCGTGCTCAAGGGAGGCGATACGCGTCCCAAACGTGCTGTGAGTGTAAGTGTGGGTATTTCTCGAACACTCCACGTTACTTACTTCTGATTTTCAGCTAGTTTGTTAGAATGCCCTATTATGATTCCAAAGCCCACCGTAACGAGGTCAGTAATCGGAGACACTCCCATATGGCCTTTCAGTCGGTCGACCAATTGCTGTAGTGTTCCTAGGTCCTGCTCACAGCGCCTCTTGTTCAAAAACTCTTCGACGAGCTTGAACTCATTTTGCGGGATAGCCGGAAGGGTAGCGGTGTCCTTAAGCTGCTTCTCAATGGCCACGATCAACGCAGTGAAGGCGGCGATGATGCTTGGGGGCTCGGTCGCCATCACAGTACCTCAAGGATAGAGAGCCCAGCCCAGTCAAGTTTCGCTGTCGAGCGAAGAGTAGCCTTTGTTAGCAAGGTTATGTTACGGTTTACGTCCGTCCAGAGGCTTGGGAATGGCGAGTTGAGCAAAAAGTTTCTATGCGATATTGGACGAGTGAGGTTCCAATACGAGTGAAGTCCCACGCAACGGAGGGGTGCGCTCACATCTTCCTACGCGGAAGGCACGTGAACCAAAAGTGGAAAGAGCGCGCTCATCCCAACCATGAGAACACCTGGACGACGCTTAACCAGCCAGGTGTTCGGATGGCGTAGGCTAATCTTGGTACTTCAGCAGAGCTGCTAATTCAATACGGAAGGATATGGAGAACAGCACTCACTTGACGTCTTTCCGCCATGCGAACGCCGCCCATCCGAAGTCTTACAACGCCGATTGTATGCAGTCGCTGGAACGTTACAAGATTCTCTCAGAGTCGTACATCATCACGAACCCTGCACTACCCGCCGCCTCTGTGCCACTTGATCCATTGGCATGATCATAGGCCTGCCATTCCGTGCTTGTGCTCTTTTGAATGCTTCCGTGACTATTGGGGAGCTTTCTGTGCGGATCGTTGTGCCAATAGACATAAAGAAGCTGATCGTAGTTAGTACGTTTCTCCGTAGAGGTAGAGACGATCTTGCGCACCCAAATGTGGCGGCTGAGCCTAGCATGTACTGCCCTAGCGTCCGAAGCATGCCGTTCGGTCCAGGGCCATATCGTATGATATTCGTTGCGCCGAAGATGAAGCCAATGATCGTGCCGACAGCTGCGCATGCTGGTAAGTTACTCTCCCAGTCCCCTACACTTTGCGTGACCTACTTCCACCCATCATCGCACCCATTTTGGCTGGCTTCCGTTAGCGATCCGCGCACTCTCTGTAGGCTGTCAGGCTATTATACCCTTGTCGAATGTCGAGGGTCCGCTCATGCCCCCGGCGGCACCAGCAGGAACGGGAGGCATCTTGTAGGCAGATGATCCGGAAGTCTAGCGACAGATTGTGTGTCTCTCAAGAGTACTGAGACCGAGGCGATCTCCGCAAAGCTTTCCCCAGTATGGCTGCTCACGCATGACAAAGCGTGGCTTCGGGAGGTGCCGCGGCGGATGGGTTCGCTTGACACGGGATGCGTGCAGCGAAAACATCATCCCCGCACGACTGAACGCATTGGCAATACTGGAGATGGCTCACGATCTGGTGGGAAGAGCGTAGGACGCAACAAGAGCGCCACGGGTCTCGCGTGTGGCGTACATCTCAGCAGCCGCCGCCTGCCGGGCCGCAAAGGGCCTCCTTTCATGACACCAATCCCTCAGCCCCATGCCGCCGACGACGAGCGCTGAGCGGGCGTTTTGAAGAGACCATTCTCGGTAATTTACCTTCTCGACATATCCGGAGCACCATCGACTGGCTCTAGAGCGGTACCGAGCCCAGTCACCATAACCACGTCATCTTCGAAGAGCACACGACACGCGGACCGTGCTTTTTGCCAACCCATTGTGGTGCACCCACGCCCCGGTCCATGAGGGCCGAGAACTTCATTACAGCCTTTCACTGTATTATTAAGAGCAACATAACGACATTCAGAGGCGGAAGGAGCAGCAGCGGTCGGCTTACGAGGAGAAGGAGTACACAGCAAGCGCCGCTGTTATTGCCGCTCCGCTAACTCGATGACGGCGGTTGCTGCCCCGCTGGCCTCCTTCCAACCTAACACCCGCCCCGGATGGACTACTAATGGCAACGACTTCGGCGCAATGAACACGGATGAAGCGAGCAAGATGTTCGCTGGAGGTCCTCGCAAGTCTGTGCAGCGGCAGAACTCATCTTCCTCCTTGGCCTCCAATAACTCTACGACTTCCACCATCTCTGCCACCTCAGTGCAGACGAACGGCTCCAGTGCGCCGCCATCGGAGCCAGGGAGCTGGACGAGGAAGAAGCCGTCCCGAGGTTTATGGCCCCCTACAAAGTCTGAACCTGCTACCGGTCTGTCAACTGCACGACCGCAACCAGTGAGCTCGGCATCTTCCGGACCAACTGCAACGTCAGCTGTATCTGCACTGCAGACTCCGCTTCAGCCTTCAGTCCACATGGCAAACGGCAATAGCGTGTCGACCAATGGCGCCGTGCGACCCGCTGCACCGGCCGAGCCACCTGCGATCCTGCACCTATCACCGATGAATGGCACGTTTGAAAGGAAGACCATCACTGTGCCGTACTATCCTGAGCTTCTAAAGATAGGCAGGCAGACCAATCAGAAGACCATACCAACTCCGCTCAATGGCTACTTTGACTCGAAGGTGCTTTCCCGACAGCATGCAGAAGTGTGGGCGGACAGGCAAGGTCGAATCTTCATACGAGATGTCAAGTCAAGCAATGGTACTTTTGTGAACGGCATGCGCTTGAGCCAAGAGAACAAAGAGAGTGAGCCTAGAGAATTACGGGAGCAGGACGTTTTGGAGCTTGGCATCGACATCGTGTCAGAGGATCAGAAGACTGTGGTTCACCATAAAGTTGCAGCCAAAATCGAACATGCCGGCATATACACACAAGGAAACGACCCGTTAAACTTCGGCGATCTGGACCCGAGCGTGAATGGTGGCTTACTCGGCGCGCCACACCAGCTCAAGCGGACGGGCAGTCAAGGCTCGCTCAACAGCCGCGCTTCAGCGAGTATCCAAGGTGTCGCACAAGGTGGTATGCTTGCGGGCGTGGCTGGCCAAAGTCAGCAAATGCGCGCTTGGGCGAATCCAATTACGGTCGAGCAGATCATGAAGAGACTCAATGTAAGTAGCAGCGATAAATGTGCTCGAATGATCAACTAATGAAGGTAGGCCGAGACGAAGCTGGCCATGCAACAAGCCCAAGATATTGCGCGAGCGCGCCAAATGCTCGACAGCATGCTGAGCGGTAAGGGCGAGCCTCCTATGAAAGAGCTTAAGCAGAGCTTTGATAAGGCACGACCGTCCCCTACGAAGTCGAAGCTGGATCTGAAAGCACACTTCTCTGAACCGCCCGCACCACCTCCGCAGGCACCACTACCAGAGAAGCCGGATGTGGCGCGGGCACTTGCGGATCCAATCATTCGACCTTTACTCCGACGTGACGAGACCTTCCTGCCAACGTCCAACAGTAGTTCACCGACCCGCATTGACCATTCTGGCGACATACTACGCTTGTGCGAAGAGTTGAAGCTGGCAAAGGGTGAGCTCACCAGCCAGAGCGAGAAGATGAAAAGTCTTGAAAACGAGCTCGCGCAGGAGCGGACCGCACGCGAGAGTGCCGAAGAGCGGGCACAGAGGCTTGAGCGGCGTGACTCGCCTACTAAGGATGACGATGGCGCCGCTCGAGAAACAGATACGGCCGTTTCGCCAACTTCACCACCAGACCTGCAGACTCAGCTCGATAGGCTGAGAGCGTCGATGGACGAAATGAAGCAGACGATGGAGACCTACCGGCAACGCGCCGAAACGGCGGAAGCGGAGCGGGACGAGGTACGACAGTCTCTCGCCGAAATGGTCGAGCAGAAGCGGAAGGAGAACGCAGCGCTTCGCGGTGATCACTCGCCTTCCAAGCTCCGTAAATCACCCGCTCAGGACCCCATACGCGCCGACGGCACCAAGGCTGCAGAAGCCAACGGCCACCCTATCGCACCTCAACCCGCGACCGCCAGTCCTACGTGTCAAGCTTTGCTTGAGCGTGCGGGCGTCGAAGAGGGACAGCCCATCACGCTTGAGCAAGCAAAGATCATGACACAGTTGCTCAGCCAGGAGGTGCTGAATCCGCATAAGGCACACCATCACGATCACCCATTGGCATACTACGGGTTGCCGTACGGGAGTGCAGCGGCGGTGGTGATCCTTGGCTTTTTGGCCATGACTTTGGTGAATGCGAGGTCGAAGGTTGAACGCTGAGCAGCACGGTGAAAGTGGGAGTGCAGCTTTACTTGATTGCGCCTTACCTCCACCTCCGCGCGGAAGAGATGAGTCCGCTGCTTACAAGCTTCATTCTTGCATGGCAAACACCACATGAGGATACCGTTTCATGATTGGCACTACCCTGGGATCGTGCGATGGCATCGCAGTCTAGCTGAAGAAGGCGGGCCAACCCAATCAGTGCCACAGTCGCCTCGAGCAGCAGAGATGCGAACTGAGCGACTAAAGCACTGCTCAATCGTGCGCACTTGACGCCCGGCAAACGGCAGGTAGCCAGCAGCGCGAAGGAAGAGTTTGAGGCATTTTTAGACGGTGCAGTGCATACTTGCCTTCGATGATGCAGACGACCCGTGATGCCCGAGGTACTATGCATGTGAGGGAGTGGGTATGAGGAAGGCGGTGGAATGATTCATCTATAGACGCGCTTGGTGGGAGGAAGACTACCGCTTGGGAAGGAGCAGGGAAGCTCGCCTATGGCGTTTGTGTAGCGATGGTGCCTATGCGCGTTGGTAAGCGCAGGCGTATGTACAGACGATGTCTTCATATACCGTGAGGAACCTGCGGAGGCTTCGCTTCTCGGTGTCGGTTTATCTCGGCATGGAAGTAGACAGTGGAGAACAGTGTTTGATGGCACGCCTGAGCACAATCCACCAATCGGTCACAGCCGTCTGAGGAACTCTTGACTTCCTTCGCTATCCATATGCCAGCGCCTCTTACACACTTCGCTCTGCTCGGCTTCGCAGCCGGACATGGAGTCTGATGCTAGGAATCAATCATGAAGCAGCATGTTCCACCGGGCGCCGCGACAGCATCGCGCTGCAAGCACTGACAGACCGGCTGTCTACGGACACAACCGCTTCGTCCGAATTGGGACATTTGATCTCGAACGATGCATCCAGCACTTCCTCCACTGAGCTGCCGCCGGTTGACGGCGGCCGCAAAGCGTGGACGTTTTTGGCAGGATGCTGGCTTGTTGAGGCAATGATTTGGGGGTTTCCACTTGCCTTTGGCGTCTTCCAGCGATACTACTCCGCACATGAACTGTTCAAGGATAGCGACGACATAGCCACTATAGGCACATTGGCAACTGGCATAAGCTACCTCGGTATGCCAGTCACGAACGCTATTGCGTTGCGATGGCCACAACACCGCCGAGCAATGTGTTTCGCGGGATGGCTGCTGTGCCTGATCGGCCTCATTGGCGCTTCGTTTGCAAGCCGAACTTGGCATCTGCAGCTCTGCCAGGGCTTCTTGTACGGCTGTGGATGGGTCATATGCTATACGCCATTCTTGTTCATGCTCAACGAGTGGTTCTTGGTGAAGCGGGGACTCGCGTACGGCATTCTGTTCGGAGCGTCCGGTGTTTCTGGCCTTGTATTCCCAGTCATCCTGGACTGGTCATTAGAGCGATTCGGCTTTCGAAACGTGCTAAGAGGCTACGTTCTACTGACCGTAATCGTAGCTGGACCAGGATTCCTCTTCATCCGGCCACGAGTTGCGGCGGAGTCTGCACTCCATTACCAAAACAGCACGCAGCAGAGCAGTAGGATCGTAGTAGAACAGATAATGCGTAGCTGCACAAGCATCCATTTCGTGCTCTTTGCTGCTGCTATCTTCATACAAGGTTTAGGGTTTGTAAGTATTCAGTCCGAGCCGTATTCATGGTAAGATTTTCGCTGACCACACTTGACATAGTTCATACCTAATATCTACATCCCGTCATTTGCGGAAGATCTTGGCTTACCGGCATCGACCAGCGCAGGCCTTCTGGCTCTTGTCTCATTGTCGCAAATTCTTGGCCAGATATGGCAGGGCTGGATCTCCGACAAAGCCAACATCTACTTTCCAGTGGCAGCCTCTGCGCTCATTCCCGGCTTGGGATCACTCTTCCTTTGGGGCCCGGCCAAAGGTACGGCTCGTCTTGCCCCTTTCGCGATGATATGGGGCTTCTTTAGCGCAAGTTACAGTGTCTTATACACCAGAATGTGCACGTTCCTGACCGTGTCGAGTGATGGAGGGAAAGACGAAGAGTTTGCTATGTTGCTTTACGGGCTATTCAGCTTCGAAAGAGGCGTCGCTAACATCCTCGAGGGACCCATCAGTAGCCGTCTGGTTCGAAGGAGCACCGCTATCAATATCGACAGCTATGGTCTCGGCAGATACTCTGACGTGGTATGGTTCACCACATTGTGCATGCTGGCAAGCTCGCTGGTCGCTGTTGGATGGCTGTTCAAGCAGCGAACTGAGCGCACAGCCAGCGCTAACGATCAATGATCATGCTCTTCTTTTCGCCTCAAACGTAGTCTTGCCCTCTCGCCTTCCTGCCTTGTGCGCTTGAAGCATACAATCCCGACTTCGCGGTCTTCCCACCCAAACGTACCAATCCGACGAGGTGGTGAACACCAGCAACAACCTATCAGACGAGAGAACAAGGTTAGCAACGATCTACAACACGTCTGGAACGAACCTCACTTACCCCGTCAACCACACGGACTGTCTCACCCACCGCTTCCTCAACAGCCATCTTCATATCCGTCATGCCAGCGCAGCCGAGCGTAAGCACTTCTGCACCTTGCCCAGCCAGTTTGACGGCCACATCCTGCATAATCTTCAGAACTTCCTGCCTCGGCTTCCTCTCCAGATCAAGCACGCCAAGATCGCAGGAACCCACTCCCGCGCAAAAGCCATCCATGCCATAATGCCGAACGGCGTCTGCGTGCATGACCTGACTCCGCCTTGAGGTTGCGACAATGCCGAAACGTGCCCCAAGCGTTCTAGCTGCGAAGAGACTGGCCTCCATGATGCCGATGACTGGGACATCGAACTCTTCCCGCAGCATGCGGATGAGAGCGTGATCTGAATAGCACGCTACTAGCATTGCGTCGTAACCTTCCCGTTGCTGGAGCGGTATGATGGCACGTGCGGCGGCGGCAGCGCTCATGATGTTGTCGAAATTACCTTCTACCGCAGACGGAGCCGGCGGAGGTGATGTGAATCCCACTACTTCGACGTCGGAAGGTAGAGTAGGCTCGACCATCTTCACGCAGTTGGCTGTCATTGATTCGGTAGCGTTTGGATTGCAGATAAGCACACGTATCTTCCTTCCACCTCGTGGTAGTGGTCGCTCTGCAATCTCGTGCGTACCATTTGTCAAAGTTCCATTCGTGGCAGGGACACCATTAGCGCCTCTCGCCTTCATGTCTTTCAGCATTGGTGGCGGTACGACTCCAGTCTGGTTCGCTATCCTCTGGTAATGCTCAACGCGTCTGTGTCGTCCGAAATCGAACGTTCTTGACTTGCCTTGCGTGCACAAGTCAAGATCGCAGTCCGCAATTACAATCTCGTCTTCGGTGGTCTTCGCTTCCGCTAGGACGTCGCCTTCCGGACCGACAATGCATGAGCCTCCGATGAGCGAGTACTTTCCGTCGTCCATTCCACACCGCGCCGCCGACACCGAGAATGCAGCATTAGTGTAGCTGCCATGCTGCATAACCAGCTTGTGATGGAAGAGCGCCGTCTGCTCGGCGACCCTTGGATCCTGATTCTTGTCTGAACCCCAGAGATGCGGCGCAAAGCCAGCGGTGTTGTAGCCGCAGAGAACAACTTCTGCTCCTTGCAGGCCTAGGCAGCGCCATGCTTCAGACCAGCGTCGGTCATTGCAAATCTATACATCAATCAGCGGGACTTAACTGGCAGATTTGGTGGCGATGTATTTACCATCATGCCCATGATCGGCTCAGTCCCGTCTGCAAGATCAGGCACGCGGAATGCTTCAAAGCCAAGATCACCAGGCTTGAAGTACCTCTTCTCCAGTTGGTTCGTAGCCTCCGGATCTGCAAAAGGTTCGAAGTCGCCTGGTAGATGTATCTTCCTATACTTGGCAATGACAGATCCAGACTTGGCGTGGTAGTAGACACTCGTGTTGAAACGCTCCCCATTCTCAGCAGCTTCTGCGAAGCCAACGGAGACGTCGACACCGAGCTCACGAGCTTTGTCGAAAAGAGGTGCCGCATTTGGGGACTTCGTGACATCGCCGTGTTCAAACCAAGAAGCCAGCTCGTCCGCATCGTTGATGAGGTAACGCGGGAAGAACGTAGTGAAAGCGGTCTCTGGGAACAGCACGAGTTCTGCACCTTGGCTGCTTGCCTGCTCCAGCAGTGACAACATACGGTTCAGTGTTTTGTTGCGTGGGTCAGTGCGATGGGTAGCACCCATCTGGGCCGCCGCGATGCGGATCGTACGTGCCATAGCCAGCGCCAATGCAAGTTGGTGAACGAGAGAAGGGAATGAGGGAACCGATCAAAGCTGGCTGGAAGATTGCTTCGCAGATGGTAAAGCGTAGCACTGAATGAAACCACTTACACCGCGTAGGACATACTGCCTCTGACCTCGAATTGTGCCCTGGCAATGCAGAAATATTGAAGCACTTGGCCGATCATGGCCCGCCAAATAGTACTGTACAATCGTGTTCGCCGCGTCTGGCTCGATAAGACGTGAGCCGACTGATAAGGTTCCAGTCGGCGAGAGTGGAGCTATTATTGCCGGCGCAGGTGCGGTCCTCGGGTCGGCTGTAGCTTACCCTTTCGGACGCACATGGCGGGTGGAGGCTGAAGCAGTGAAGATCGAGAAAGTCGACGTTGCGGCTACGATACCTCTTACTGCTTGGGCATTGTAAATGTGGCTGTGTCGTGAGAGCTCTAGGCCGAAGCGTTGGTGCACAACCCAGTAAGGTACGCTTGGTACTGTGGCCACGCGACGGGGAGGGAGGTTTCCGTTCGAGGGGTTTTCTGACCTCCACCACTTCGGGCCTTGGTCGGCGTTCGAGGTGGGCTGGATTGGCGTGCGGAGTTGAGAACGTGCTATCTGACTCAGGTCCACCGAGCAAGCCTGCTGCAGCTTCCCGTGGCCATCAATGGCCAGCACGGGTTCGTCTTCTATCGGTGCTCGTGATGCTAGGTGGTATTGCCGTTATCGGAGGCGCCATAGAGGGGCTGAACAAGATACGCTGTAAAGCAGAAGACGGCGTCGCGGCTTCTAAGCGATAGCTCGCAACTTGGCATGACAATGGAGACTCCTCATATAACGGCGCAGTCGCCCTTCCATGCGCCGCCTCTCCCCATGGTGCACATGCCTGGCTTCCCACAGCAGACCTCGACGTCGCCTCAACAGGGTCAGGCTGACGGTCCGGATCGGGCGAGAGCCTACAAGTCACGCAATAAGCGGCCATGCGACTTCTGTCGCTACAAGAAGGCCGCCTGTCATCTGGAGAACAAACCGCCGTGTGAGCTGTGTATACGTTACAACAAGGAGTGCACCTTCCTCGAGTCACCAGCGAAGCGGCGCCGACCGAACCACGATAGTGATGGGAGCAACAACATGGCTAAAGGCAGCCACCCACACGAACCACATATGAATGGCAGCAATATGCCTCTCGGTGCAAGTTATGTCAACGGCACATCGGGTGGCAGCATGGACATGCAACAGGCTCTGATGTGGGAGAATGGCATGCCACCGTTCGACATGCCTGGGCTCGGCATGACGCCAGGCATTGGACCTGCGGACTTCGCGTTCGACCCAGCGCTGTATCAGGAGCCGAGCATAGCATTCGAATCGTATGAGCCAATGTCTGCATCTACCGCCCATGTGGACAACCTGGCCTCGCATCGGCTACCCGAACATGTACACATGCCGCACCATTCGATAGATACTTCGCCTACTTCACAGATAGCACAACTTCCGGCAAGCCTGCATCTTCCGGTCGATGCAACAAGCGGCGAGCCGTCGCTGGACAATCAGGCGTCGTCCAATGCGCAGATCGTGGGCATGAGTGGTGAGATGGATCCCTATCTGCTCTCGCGGTATCGCTTCGATCAGTACAACGAAGCTGCGTTTCAGTCCATTCGTCTGCGCAAGGTCAATGGAGGCTCATTATGGGATGGTAGCGTACCGGCCTTTTTCACGATCGCTCACAATGCGCTTGCTGCGAAAGCGCAGCCCGGCGAAAAGCCCGACGTTATGGACAAGTACCGACAAGATGTAGACGAAATGGTGAGCGATGATGTTGGAAGGCGGCTTATACGGCTGTTCTTCAAATATGTGCAACCATACTTTCCGCTTCTGACACGCGAGGGGCGCCAAGAACGGGATGAGAGCGGAATCAGAGACCTCAACAGCATACCGACGTGCATCCTGGCTGCGATATATGGGCACGCGCTACCGTTCTGCGCGTGGGACGAGAAGCTATGCGTCGAAGTGTACACTCCGCCTTCAGCTGATGCACTGTTTCGCATCGCTTGGCAGGCGTGCTGGCCTTGCATACACACGCCATCTCTTGCCGTACTGCAAACCATTCTTCTGCTTGTGCAGCGCAGACCTACGAACAAATACGTTAGCGATACACCAATGAAGTGGGTGATGATGAATACAGCCGTTAGCGTGGCTCAAGCATTGGGTCTTCACCGTGACCCATCCGCATGGCCTCTTCCTGCGTGGGAGTGCAAGGTCCGGAAGCGCCTAGCATGGGCAACGTTCGTACAGGACAAGTGGATCGCACTCAATTTCGGCCGCAGCAGTCACATACAGGCTGACGACTGGGACGTTGAACCACTCGTGGAGTCTGACTTCGCGGACCACGATCGAGGCCCGGAAGCATCCGTGGGTTTCTGGGGCCAGCACTTCATCAAATTGTGCGAGCTCACGGTCATTGTTGACGACATCATGCATAAAATGTTCAGCCTCAAGGCTACGAAAGCATTGCACGGGAATTTGGAAGCCACGCTTGAGGTGGCGAAACCGCTTCGTCTCCGACTTACTGAGTGGCACCAGTCGTTGCCAGTGGGCCTGCTCCCACAGCGAAGCGCGGGTATCAACTCACCCGAAAGCGGCCGTCGCCGGTCACTACAGCACGAGCTGGACGGGAACGGATGCCTCTACCTTGCCTACATCACTGCGAAAATCGAGCTTTTCCGGGCAATGCTGCGGCCACCCATGACTGACGCGAACACTGCAGCTGTGACCGCTCTCAGGACTGGCGCACTGACTGTTGCGGGCGAGGTCACAGAGTTCTTAGAGCATCTCAATGCGCGGGAGTTGGAGGCTTTCTGGACGAGCTGTGAGCTCAACTGTCCCTCCGCTGGGGTTTACATACTGACGTGGAGATACAGATGCGCGTACGAATTTCACAATAGCAAGCAGCTTCATGCTGCTGCTTTTTGTCACTTCACCCAACTTGCCCGACGCGAAGGAGTGCCTAGCATTACTCAGTGGCTGGCGCTCGCTTCTTCGCATCAAAAGTCGCAGCTGCGATCTCCTCAACCTAGCGCTGCTACGCCTAGACGGCGTCTACGTTGCAGGAATGGAACGCTTGATCGAGCTGAGTCCAGCAGCGGTTCAAGCTTGGGCGGAAAGTGCACAGTCAAAGTGAGCGCACTATAGCATATCGTTCGCTGAATCATATCTAGGTCTATCTCAGGTGATGTCACCATCGTCGTTGTCATACATCATTGTAAAGTCTATACATCGAACGCTTTGCCTTTCGTCTTCTCCACTACCACATCACTTGCTGTCTCGCTGTCGACTCCATTAAGGACGTCAGCAGGGTCAACGGATGCTGCCATTGGACTGATTTTGTGTAGGGCCCAGTAGACGAGTCCGGCGACGAGGATACTGATCAGCCAAGCCAGGCTGTAAAGGTAGATTGCGCCCTTGGGAATATGAAGCCTGGCATTGCAGGTTTTCGCCAAGCCAGGCATGTTGGGCACAATTCCGCAAGCGAACGCTACGAATGCGCGCCAGTTGAAGCCTTGCCAGAACCAGTGCGCTGCTGCGGGAGATCTCGAGTACAATGCCGACAGTGACAGCTGCTTCCGCCTGATGATCCAGAAATCACACACCAGGATACCAGCCAACGCTCCCAGGAAAAGGCCGTAGCTGCCCAAGAAAGAAGAGAATGACTTTGCACTGTTCTGGATATACCACGGAACGGCGCCCACCGAGAGCAGAGCGCAGATGAAGGCGCCGCGGCGGTTGTTGATGTACTTCGGAAACCACAAGGACAGATCGTTCGAAAAGGAGACGCTGTTGGCTGAGATGTTGGTGCCAATGACGGCAAATGCCCAGCAAGCTCCAGCGAAGAACTGTGCGGCGCGGTTGTCCCACAGCTGAGCAACGTACAATGGATTCCACGCCTTCGACGCAGGAACTTTGTAAATGACTGTCGCGGCTGAGGTGACAGTTGCCCCGAGCACACCGCACATGGTGACTAGCACCATGAGACCAACGGCTTGCGTCCAGAAGACCTCCCTCGGGCGCTTGGCGTAGCGCGTGAAGTCCGGCATGTTGAGCGCAAGCGTTGCCTTGGGACCAATGGCTGCCGTGACACATTGAAAGAACACCACGGCTACCGGTGTACCGTCGGCGATGTGTGTGGGCTTGTGGAAAGTCGGGCCAAATCCTTTAGCCTGCACAAGGGCCCAGATGAAGAGCGTCAGGCCGAAGGCTGGCATGATGAACGTCTTCGCCATGAACATGTACCGCAAGTGCGAAACGTTCAGGTAAAGGAGCGGCAGCTGAATGATGATGAAGAGGAAGAAGCACAGCAGCTGAGTTGACGTGACGTGGGCGCTGGCAGGCAGATGGTTTGGGAAATGGTTGAAGGAGGGCCAGATGGCAGAGATCATGATTGCCAGACACTGGCCGCCTTGGTAGCTTTGCGTGCCGAACCAGATGACTGCCACAATGCCGCGAACGAGAACGGCGAATTTGCTGCCGCGCATCCCAAATGCTGACCTGCAATAGACTGGAAAGTTGATGCCGAGCGTCGCGCCGACGTAACCGTCAAGCATGGCTGGAACACAGACGAGTGCATGACCGATGAACACCGCGAGGATGGCAAGACCGGGATTCAATCCTTTTGTGACGGCGGTCGAGGAGACTTGATACATCGAGATCGAGAAGGCTTCAGCGATCCAGAAACCCAGGAGACTGGGCCATGACCAGGTCCTTTCCGGACTGTTCAATGGGATAGGCTGCAGGTCTTTGTTCGTTGCTGTCTCATTCGACTCTTTCCCGTCGCTTGCGGAGGGCAACTCGAGTCGACTGAGAAGACCCATGATTGTTCACGAACGACGCCGTGCTGAGTTGGAAGGTATGGATGGTGGTAAGAAATATGGTCTATGGCCTCTGGCAAGCCCCAACTCTCACACTTATCTGTTCGACGACACAGTAGCATCGAGCCCAGCGACAGTCTTCTGAGCGCCACATAAGATAGCCTGACACAACGGCCAGACCTCCTAGCAGCGTCTAAAGCAGAACCGTTATCTCTGTCGCGTGCGCAGAACCCGCGCTGACACGAGTCTAGGTCGGCTTCCAAAATTCGCCCTATCACTTGGCCTCGGTGGTTGTTGGCCATCCGAAGTTTAGGCGTACTTGTCTTGGCGCACGCGGCCGAACGCCAAACACTGTCTGTAGCAGTGATCTCCGGGTAACGCACAGGATCAGCCGGTTGTGGATTCTAGGCCGAGTGCGTACTCAGGAACACCCTGCGGAACAGAACAACAGATAGGTGCAGTCACCATGGTGTTGATCACGATTCGGCGGACGGAGCCAACTGGCTTTCCGACGGGTGATCATAGCACTCAAGGCAAACTGCTGAGTTTGACCTTCCTTCCACCCTGACAAACATGGACGAACGGGTACTGCCGTCGGAAGACGAGATCAAGACATACTACTGGGAGCACGGCCACCCATGGTCTGATACGTGCGTAGAGTCGCGCACTGGGCGGCAATGGACGCACAGGCTGACGGCTCGTAGGTATGACAATCCAGACCTCATAAGCTTGCCGAGTCTCCTTCAGTACAATGCCAACAGGCGACCGGAGCAGGTGGCTTTCCTGCGTCCGCTCAAGGATTCGTTCGTCAAGGTGACATGGCGGGAGTTCAATTCAGCAGTCAATACCCTCGCCCGGCATTACTCTTCAGCACTTGATGTGCAGCTCAATGAAGCAATCAAGGTCGACCAACAGCCGACTGTTGCTTTGCTTGGAACAGGCCATACCATCGGGTATTTTGCCACCCAATTGGCTTTGCTCAAGCTCGGGATTCGAGTGTTACTGCTCAGCCCCAGCAATGCCGATGTAGCGACAAATCATCTCTTGACAGTTTGCAATGCCGTTGCTGTCGTTTCTCAAGCTAACTTGCAGTCGGCTGTCCACGGACTGCACGTCGTGGAGCTGGTGCCCTTCGAACAATCGATTGCACACGGTGCGAATGACGTTTCCATCCTCGCTTACAATGCGCGAGATGTATGGAACTCGCACTCGCTGATCATACATTCAAGCGGAACGACAGGACTTCCAAAGCCAATAATACACACGCATCGTAGTTTGATGCTCATTGCGCGAATGTACCGGCTCTTCCCCGACTTCGCAATCAATAACTGGTACTTGGCATTTCCGTTGTGAGTACTGAACTTTCCAGCACTCGATCTTCGTCTAACAGCCGTGCAGGTTTCATATTGCTGGCATATCAATAGCTCTTAGTGGCCTTCCCAATGGGCTTACACTTTCCTTTCCGCCGGAGAATTGGCCGCCGGCACCAGGGTCGATACTCTCCGCCTGGAAACAGCTTGCCAAGCTCGGCTTCCCTGTGGACTGTTTGCACTGCGCTCCTGCTGTGATTCAAGATCTCTATGAGTATATTACAACTACAGGCAACGACTTCTCGCCGTTAGTGGATCTCAAAGTGTTACAGCCGGGTGGTGCGGCGCTGAACTTACCCATGGTCAACAAGCTTATCCAAGTTGGTGTCAACGTTAAAACGACATACGGCAGTACAGAAATTGGACCACCAATGCGAAGCATCCCGCATGTACGTCTTCGCCAAGACTTCATTTGGCCTAACAGATTACTGACATTTTGCCAGACACGGCAGAACCCGCACTGTTACCGTGTGCGTAACTTGTATCCTGAGGATGAGCATTATAAGATGGAGGCGCTGGGCGACGGACTTTACGAACCTGTTGTGTATAGGGGCTTCCCGCTTGCCGCCGAACTGTGGCTCGCACCAGACGCTCCGAATCCTTACCGGACGAACGATCTTTTCACTGAGGAGCCTTTAGGAAGCGGGCTCTACGTCTTACAAGGCCGCAAGGACGATCTTCTGGTACACACTAACGGCGAGAAGACTAACGCCCTTCCTCTCCAGATGGCGCTTGACAGCTGTCCTCAGATTGTCAAGGCCGCAGTGTTCGGCTCGGGTCGACCTTGCGTCGCCGCTCTGATTCAACCTTCTACCACAGTCCTTACAGCCGGCGACAGAGAGTGTATCTTTGCCGCTGTAGAGAGTAGTTCCGTGCTCTTTCCAGCCCACTCCCGCATTGCGCGTTCCATGGTGCATATACTCGGACAAGGTGAGACCTTACCAGTCACGCCAAAGGGCAGTGTGCGGCGTAAAGAGGCTGAGCGCATATACTCTGCTGCTTTAAATGGTATGTATGAAAGGCTCGAGAACGGTGATCAGCACGACCATAGCGTGTCTGTTGAGGCTGCGTACTCAGACCAGGAATATATCCTGGCTTGCGTAGAGCAGGCGCTTGGAAGACAAGGATTGAGATCTAATGCTAATCTGTACCGCCTGGGCCTGGATTCTCAAAAAGCTGTCATGCTTCGATCAAAGTTGATGAAACGCTTTGGTCGCTTCCCTCTGCACTTCATCTTCGAGTATCCAAGCGTAGAAGCTCTTCGTAACAAGCTAGTCGATCAAGTCTCTTCTGAAGCGGGCATTACAGCTCCCAACAGACACCACGACTGGGTTCGGCAGGCCATTGATCGGTATACGACTGAGATCATGTCCTGGTCGGAGCCGCTGGCCACGCCGCCGGCCACCCCTGGGGAGGAAGTGGTGTATCTGACCGGTGCTACAGGTGCGCTCGGCAATGCTCTGCTTGAGTGCTTCGTGGCAAATCCCACGATCGAGAAAGTGTACTGTGCGATTCGTGGCAGCAGTGACCGCCTTCGCTCGTCTATGATACAACGGGGCTACTCATCCGCGGTTGTCAACAGTGCGAAGCTCCACGTCGTGCCTTACTCCATGGCCGACCTACATCTTGGACTTGGTGAGGATTTGTATGCTCAGCTGGCGGCAAAAGTAACAACGGTAGTACACAACGCTTGGAAGATGGATTTCAATGTCCCAGTGACCGAATTCGACGGCGATTGCTTGCAAGGCACGGTGCGGCTGATGCACTTCGCAAGCACCGGAAGGCGGAAGATGTTTGCCTTCTCAAGCTCCGTAGCTACCCACCTCGGTCCTGCAGCATCTGGCTCTGAGGTTGCGGAGACCGAGGCGATCAACGAACCGTCACTGGCATTAGACACTGGATATGCGCAAAGCAAGTTCATCATTGAGATTGTCTTGCAAGCATTCGCCAGGAACACAGGCCTCAGTACGAAAGCTTTCCGGATCGGTCAGCTTTGCGGCCATTCAAAGCACGGTTCCTGGAATGAGAGCGAGATGTTCCCGATCATGTTCACCACCGGCCTGAAGCAGCTCAAAGCGATCCCTACTTTCACCGCCCAGAGTGTCGACTGGCTGCCGGTTGACATTTGCGCGAAGGCGATGAGTGACATCCTTGCCGGCGGAAAAGCCGAGGAGCCTACGCATGATCATATCTGCATGGTCCACAACCTGGTGAACCCACGTCCAATCTCATGGACCGATTTCCTTGACTGCCTTACCACTGCGTACGGAGAGTCAATTCAGCGTGTATCAATGGCCGAGTGGGTAGCAGGTCTGTATAAACTTAGCGAGGCTGGTGTTGTCAGCCCAGGCATGAAGCTCATCGGCTTCTTCGAGAGTATGGCGCAAACACCGACACAGAGCTGCGCGGTATTCGCAACAAGTCGATCTGAGAAGCTCAGTGGTGCTCTAGCTTCCGCACCGTGCATCGATACGTCGCTGATGCACCTCTATCTTCAGAAGTGGAAAGAGACAGGCTTCTTATAGCCTCGGCTGTACCAAAGCCCGTCCCAATCGTACTGTTCCTATCCCTTGATGTCAGTACGCCCAACTCGCCCTGCTGAGACCTCCTCGCTTTGGTACGCCGTCTGCCACCGTCGTAACACTGCTGCTATTACTGAGCGTAGCACCCTCCAATGAATTTTGCATCGTCTTCTTGCCGACTCAGATATTTTGTGCTTCCGCACATCTACTCCGAACTAAGAAAAACGCTACATTACGCGCGATTCCCGTTGTGTGGCGCCACTTCGTCCACAACGGCTCGCTGAGGATGACCTGCGAGACGGCTGGTAACTTTGCGGAAAGACGCTGCCTTCGGATTAGGCAACCTCCGTCCTAAAGGGGCTGGTTATGCTGCAGCCTCCAATCGTAAGTTTCTAGCTCAAGCGGACACTAAGAGGATACCCAGGCATGTACATCACTGACATTAGCTGCGTTGAGTCGGCTACATTGGACGAGCGAGGACAGCTTCATCCGGCAGCTCTGCTGCAACCTGCTAAGTTCCGCATAGTGTGCCACCACTTATGACTAGCAACATCATTTTGCCGGCTGCAGTATGTCCTGTGGTGCCGATCGCAGGAATGTGCGCGTGCCACAAGGATGTCGGCGGCCATCCGCTTAGCTCGGTAGTAGATGATTGCGAGCGAGCAAACCAATGCATATTGTTATGGCACCGGTTTTCCCTTCGGCAACGGTCTTCTACCGAGACGTTCTTCGTCGCCTTATCAAGCCAGACCTATCCTGCCCGATGTCATGCCCCGCCTCGCAGATACAGGCTAGCAAATGGCAAAGTTGTTTAGTGTCCCAATGGTGGAGACCGCTTCTGTTGTGCCGAATTCGACGCCACGGGCTTGGGCACCACGTGCAAAGCTTCTTTGCTGAGTCAAACTAAGCAAGAGAAACCTGACTCGGCGGGACTCTTACGACATCGGAGGGTGTTGATCACATACGCATATCCGTCCGACGATACGTAGAAGTGGGCGAACGTTGCGCCATGGCTTGGTCAGCTATTTCAACGCTCGCTTGCTCTAGTCGAGGGGGTAATGTTGCTGCTTGTTGGAAGAGGGACGTATCGGCGCACGCTGTCGCCCAGGTCTCCCAAAGCTCCTCGCTAAGTAGTCAGTGATCGTTGAGCGCTTTTGCCCAGCTACGGATTGTAGCTGCCACGCCTGGTAAAATCTGCCCTTCCGTGCACAATAGCGGCAAGGAAACTGGCTTGGTCCATGCTCGATCACCTCGTCTCGAGCACTCGAGTTTGTCGCACTAGAAAAACACCAGCGCCTCCGATGTTGATGCGACTAGCGAGCACTTGTTTGATTGTAACGTTCTACTGCACCTCGGTCCCAGTCGCACTCGCCGAACCTGCTCTCACTCCCAACGTGTTAGCTGCCGCCACACCCACGCAACGAGCCAAATCTGTTCGGAAATACTGCACCATGCGCTGCAACCATCGAGGGTTTATGCGATATGCTTGTTGATGTGGGTGGCGCAACTCTCGCGTAGGAAGCTGTCTCTGCTGCATCTCTGTGTTGATGACATGGGCAAAGTGACCTGCAGCATCCTTGGCGGGTGGACTTGACCAAGAGACCACTGCCCCCAACGCGCTGTTCACGGCTCACTAGAACAGTCCCGCTTTTTCGACTGGTATAAGAAGTGGCTGATGTTCATAAACTCGACAACGGATCATTCCGCGCCATGAAGCCCGGGATAGCGTCGAAGATGCCGATCACAGCTCCAACAGCGGGCGTCGGAGACGGATAGGACGGGCCAAAGTAACTGAGCAAAAGCACCGTATGCACGATCGTTGAGGCGCTATGGCTGTCAGACTGTTCCCCTCGTTCGCAAATGACCTTGGGCTTCGTGGAAAGGTAGTTTCGAAGTTATTAACAGCCCGATGGAAGTGCGAACCATATCGACACTTTAGTGTCATCGAGGGGTTACTACTTAGAAGTGCTCTGTCAGGGTGGTGCGCCTGTCGACGATGGAGAGCTTCCCAGTACGCCATGCGCTTCTTATTCCCGGCCTGAATCCAGCCGAAGCAAGGCATCCTCATGCGGAGCCTGGGTATCTCCGAGTCCTTTCGCCAAGCACTCCTTAGCACAAGCCAACCCTTTGAACTCCCGAATAAGAGAACAGCCAGAACGCGAACAGGCAAAGCGTTAAATGAGCTCGTCGCCGCCGCTTCGACCGACGTCTTCGATAACCTTCCGTACCTCTCCCTCGTCGAACATAGGTCCCTAAGCGTGGCATTAGCCACCCTCGCTGTGAGCAGAGCGACCGCTCCTCATGCGGTGAGGACTCACCATGCCGTCACACTTTGCCATCTTCTTCAGGCGCTCGCAAACTTCGCCAATATCTACCGCACCAGATAGGTAAAGTGGATGAGATTGCAGCAGATCCCACGTCGCACTCGCCGATAGCAGCTGAGACTCGCTGGTTGCTGGGCTGCTGAGTTTGCCGGCTGTCGTCTCCGTTGATAGAAGCCCATTCGCAAGTCTCCTCGGGTCAAAGTTCGGTTCAGGCATTCCGGTCCACTTCGGTGCTCGTGGTTGTGGTAGCAAACTTGGATCGTCAACGAACCCGGGTGGATGGCTTGCCGTTGGTGATGTTGCAGCAGTAGCCCGTAAGATTTCGTTCTCGGTCTGTGCTCGTTGTAACATGAGCTTTAGTCGCTCGTTATCCGACTGTAACGAGGAAGTCGTCGTTGTCAGAAGGTTGAGCTTAGCTTCCAGATCCCGCACATGTCTCTCTTTACGTTCTCGGAAGGCGCGTTGACTGTACTGCTGTCAGCACTGCCGGTGAGAGGAGGAACGAGATGCGGCTATGCATACGCTGCTCGGTTCTGTGCCTTCCGTCGGGACTGTGCAGGTGTCATGCTCTCCTTCTCCTCGCTGCTACTCCTTCTACCCTGCGGGTCATTGTCCATGTCCAAGTTTATACCACTATCGACGGAACTATTGTGTAGGAGTGACAAAGACTGGCCTTGCGGTGAGCCGGCAGTCGTCGGGAGAGGAGTAAGACCCGTGCCATGGCTGCTGAGAGAGGCATCGAAGGTGGTATAATCGAAGGAACCACTCAGGAATGCGTTTGCGTCGAGTGAATTCTCTAGGCTCTGACTCGATCGTTAGCGTTGGCCTGCCATCTCAGACCACCATGGGGCTGCTCACCGGTATCGGCATAGAGCCATCGCTGCTGACCCCAAGAAGGCCTGTATCAGCACCGAAACCTAGGTATTGGTAGGGTTGTGCGGTCGGCGCGAAGTAGTTGTAATCCATGGAGTCCATTACCCTCGGCGGCAGCGAGATCAACAGGTCATACGTCGTTGCCACGGGAAGTGCTAGGTAAGTCGACGGTTGCCGAAATCTGTTGCCTTGGTATTAATGGGTAATCCTCAGCCGTACTGGGGGGCTGAACTTCTGAAGATCGACTGTAAACACCTGGTTGTGCCTTGCGAATCATTGAGAAAAGGAAGATATGCGGAAGTACGAGACCAGTTGCAGGTACTAGGGGTATGTGAAGCTTGGATACATGTGCGGAGTATGGCAGCCCTGTGGGAAGCAATGCAACATACCCAACCTACCTTAGAGAAGCCCTACAGCTGCATGCCGAGATGGTCCAAGTTGGCCCCCAGCGCAGTCGTAGGCCGTTGGAAACCCCGGGGAAAGGGTTCGACACACCGTCTGCAAGTGGACCCGAGACTATGAATCCTTCCGCTACCTGCGAGCGAGCCGGGGCCGAGCGTAAGATGGCAAGAGAGAGGGGACGAGGGGGAACGTGGTGAGATTGACAAGTTTGGAAGTCCGCCCAGCTGCTGACCAGCGGCGAGATTGGTGCGGTTAGAGGCGTGCCTAAAGCGCTAGCGCTACCTCGCACGGCATTATTGTCTTAGCTCGCCCGAGCGTGCAGTTTTGCTGGGGAGCTGCTCTCGTCGGGTCAGGCTACGGATTGCAGAGTCAGCATGTTTGATTGCAGGAGCGCTAACGTCTTCAGGGTGAAGCGAGAAGGCCGCCGAGAGCGGAGGCAAGGATACGTCGCTCAACAACGGAGCTCCCTACGGGCCGGCGACCAGCAGTAGGGCTGACCTTATCGCCGACGGGAGCATGTGCAGCGAAGTAAAGTGCGGGAGTTGTGCTCAACGTCTAAAACGTTGCTCTTCCAACGGGCAGCCGCCATAGTAGACGTAGAAGATGCTTGATACTGAGTAGCAAAGGCAGACTCGAGCCCAAGCGGCCTTGAGTGGCTTCGAGAGCGGATAACGCACGCACTTGCCAGCCTCGGAGGTCTGGTGCATCTGGGATTGGCGGTCCGTAATACGAAATGCTGGAGAGAAGTCCGCAACTAAGCGCATGGAAGAACGGCCAATTGTTCGTGGCTTACGCCCTGTCAGCGGTTTGCGTTGAACAAGCACCGCAGGGACGCTTGGTCTGGACTTGGGACTACATTATAACCGTCTACGCACATCCAACCAGAGATCTGATTACACACTCATCGTTTAACGAATGTGAAACACCATGTCAGCTTTGCTGAATCCACCGATCGCGAAGCTTGACGTTGATCAGAAGCTGAAAGGCTGGTCGGTCGAACATTGGCAACGCATGCCTGCTGGGCACGCCTTTTCGTCCTCAGTACATGCACTTTACTGCTCTCCCGGCGGTGCAGCGGACCGTCTAGCAGCCGGCACACACCGCCTAAAGTTCGGACATCGTCCTACACCCACGCTGGTAGGTGATCGACCAGGTTCAGTAGGTAGCTAAGACTGCTAGGTGGTCTGTTCCTGGCTGTACGACTGGCCGGAGACGAAGAGCCAGCTTGATAAGACCGGGTACAATGTTCTGGACGCCGGGTGGCCCTAAGGCTGAAGATTGCATCAATGCGGCCCGACAGAGTGCTGACAGGGTCTTCTTCCACAGCCATTAGCGGTGCTTACACGTAAAAGGCCGCCTACCCCTCTCTTGCTGACTTGCATTCGGACGCTCGTTGTCGGCTGACTGTAGGTCCCGCCGACAAAGAAGAGATGGTCGGCATTGCACTCTCAGCGACCAGAAGTCCATTACGTAGATTCCAACACATACGGAAGAGCACTTCAAAATGTCATATCCAGCGATGCGCCTATATTGGCTAGCTCTACCTCACTTGCTGTCTGCAAGCCAAGCGACCAAGTGCGGTGGAGTGAACAGTCAGCTTTGAGTAACCGCATGGGCTCAGTACGCAAGAGACCCTATTGAAGCTTGTAGTCTGATTAGCACGCTTAATCGGCTCTGCCTCATCTCAACTTGCAAGATATAGCCTAATTCGTGTAAGCCAAAAGTGGATAGTGCAGCCTTCTATATCAAGCGGCTTCGGCACGAGCCTCCATGAGCGGTCGAAGGCTCGTCAGAGCTATCCATGTAGCTTCTTCGGTCCGTATAGTTCGACTGCCTTGCTGCGGTAGCACATTAAGCCATCTGTCGAAAACTTCTTTAGCTTCTGAGACACCGGCAGCTTGCAATTCCGCGTCTGCAGACAAGGCAGCTTCCAAACCTGCGACACCGCCAAATACGATCAGCAGGTGCTGCCAAGTCGGCTGTACACACGATACAGAGTCCGCTGACAAGACTGACTGCACAGACATGCCTCGCTCGCTCGTGCCAATGCTAATGTCGTAACCGCCGTCGTACTGACACTCCGTGAAGACTGCACCGAGGGACGAGGCTTGCCGGACACTGTAACCCCAGTAGTAGCCGGCTTCCTCACGTGGCGTATCTGGTGACACTGCTTCGCCATGCAGCATATCTTGTCGTCCAGCTTGAGGTTGATCCGGCAGCTTTACCGTGACTCGTGATCGTTCCTCCAGCGGCACGCCTACGAATACCTTCTGCTGTAGCCCGCAATCCACAAGGGTGCCTGGGTTGCCGTCTCGGTTTTCACCAGGGTGTAAGGCGACGCCCTCACGAAAAATGCACCATTCGTCGCTTCTCAGATGGTGCGGCATGTCTAGGCTTGGCGCTACTCCGGCACATTGGAAATCGGCGTGCTTTGGAATGAGCGTTCTGCGCAGATGAGGTGGCGTTTCCAAGTAGGTCAGCATTTGGACGAGGAAGTTATTGGGATCGGTGTAGCCTGTGTAGCCATCTTCGTCTGGAGGCCTAGCCTTGACAGCGCCGTCATCAAACACCACCACCTCATCGACGCAGAAAACGGCGCACGCTCGCGCTATCTGTCCAGCTAGGACCGTCTTCAGCTCGCGCGTACCTGCACTGTTCTCGTTAGCCGTCCCAGAGATGAACAAATGCGAGAGAAATTCCGAAAATTCAGGTGATGCTCGAAGTGGTGGACCGGGACGAGGAAACACGAGTCGGACAACCAGTGACGTACGACGGAGATCTTAGACCTACTTGCGGAGTATACTGCCAGGCAACGCAATGCTCAGTGTGTACTGACGCCCTTTTGTTGCCGTGAAGACGGCCGTAGGTTTAGACGTATCAAGCTTGTTAACGTTCACTGCACGTCCATCGTCGTTGCCCAGCTTTCGCTTCTGCAAAACCGTCAGTACATTGCTTGCAGCTCCTGACTGCGACGGTTCACCTTAGCCTTGTGAGAAGACATGCTAGAGAATTGTTTCTGCGATGCGAATAGAAACTTCGCCTAACGGGACAAGCGGACATCTACAACGTGCCTTAGGCTGCACTGTGGTGGTGCCGTCTCAGGCGCTTCTGGCGCGTCGACTATATTGCTCTTTGTAGATTTTAATCAGGCAGGTTAGACATACTGCAGAGGGCTTCAAGGCTTCGGGCGACAAAGCTCAGCTTCGTGTTGATTGAAGACCTTTGGTGTTGCTTTGAAAGCGCCAGCGAAGCGCCGACACGCGCTCAAATCCTTCGCTCTGTTGATCCTGAATTCATGTTACTCCTGCTTCGCCCCTTATAACCTCTATCTTTACCCTCCACAAGCCTGCTGCCCCAAGATACGGATTGCTCGTAGCCTGTTCCTTGACGATGGTGTCAAGCGCGCTAAGTGTGCATCCGTGCGAGCGGAAGTAGCATGACTTTTCAAATCGCAAGCATGCCATCATACTTCTACGCCACGCCTCCGACCACCAAGGAAGCGAGACCCTCTTCCTCACTCCTAGCCGTGATCTTCACCGTAACGCCACTCTTGGCCGAGTACGCCATCCTGACCATCGCGCCGACCTTCCCGCCACCGACAGACTTGCCGTACAGCCTCAACTGGTGCGTTGATGGACTAAGTGCAACCTCAGACCCCTCGAGCGGCTGCATGCCAAGCGCCTTCACTAGCATCTCGACCGCCTCAGCAATGCTCTTCGCGTTCGAAAGCTGCAGTGTCTCCTCCGCCTCGTCTGTGCCGCTGCTTTCCAGCCCGCTCCAGATGTTGTCGAAGGAGCCTGCAAAAGCTGGAAGAACGTAATCGGCGCCCGTCAAATCGAGGTCCCCAACCTGGTACTCATCTTCGTAGCCGCCTTCTTCTGGCTCGGAAGTCGACGGGTCGATCTCACGGACCGTAAACTTGAGCACATTCGTAAAGGAAGCTGCCACGAAATCTGCATCCCCAGGTCGAGTGAAGGAGACGTAAACAATACCCGGCTCGTCCACCTTCAGCATTGTTGCGGGCAGGATGAACTCTTCTTCAAGTGTGCTTGCCTCACCGTCTCCGCTGGTTGGTGTACATAATACGCTGACCTCGGAAAGGACATAGTCGGGTATTGTGTTCTTAATGTCGAATTGCAGTACGAAGTGGTCCTTGAACAGATGCTTGACGGCGTTGACGACGTATTCGGTCTCGCTTTCCGTAAGCTCGATCACAGGGCTGCTCTTGAGTACGGCGCCGTAGTTCGAGAATTCTGGCACTGCTTGCAACTGCTGCGCGTACTTTTGACTTGCAACGGTTGCCTCGCGTGCAGCATCTGCGACCGCTGTGCCAGCTTCTGCCTTCTTCGGTCCGATGGAGGGCGCCTTGAGGGTGGGTGTAGCGGTTGTCAGCTTCTTCGTCCGGTCCTCAGCCAGGGACTGCTCGCGCGTGACCACAGGTATCTTGGATAGATCAAAAGGTTCGGCAAACGCTTCCGCAGAGGTACCGTTGACGTAATGTGCTAATTGATCTTCCAGCACTGGTAGAGAAAACATTGAATCTGCAGGGTTCTGTCAGCGAGACGCAGTCTATACCTCATCATCCCCTGCGACATACCATTCCGGACGAACTTGCTCGCCACCTCATCTTCTTCCTGCATCAATCGCAAATTCAATGCCGCCCTATCACGGACCTCATCATCGGTATCGTCCAAGCACCGAGTCAGCAGCACATGCACGCTCGACTTGACATCAGGATCCGTTTGACCTACGCCAAACTTCGCGAGCGCGGTCACTGCAGCGGCGCGAACGATGGCATTTTCCAATACAACTCGGTTGTAGATGTACCGGATGTACTTGGTCGGTTGCGGTGTCTTCGGTCCTTCCATACCCAGCAAATGCAATATCCGGACTGCCAGCTTCGTAAACTCGCAGTCCTCAATGAACTCGCAAAGATGCGAAAGCGCTTCCTCTTTGCTTTCAGGCACAAACTTGATCAGGTCGAACATGCTTTCCACCACGGCTCGCTTAAACTCGTACCCGCCTTCGTCGCGCAATATGCCGGAAAGGAAGGTGAGCATACCCGCCTGTTTTGATGGGAATTTGAGACACAAGGTCCGAATGGCTTCAACAATAGTCACTTTGAATTCGTCCGTGATCTCCGACATGAAGTTGCTAATTTGCTTCATTAACCGATCGACGCTGCTTTCGTTACCAGTCTTGAGGAGAGTGGTGATCGCGAAGGTGGCGATACTTCGGTTGGTGTTGCTGATGAGGGCCTCAATGTCTGGATTACATGACCGCACCGCATCCGGTTTGAACGTTGCGAATTGGTGTAGTATACGGATTGCGGCGAATTTTGACACGGCACGTGGCGAAGTGAGGAAGAGCTGAAGGACGTGGATGGCTTGCGTGACCTCGCTGTCGGCCAGGTCAGGCATGGCGCAGATGGCTTTGGCGGCCTCGAAGTTGACCATCTCGCTCTTGTCGCGTAGCCACTCGTCCAGAAGCTTCATCATTGGTCGGCGAAGGCTGGGGTCGTCTTCTGCGAGCTTGGCCGCCAGCCGTACGAGCATCATTCGCGCAGCAGGCGACTTGACAACACCAGCTGCGCTATATTGCTGCACCATCTTCACGAGCGCCATGCGGTCATGACTTCGCATCTGATACAGAAGGCCAATGGCGTGGTATTGCGTCATATAGTTGGTGCCGGCTGCGCTAAGCTGCGACTGTGCTGCGGCGCTTGCGCCGAAGCCAAGGTTGAAGCCAGATGAACGGTTGGTGGATGAGGCTGCCTCCTGCGTCTCGCCTTGCCATCGCCGGACGATATCGCGAGCTATGGGAAGCAGATGGTACGAAGACACCAGCGCTGCCGAGGAGACCGAGGGTTGCTTGTCGACGATCGCAGTTTTGAGGTTGCGTTCTATTGCTTGCACGGTTTGCGACTAGCTGCAAGTCAGTGTGTGTCACCTTCACACCGGCTCGCCAGAACATACGTCTATGATTCGACATAATGCCCGAATAGCGTTCGCCCTGTACACCACATCACTCCCCACTGCTGCTGTGTCTTTCATGATGCTGCTCGTGACCATGATGACATCCTCCGCATCCTTGCTCAGCTCCTTGATGACAAGGTACACCATCTGCCGTAACGAGGCATCTTTGTTCTGAAAAAGCTTGCTTATGCCAAAGAAGAGGGATGTCGCTTCTTGCTGTGGGAACTTTTCGCCGGTGAAGAGTAAAAGAGCAATCTTGGTGAGAAGTACTCGACATCTTCGGGGAGAGATGGGTGATGAGTTGAAGACGCGCGCTAGTAGACATATGTCAGTCCACGTACTCCAACATATTGCTCTTCGCGCCTGTCGTGCCTTCTTGAAATACGCTGGTTCGATCCACTTTCAGCAGGCCATCAGCGTCCTCATCCTTCTTGTTGAGCGCCATGGCTGCGGCGCTTCACTTGTGCCTTATTGTGCCGACATGTGTATCCCACTCTGGCGTGCGGAGCCCGGGATAAAGACGTGTATACCCTCCTCTCAATGGCATGTCACGCATGTAGTCGGTGGAAGGTGTCCCTTTGCAGGCGCCAAGAAAGCTGGGGTCGCAGCGACGGACGAGGCGAATCCCTGAAAACGGTTCTTGCTCACCTTCTTGGCTATCGGGCCTTGATCTCCTCCCTACCTCGCTGAGTAACACGGACACATGCACGACACCTGCTCTCGATCCAACCGAATGGCTACATGTTCCGCGACGGCCAGTCTCGTTGGCCGTGCACGTGGTATCAGAGGTTCGGATCCGTATACCTTGCTGGGAACTCCTCCTCCAGGGTCATGATAAGGATATGCAGGAACGTGTTGCTATCTGGTGGCCTGCATGAAGCAAGTCAGCAACTACCGAAAGGTTATTACCGCATCCAAATTATGCACGGCGAGCATGGCCAGCTTGCAAGCTGCACTCATCCATAAGTGGCCCAAGTCTCGCTACGATGCCCGTGGGTGTAGATGCGGCGGCGAGCTCAGATAAGCCTACAGTACAGCCCGTCTCTTATACTCAAACCCCGTCCTCCGTCTTGTCGTCGGTCTCTCTTCTCACCACACCTTTCTGCTTATCCATCTCCCGCGTCCAGCAGTAAATAATGGCAGAAAAGGGAGAGCAAAAGACGGCCACCGCAGCCCCTATACTGCAGAATGATGATCAAGCCGAAGGCACCGTATTCATGAGTAAGGACGAGGCACATTTGGCAAGTCTAGGCTATAAGCAAGGTACGTTTGTTTAACACAACACACCTTTACCCTCGAGCTAAAGACGACGTAGAATTCCGGCGTCACCTTGGCATGTTCGAGAGTTGGGCTGCTACATTTCAGGTATCCTGCAGCCTCGATCTCGAACCCTTCTATGGATGTAGGGTTGATCGGATGACAGTCAATGAACACTATCACTGGCATTCCAGTACTGTTCGGTTGGATCATGTACACGGGCGGTCCGACGTCCGCATTCGCCAATTGGACAATGGTCGGCGGCTTTTCATGCCTTGTCGCCCTTAGCCTTGCCGAGATTGCTGCTGCTCTACCAACCGCTGGTGGAATCTACTTCTGGTCTTACAGTCTAGGCGGCGAGAAGTGGGGCCCGTTCCTTGCCTGGATGACGGGGTGGTGGAACTTCATTGTAGGTTGAGTGTGCTCGATATAACATGTTAATTTCGGCTAACATGACTACAGGGTAGGTGGCCGCGAGCATGTGATGTTGAAGACTCGCTAACCCGTGTGGTAAGGCTGGGTCTGTGTGGTTCCGGGAGTACAGCAAGGCTCGACCAACTTCCTACTATGTGCTATCGAAATCGCCTACCCCAATGCGGAGATAGTATCGAAGGGCTGGTTCGCATGGCTTCTGACGGCAATCGGTATGTTTGTTGCTATGGCACCGAACGTCATCTCCCAAAGAGTGCTGCGGCTCTACTTCCGCTTCGCAACCCTGAGCTTCTTCACATTGTTCCTCCTGTACTGGATATGGTGAGTTGAGAACACCATGATAGACTCTGAGATTACCGCTAATTCTGGTTGTAAGGTTTCCCATAGCCGCAGCGAAGCGCGGACACTTCCAGTCAGCCGATGGAGTCTTCAAGCACTTCTATAACGGCATCAACATAGGCGAACAGAAGCAGGCATCGGATGCATATACTTGGGTCATTGGTGTCCTGTTCGGTGCTTGGGTGTTCTTCGGTTACGATGCTAGCGCTCACCTTGCTGAGGAGACTCACAACGCTTCCGCCGTAGTCGCGAAAGGCATGTGGACCTCGACACTGTCCGGCTGGGTGCTTTCCGTGCCTACCGTGGTTGTTGTGCTCTTCTGCATGCAGGACTTTGACAGCATCATAAGTGCTACGTACACCAACAATTGGTATGCTCAAAGCCGATACTTGGTTTGCTGCAGACGAAGGCTGACTTGGTGATATCGAAGGGCGGAGTATATGGTACAGCTTATCGGTCCGAGGGGCGCCATAGCCATCTTCAGTATACTCTGGATCGATTCGACTTGCTGTACCGCTGCATGCTTCTTGAGCGCGCAGCGAGTTACCTTCGCCATTTCCCGTGACGGCATCTTACCCGGCTCGAAGATCTTCCGAAGACTCAGCCGAAATAAGATGCCGGTCAACGCGGCCTATTTGGTATGCGCCCTTAGTATCGCCATCACATGCGCCGTTATCGGCAGTACAGTCGCTTTCAGCGCCATCACTGCAACCGTAAGCGACCCTCTGATCTGTGATTCTACTCCGCGGTACCCTCTGACGTGTTCTAGGCAACAATTGCTACGAATTTCAGCTACCTCTTCCCAATCCTGGCTCGACACACCGTTGGCCGTACTACCTTTAAGCCAGCCGAATGGAATCTCGGTCGCTTTTCGCTGCCAATCGGCATCGTCGCAGGAACGTACATCTTGTTCCTCTTCAGCGTGTTGCTCTTGCCGCAGCTGTATCCTGTCACCGCTGAGACATTGAATTACGCACCGATCTGCATCGGCATTGTCACCACGATCAGTCTGGTGGGTTGGTTTCTCCCGTTTGGTCTGGGTGGTCGGTATTGGTTCACTGGACCTAAGCGTACGATTGATCAAGCAGACTCGAGAGATACTGGGGAGAAGGTGTCGGCATGATTGAGTGACTAAGGTGAGCACGCAAGTGATGGAAGCCGGTAGGTCAAACGTGAGGAGACGTAGACCATTTCAAGTACGCTGGCGCCGAACTCAAGAGTTGTTCAAACCAATGTCCACTGTCATACCGGTTTCCTTCCGCTAGCTGACACATGGCCACCGAGCCAAGCACAGGAAGCCACAATCCGCCTTTTTGGCATAGTCGGAGGATCCAGTGTTGGTGCCGACACTCTTTTAGCCAGCGGTCCAACAATTAGCCCGAAGCCCGTTCAACCATTGGCTCGGCGATTCATACTGCGACAGTACGCTCTGCATCATCAGCAGGGCAGCAAACGAGGCTCGGCTTGTCTGCGAGCAATCACTCCGCTTGAACATGCGTCGCCGATTTGAGCAAGGGTCATTGTGCGGTTTCGCACGGTAGGTGAGTTTAAAGCGTTGGCATTCCTAACCTTGCAGCTTCCTTCAGCAAGCCCAACATCTTCTTGCTACTCGGGGGCCACAGACGTTTACAATGTCGCACTATATCACCACGCACGACAAGTCCGGCAAGTCAGTGTTCTCCAAGACAGTTCCGTCCGAGCCTCATCCAATGCCAATTCCCGCTGGCAATTTGCAGCTCGTCTATACATCCCATACCTTCCGACCAGACCTTAGCAAGGAGGCCGACATCGAACAGTTCGCACACGACCGCGCGAACGGTCTCGGCAATGCTGTTACGCCACCTAGTGGCGTAGCAGCGGCCTTGGTAACGATTGAACCGAACGCTACAGGCATCTGGCATAGGACAACCTCGGTCGACACCATCGTCATGGTCGAGGGCGTTCTCGAGCTTCATCTTGATGGTGGAGAAGTCCGGACTTTGAAGGCTGGGGATACGTGCGTGCAGCGAGCGACTATGCATCAGTGGAAGAACGTCACGCCAAATTACGGATCGGCGAAGATGGCCGGTATGTTAGTTAACGTACGCGTATATGTGACAGTGCCGCTGATGGAAAGGCTAGCGTTTGCCTTGCCCATAATCGAGCCATTCGTGGTTGCTGGCAGGACGTTGCAAACCGACTTTCGGTTCGAATGAAGTGACCTGCAGGACGCCAGCACTGCTCCCTTAATCTGTTGAGCCCGCATTTGTCCTCTCGTTCCGGCAACAGGCCGATGTGGAGGCGGAGGCACGCGGATTGTACGGTAGGATGCTGTACTACAAGTAGGTAGCCAGTAAAGCTTAGTGGGAGCATCAAGCGTGACCCCACCCATTCCACACTAGAATCTGCATCTCATCAATCACACAGGACTCGCCGCTTTCTGTGTTGGCCGGGTCCTGCCGCCTCCATGCTTTTAATTTGGCCTCCTTCGAGTGATCCTTTCGCCATAAACCTAGAGCACGCATCCACCGCAAGCCACGATTCAGCCACAGTCCTTTGGATATGGACCAGCTTGAAGGCCAAGTACCTGCGTTCATCGCATCATACGAAGACCCGTTGTATGCCACTCGCACATTGGGATTGATCCATACGCCTTTTGAACGTGTCAGAGGGTTATCAGCATGGATGAGACAGCATTCCGAGGCCTCCAAGTGTGACACTGCCAGGCTATCCGGTAATGCTCGAAAGACGAGCGGGTTGGCGTCATAGAATGGCGCCGCGTCGAATGCCACCATGCCATTCCAGCAGCTAGAGACCGGGATAGGCTCAGCGTGTGTCAAGGCATCCCGTGATTGGGCGCTTCGGAAGAACGGCCAGGTGTCCATAATCGGGGCGTAGCCACGCGCGTCACGCAGAGCGAAGGTGTCATAGAAAGCCGGTGGAATCTTGAAATCGAGGGCGCAGGCAGCGGCGAAATCGCCACTTCTTGTGTTCAAGAGCTTACGAACGTTGTATGACTATCTGCTATTAGTCTCCACTAAGTAATTATGCAGCAATACGATTTGCAGATGTAAGGATTCTGGTATGAGGCCATGAGCTCAGGACATGATCGACAACACCAATAAGAAGCGAGTCCTAATGCGAACGTAGAGTAAAGATAAAACAATCACAGCGTCGTACTTACGTTAAACACCACGTCGTTGAGCCACAAGACCTTGTCGAAGGTCTGGCCCGCCTCACGAAGTTCATACAAGGGCTGCATTGCCTGGTTACGTAGCCGTGCAAGATAAGGTATGCGTCTGGGCACCCACGTTCCTTTAGTAAGTGTGAACCACTCTGTCCAGTTCTCGTGGTAGGCTTTCGACTCGGGCATCTGAACCCAGCCCGTGGGTTCAGGTACCTTCTCCACTTCGTCTTTGTGCGAAGATTCATCAAGAACTACGCGATGCGGTATGGCGTTCCGTTCGAGCATTTCGTCCAGTTCTCGGAGAGCGCCTTTCGCATCGTCTATACTGCCGCTTTCGTAGACGGAGACGAATACGTTTTCGGTTCCGATGTCAATAGCGAGTTGTAGGACGGCTGAGACCCAGTGTGATCGTAAGATAAGCTCATCGGTCCAATGGATACTAGCGATGAAGACCTTTTGATCGCTGAACGGAGCGGGCTCCTTCGTGGCCTCGTAGAAGTAAGCGCGGCGTACTTGTATCACATCCCATGCTGTCCAGATGATTACGAACAGCGCCACAAGTCGACCAGCGCGGCTGAGAGAAAGGCGCCTGTTGCGCACATTAAAGAGCATGCTATTGTACCTTCATGTTTCTGGTCACCCCCTCGAATCGTTCGGATTAAGAGCGAGATGCTAAAGACATGTTTCAAAGAGTTGGGAGGAGATACGCGCGAGCCTTTCCCGGGAACTGAGTAATTTATAGCTTAGGAAGTATGCTAGATAATACTGCTGAATGGGTACATACCAATGAGTTCAGAATGCATGGTTGACTGCAGTGTAATCCTAAGCGTTTCGCCGGACCCGAGTCCGCGATCTCCGCACTCCGACTGCAAGCAGGTGTTCGGTACGACAAAAAGTTCCATCTTACCCTCGCTGGCATCCTGCAATGTCCCGACCTGCCACTCGCTCTCTGGCCTCATGGCAGCAATATCACGCCATCTTCACCCAGCAGTGTCTTCGAGGACCGCGAAATCGATTCGCCAGCAAGTCCTTAAGACTCCCTAGCCACCCTTCCCACCATGGCACGCGACCATTCTCAGGCTCCGCATCATGGCATGCTGGCCAGATGGGCAAAGCGTTCATGCCCAGCGCCGGAAGGCGCCCACAGCAATCAATGAAAGTGCAGAAAGCCAAAGCGGAACGCGATGCCAAACGGCAAGGCATAGGGTTTGACATTGGTCTCATACCAGAAACTTTCGTGATGCCGCGGGGCAAGAACCTGCCAAGCTGGTTCAGCAACTCCAAAGACCGTCGAAAACTAGAGTGGGCACGGCTCAAGCTGCGATTGAAGGAGTTCTACAGCGCCGTCTTCTACCGTTTCTTCTCCATTCGACCAAACCCCCGATTGGAATGGCGGAAGCTCCCTGGCATAGCCAAGGAACTACACAAGGAGATGTACGAGCATTTTGCGCAGGGCAACGTGGCGGCGATCGAGGGCAAGCTTGCGGATGGGATCTACGGGTCGTTGCAGAAACGGATTGGGCTGAGGCCTGCCAATACTGCGATGAGGTGGAGGTTGCATAAGTACCTCAGCCGGCCAAGGACGGTGAGCTACAAAGCCACGCTGCTACCGCCCGCCACGGCGGTGAGTAAGTATGAGCGCAACGCCATGGTACAGGCGGTGGTGAGGATACACAGCTTGCAGTCCTTGCAGCGCGTGCAGCGAGTTAGCGAGCGAAATGAACGCGGCCAATTGCGGGTGCGAGATGTGGTGCTGGACTCGCAGGGCAGAGAGGTCCCGGAGACGGAGTTGGAGCTAATGCCGAAGGATGCGAAGGAGTCGGTCGAGTATGTGGTGGTACAGAAGTTCCACCGCGCGGGTAAGGAAGGGAACTGGGAGCTTTGGGGCACGACGGAGGAGACGACGTTGGAGAGACTGGAGAGCGATCAGAAGGCCCTGCAGGATGCCGTGAAGGCGCAGAGCGCGGCGAGGAGGCTGGCGGCTGCGTAGGTAGGCAGTGTAAGATAGCTAACTCCTCTTCGTGTACAAGACAGCGCTTTACTGTACGAGCACTCGTCCGCAAACGGCGGACGCAATAGTCACCTCGTACTTGAAGTCCCATGCCGTGCCGAACACATTCCGCAGAGGTGTACTAGAGAGCTCCTCGAAAAGGGAAGGTGCGTAACAGATGCGGGAAGCGCGAATCAATGGGGCGTACGCGAATGAGTGTAGGCACAACAAGTTCACAGCGACATTTACGCCGTCTATATCTGCTAGGTCCTACGGGAAGCTTATCCGTCACCGCTGGCAGAATCCTCTGCAGCCACCCAATAGCCGCTCTGTAGCTCTCCATTGCCGCCAAATGAGCCGTGGGTTTGCCGCCGGAATCACGTAAAGCACGCATGTATCGATGCTGAACCATCATAAGAAATCGCTGATCGTAGAATATCCGTCCTCTAGGCTACCTTGGCCTTCGCCCCGCAGTCATATGACTGCTGTCGCAAGTCGTGCCCTCGTTTGATCATTATGTTGTGGTCGTACGATGGTCGTACGGGCATGATTGAGCTCTTTGTGTTTGAAGAGATCGGTTGTCGCGAGGTCGCTGTACGGCTTGCGATGCCGGGCGGAAGACCACCTTATAGGCGCGCCTTAAAAGCCGTGGACTTTGATGGTCTTGGCATCCAGTCCGAGACCTTCCTTCTTGTCTACGAGAAACTCCTGCACATCTTTGCGCTGATCACCCTGCAACTGGATCACCTCGCCCATCTCCGTGTCATTGACGATCGTGCCATTGCAAGCGAACTTCTTCTTGATCACTTTGAGAATCTTCTTCTGGTCGAACTTTTTGGGCAGACCTTGGACTGTGGTCAGTGTCTTACGACCATTGCGCTCTACAATACATTATTAGTCGGTGGAAGGCATGCCAGCGGAGTGTGGACAAGACGCACGCTGAATCCGTATATGGATGTAGTTCTGGGACTGCTTGGTCTCTCCGGTATCCTCATCGGCTTCTGCGAAGGGATCGAAGGATTTGAGGTTCTCGATGGAGGCGGACCTGCAAGATGGGTTCAAGTCAGCGCCTATGCAAGGCTTTGCGGCGTGTACTGATAAGGCTGTGTGAAGGCTTTGTTTGCGGGCACGTACATAAAAAGCGCGCTTGTTCCTGCTGTAGTTCGAGTCCTGAAGTGGTCGGCGAGGTTTTTGTTGGCGAGATATATGACTTATGATCGTGTGATTGCCTTTGAGTGGAGAGTGGTAGTTGTCGGGTGAATTGTAGGTTATGAGTGAGTGACTGCGGGCTTCGAAAGTAGTGGGGGTTTCGACCGAGTGGCGGAGCACGCTAGTCAGCACCCGCTCGGCTCCAGCCGCCGGTCTCGTGACTGTCACATGCTTCGTCAAGACCTCCACCCTCTGTGGCAGATGACACCATCCTTACTTTCTCGGGCTCATTATATGTTACTGTATCCCATAACTTATATGGGCAGTTTGTGCATACGGTCAGCCTAGTGGTGAGATCGTCTGCTTCATTCCTTACCAACATCTCGGCAGGAGAACAAGGCGGCGGTGTTGTATTGTTCGAAGCCGGTAGAAGTAGAGGAAGATGGCTTCTGGACAAGGCGTGATCTATAGCTCGCAGACACGAGTATTGTTTACGGAGACTGTTTGGATGTGATGGCACTGCTAGTACTACGTACTCGGACGTCTTCGGAATTCACTTCATGTAGGGTAAAATTGATACTGTTCGTCGGCGTTACCGGCAACGGTTCGCGTGCCTTCCAAGGCTGTGAAAGCGTCTTGGCCCGTGCCAGGATTCTCTATGTTTCACATTCGTTCATCTTCCCGTGGCAAGACAGGGCAACATTCTCGCCCATACTTCCAGCCACGAATAACTAGTCACGACTGGCTCCCACACGCAGGCATATCCTAGGCTGATCAACCTGCAGGCTTTGCTGACCACACGCAGCACATCATGGACCAGTCACTCATAGCCAAAACTGGCACCGGAGCTAAGAAATAGCATCTACAAACTGGTGTTACAAAAGGATGGCAAAATCAGAGTTAGCGTGAAATATCAAGCGAGACACCCACTGTCGCTCGCAATCATGGCCACCTGCTGGCAGATGAGGCGCGAAGCTCTTACAGTTTATCTCGGTGCCAATAAGTTCGAAGTCGATACTAGCGCCCTCCTTTTTGTAGAGTTGTACGAGAATCCGCCTACACATTCGAGCTTCAATACCCTGCCAACAGCGTCAAGCTTGATGGCCTACAGAGTCGCTTCCTCAGAAACGCCATAGCATTTTGTGTGCTGGTTAGAAAGGCTACAGCAGATCGCCACCCGCCCATCACTGTGCTGTTGGGCCATGTCTCTTCTCACCTCCAATACAGTCACCTGTCTCTGCTCATGGACCTCGCGCGGCGATTCGGTCGAGGCTGTCCTGGCACACTGGAGAGATTATGCTTTACCTTACAATGTCGGGATGTTGCGGTCTACGCCGCAGAGCCGCTCACTGAGGCGCTCGATGAGGACTGCTTTACGTACCGCTTCAGACTCACCTCTGCAGCCGACACACAGGCAGACCTTCATGCGAGTAACAGGTGACTTCGAGCGCAACTGGCAGAGAGCGGACAGATGCCCGCTGATTTTATCGATGCCGAGAGAGCACTTGAGCGCTTCTATAAATGGATGTGCGCAGCAGCGCTCGGGTCAATGGAGACAGTCGAGAGCGACAATGGGCCGCTTTGGGATCGATGGACGTAGAGATGTTGCTGCAAACGCAAAGGAAGACACTGATATGGATTCGACGTTGACGCAGAGGATGATTTGGTGCGTAGATCTCAGCACTAACCGCGATGCGCAAGCAGGATGCGAGGGTGCAATGAACACTAACATGGGTTTTCGTAGCGTGATGAGAGGCAAGAACATATCACGGCCATTGCGCTTGCATCAACATAGCGTTCGGTTCATGGCTTTACCGATATATACTCCCACAGGCACCAAGCCAAACATATCACGCTATGCGTTCTCATCACATGCGATCCCGCGCAGTGTCTGCCGACAAACGCCCCTCGCTTGAACGCTTCACACGGCATAACTATAGTGAACGCAAAAGATGCCTACATTCCCCATACATGGCCGTGCCGCTCAAGCCTTTCGAGCGCCAAATAACGACAGACTCAAGCTCGTGTCATTCTCACCCATCATCGGTGTAGCATCCGGTAGGATCTCCCATCTCCGCAGCGCGAACGGCGCTGTCTTCATCTCCGGCTGTACCTTTGTGATTCCCAACCCAGACTGCGCAGCACGATGTTGTATCGGCTGCGATGAGGTTGCTCCGATCAGACCAGGCGCCCTAGATCCGCTCTGACCAGACTGTGAAGGGTGTCTGGCCAGGGCTCGCTGCTGTGCTGTGCCCATCGGCTGCACGGGCGATGCGAGAGCCAGCCACCCTGTCTCGGCCGGGCTGTAGTGGTTGAGGATTGCTCGCACCCGCGAGTCTGTGGGCTTCATCGTGTGGGCGAGGTTGCTAAGGACGTCCGTAGACAGAGTGTCTGCGAGCGAGGCTGCCATGTCGAAAATGTAGTCAACCTCGTCTGACTTTGTCTGCACTGCCTGGTGGACAAGGACAGTAAGTAGAGCAACAAGTAGGTTGGTTCGTGCCCGTATGCTGGCGTCCGTCGCAATAGACGGCTTGTTCACATGCAGGGAGCACATGTGCAGTATGATCGACAAGCTCTGCATTACCGAGTTCTGCGCGGTGCTTTCTTGGTTATAGTCTCCGGTAAAGCTTGACAGCTGTTTCTCAACCTCTCGGAGCTTCTCGGTGAGCGAGCCCAGTGCAGCGCAGTTGTCTTCGTCTTTCAGCGCAGAGCTAGTAATCTGCAGTGCGTCAAGGTAAGGTTGGGCAGCCGAAATTTTACTCAGAAGCTGCTCTCGAGCCCAGGTATGCATGGACTGCTTGACCTGTGAATCCGTGGCATTCAAAAGCTGCGGCCAGACACTGTTGCCCTGCCCAATTGCTTCAGTGAGCGCAGATGTTACAATCTCTGGGTTCGCGTCGAGGATGTCCCGTGGCACAAGCCACCGTAAAGCACCCGCCGAGTATCGCAATGACAATGCATCAGCATGCCTGAGGACAGTACGAACATCCGCGCAATCCGCATCCACTCCCTCCAAACCACGCTCGAGAGGGAGTCTCCAGAGACGCCTCGCTTTGTCGGGGAGCGCTTGGCGGCCTTCAGCTTGCTCGCAGGCCCACTGCAGGTCGAAAGGATCGGTAATGTGGCTTGCAAGTAGAAGCTCTCCCACGGCCGGATCGTTGCAGTCGAACTGGGCGTCTGCACATGCCAGAACCAATATCTGCAAAACCACAGCCGTGTTCTTCGCTTGGTAACGCTTCTGTAACACTCGGTACCGGTAGAGCTCCTCGGTCGTCAAGTCCGCGCCGTAACCTCCGTTCAGGAGTGTGCGAATTACCAGCGCTGCTGCGACAGGCGTTGAAAGCTGCTGTGCACAAGCCATCATTGTGTCGAAACCGACGCACTCGCTGGCAACTAGAGCGCTGACAGCGAACCCGGAAAATTTATCGGCTGCCTCGAGGTATGACCGGACGGCTTCCGTCGCAAGCTCATAGAAGGTGCTGCCGCCGACAAGTCGGAGCTGGTTCAGCCAGGTACACAGCTTGCTGGGGTTTCTTTGAGTCTCTAGCCGTGTCTTACCGGCACGTTGCAATATTCGCGTGAAGACACGTTGCAGGAGCTGGTAGTCCATAATGTTACCACTCGCGAAGACCGCATCGATATCATCGTCCGACTCGAGCTTTGTAGCATACATGCTGATGAAGTTGTCCGAAGCGGGCGAGCAGACTGCGGCCGAGCTTTGCTGCTCGCAGATGATGAGGTCGCTGTTGAGGAGGTCTGTACTTGATTGGTGATGGAGGCTGAGTTTCATGAGACGCATCATGGCAGTGATAAAGGTTCGGTCGAGCGGCTGCTGCGAGCGCACGGTACGGTAGCGCTCCACAGTAATCTCTGACAGTCTTTGTAGCTGGCCGAGAGCAGCGAAGCACTCTGCATGCATGGTGACGGTGTCCGTGGCTGTTGCAAGTAAGGCAGTGTCGTCGGATGCGACGGCGTTTATGATTAGCTCAACAAGCCCTGAGATGTCGCTGACGGTCTCGTGCGTGTGTCTTAGCAGCAAAAATGTGCCCAGCTGCTCCTCGTAGGCTGCACCTGGAACTGGTAGAACCATACTTCGGGCGTAGTCGGCAACTGCGACCTTAACAGCTGTATTCAAGGAGCCGGTGATCGCCGGTGCAGACTTGAATCCACTGTCCATGGCGGCAGTCAGCTGGCTGCAATGGGTGTTTGCAGTTTCTTGCGCCTCTTCACTTCCAGCGACCCTTGCGAGCAAGGTGCGCCTGACATTGGCCTCGTATCCTGAGAGCGAAGCAGTGGGAAGCGCAGCCAGCAGACCGATCGCAGCTAATGCACTCCCTGATCGTTGCAATGCACCGGTAGAAATAAGAAACTGCAAGTAGCGGCCGACGGCGAAGGCATTAAACCGAACCAGTTCACCGATGACGCGATACACAAGCTCCAGCTGGGCGGATGTCCGCCGGTCCGCATCCCCCAGCCACGCCAGGACCGCGGCGTCAGTATCATGACCTTGGCGGCGAAGTATCTGGATGATCGTTGCACTCAAGTAAACGCGTGCATCTCCGTACCTGTATGGCGTGGAAGCCCAGTCTAACAGCGCCGCGAGCAAGTGTGAGGTATCCGGTATCTGTGCTGAACACTGCTTGGTAAGCTCGTCGATGTCGGAGTCCAGACCAACAGAATCCAGTATGTCGTAAAGCTTCACAAGGGGGCCGCGGATACGAGCCAGAGTCTCAGTCGAGGACACCACAAGCCTCTCGTTCCGCCGAGCGATGTCTTCAACGATACTCTTCATTGTGGACTCCGCATTCGCCGGTCCGGAGGGTTTAAGCAGGTGTTTGTATTTCTGCCATGTGCTCGGGATGACGAGGCATCCGCGGCTCGTCACCGCCAGCACAGCAATGAGCTTCTGCAGCCGCAACCTCAAAGCCTCGTTGCTGGTCCGGGGTACCTCGTGCAGGCCATGAATATGCGCGAGGGTGGCTTCCGCAAGCGTCCGGCCTCTTCTCACAAACCGTATCACATGCTTCCAGAAGATCAGCACAAGCACAATCCAGATAGGCAGCCTCCCTATGGTCGCCTCTGCGAAGTTAGATACAATCCAGTCGAGGTAGTGATCTACCTCCAGCAAACCCTCGGCATATAGCGCAGTCACCAGCTTGACGGCGTAGTTCATCCTACCTTGCCACTCCTGCTCTCCGCACGAGGCTATCACGCCTTCGAAGAATTGCTCGACACTGACGGTCCACTCGCGTACCCACTTGCTCTCGCCCGACGCAGCAATAGCTCCTGTGACGCCTTTCCGTCTGAACGCCCGGAGCTCGTTCGCGCCGACGCACTTCGCAAGCCATACAGCACGCTGAAGCGGTATATCCTTGCTCAAACACTGATCCAGGAGCAGTTTCCCGCGGATACCATGCGGAATCGTTCTACTCTGCTTCCGCAGTGGTACATCCGGGTTGGCAAGGTCGCGGAGCCACGCCTCTCTTTTCGTGTCCGTGACAGTAACACGGGGAGGTGGCTTGAAGGTCGAGGGCGCCGTGCACTTGCCGAGGGCCTGCTTCTTGTCCAGCACTTGGGTGAAGAGGTACGACAGCATCTGCAGACCTGTGTTGTTTTTGGAGGTAAGGTTCTGCCATATTGAGGGCTTGGCGGAGTTGCTCTCGTTGGTGCTGGATAGCTTGGTGTCACTATAGCCTGCTTTGACGACCGCATCGTTCAGCGTGTCCTCTGGATGGTTACCGGTCCAGACGCAGAAATCGGCGACATTCTTGGGTGGTGGGAGCTTGGTGGCTACCGGTGGTGGTACGACGCCAGTGGCTTTGCGAGCGGTAGACTCTCCGACCCGGCGCCGACGCCGCGCAAGCGCGCCTTGAGCATTCGGTGTCGTTTGCTTGGGAGGTGCTGGAAGTTCCTCTCCCTCTACCACGTTGTAGGCAAGTCCGTGTTCGCTCTCCTCGCCGTCACCGCCAGCTCGCAAGCCATCTCCCGTAAGCCTGGCCCTCTTCGCCGGGGGCTGACCATCTTCTTCATCGTCCACCTGGATGATGTCTGGAGAAGTGCAGACACTGCCGTTAAGCCCAAACGATGCCGCACTGCCCCTCCTGCTGGCTTGCAAGCCTTCTGCCGTCAAGTCCACGACATGGGAAGGCTGAGACGCCGATCTGACGCTGCTGAGGCGGGACGGAAGACTCGGTCGGACACCAGGCTTCGCAAAGTAGACGGAGCTCCCACTGGCGGCTCGCTGAGGAGGTGTTGGCCTCGTGAGAGTGCTCAGTGTCGTTCGCTTGTCCATCGCACAGTACCGTGAGAGCCTTCTAGCCAGCGCATCTTTCCCTACTCACGATCTTATCTCCTCTACCAACCCATGATTTCCCGTACCTACGGAAGAAGTCGAATAGTATGCAAATGCGGTTACTAGCCACTAGAGGCTGAAGTAATAGCAGAGCGGGCAATGATACGGTTACCGGCCCCTTCTCGCCATCCACAGCCGAACAGCCGTCGTCGACCCGTACAGGCTACAGAAACAGGGATGAGAGAGTCGGCCAGTCGTACAAAAGGCTGCTGAGCTGCGCCGGGAAAGGTGATGCAAGTAATAACTCCGTGCCACAACGTAACACACCCCGTCCACCGGCGACAACGCTTCCTGCTGTGACAGGACGTGCGTCAAAACGTGCGGCGGGCGTTTCGTAATTCGTTGTCGATCGGTAGATGGAGGCCGAGCCCGACAAACCTCTTGGCCCTCTTCCGTCTTCTCCGCGACAGGAAGGACGGCGTGGACGGGAAGGTTAGGAAAGCGGGTAATGGCGATAAGCCCGTTACCCGATAGCGTAATCAAATATTGGGGGTGCGGTTAAGGCGATTAATGAAGGTGTGCTAAAGCAGGCTTTGGAGCTGAAGATACGAATGAGGGTTTGACGTGCGATTGGGCGTGTGTGTCGTCAATCACTCAGCATCGTCTAGAGTCGACTTGGGACTTGGTTGCGCGTGCCACGGGTGATCCAGTCCTGTGTTCCGATTGATTTGCCCTTATGTCTCTCGCAAGCCACAGACGCACAAAGGCCCGAGACGAGACACGCCCACCACACTCCGCCTGATCTCCGCGATTCGAGACAATCGCTGACTCGGGGAGGAAGATACGACGTTCCGACGCTTGCGTTGCGCTTACCGGTTGCCTCTCTCACCTGCCGGCGCCGGACGGATTGATTACTATCAATCTTGCTGAGGTCAGCGGTTCGAGGCTTGCACAATTCATACGCGGCAGTTGCACAAGCATTGTGTAACGTAGTGTCTGCATACGCAAGTGTCACCACGTAAAGTCCGAGATTGCATGCACAAGTGGAATATCGGTGCATGAACGAGCGATAATCATGGCGAACCGCAAGGATATGCGGAGGGAGGACCTCAGTGAGTGATCGCGTCGCATTGCATCAAGCAATATGCCACTGTTTGCTGTAATTAGAGAATAGGCTGACGAGTGCTTCCAGTCGTGCCATATGTCGAACCTGCGCCCCCGAAGGAGAATGATGCCCAGAGTGAGCCGTCGACATCCCGCATACGACCAATCCCGCCCAGCGACTAACTTAAGTGTAGGCATGATGGCAAGCACACTGCCAATGGCAGCGATCTTCACCCGCAACAAGTACGCCGCTGAGAATCTCTACCTTACCACCACCACCACCCGGACGACTAAAACTGTATAGATTAATTGGCTGGACCTCCGTGATGTTCGCCGTCCAGGGGTGGCTATCAGAAACACCGGCCTCGAAAGCGACCGCCGCAACGCCTGCGTACATGTCCATCGGCATGGCGGTGCTGGGTGTGGGAGTCGTACGTACCGCAACTTCTCAAGTCCTTGTAGGAGTTGCAAAGAGTGACTAATCTTCTCGCAGGCATATATGCCACTCTTTCTCCCGCCACAGCCAATGCCACAGGCAGGCGGTGCGGGGACAGGCACACAAGCTCCGCCACCTGTACCATCATAAGCAAACCAGGACGTTAAGTGTACGAAGTGTGTAATGGTACAATTTGTTACACTACGAGCCCCTGGGGCCACTACAGCGCCTTGGTCGCCTCCATCCCACCCATCTCCTCGGCGCCCACAAGTGTATTCATCCTTGCCCGCTTCTTAAGCACATTCTCGATGAACGCCTCACCCGCCTTGTAACTACTCCGCACCAGCGGCCCGCTCGCACAGTACAAGAACCCCAGCCCCAACGCCCTCTGCCTCCACATCTCGAAGGTCTCCGGCCGCACGTACTCTTCGACCTTCATGTGCCGCTTCGTAGGTCGCATGTACTGCCCAAACGTTACGACATCTACATCGGCCTTCCTCAATTCCCGCAAAGCATCCCACAGACCCTCCTCCGTCTCGCCCAGGCCAAGCATGATGGACGTCTTGGTGATCAGCTCGGGCTTGGCGGCTTTAGCAGCTCGTAGTACATCGAGCGACTGCCTGAACTTCGCTCGTCGATCCCGAACGGTCGGCGTCAGTTCTTCAGTAGTCTCGACATTATGCGCGTACACATCCAACCCACTCCTTGCCACTACACCCACCTGCTCCAAATCTCCCGCAAAGTCTCCCGTCAAAGCCTCCACGAGGATTGTAGGCGCTTTCTGCTTGATCTTCATAATGGTCTCCGCGAAATGCCGGGAGCCTCCGTCGACCAGATCATCTCGATCCACACTCGTCAACACCACATACCCTAATCCCCACCTCTTCAACGCCTCGGCCGTATTCTCCGGCTCGTGAGGATCTAGCGGTGGAGGGGTGTTGGAGGTCTTGACACTGCAGAACCTACACCCGCGCGTGCACGTATCGCCCATGAGCATGATAGTCGCCGTGGCGGCGCTCTTGTTGCTGCCGCCCCAGCAGTCGGAGATGTTGGGGCAGCGCGCTTCCTCGCAGACGGTATGTAGGCCTAGGCCTCGAAGGTCGTTCTTTATCCGCTTGTAGTTATCGTTTGTGGGGATTGGTGTCTTGAGCCATTCCGGTAGACGCGTGTGTGTGCGTTTGCGGCCGGATGGGCCGACCTGGACTGTGCGGAGGGAGTGGGCATCGTCTACTGTGCGGAGTTCGAAGGCATCCTCTTCGTGGAGGGGCTCGGATGTGTGGTTGGGAGAGACGAAGTCGGAGAAGGAGGGGCCGGTGTTTAGGCGGTCTGTGAAGGAGCTGGCCGGGCGAGGTTGGGACGAAGGAGTCAATGGTGGAGGAGGCTCGGAGACGGCGGTGGCGAGACGCCGTTTTTGGGGAAGTATGGAAGGGCGGGAGTCGAGGACGGCGGAGGTGAGGAGACGGCGAGCGGGATGGCGGAGAGAGGACATGTTGATGCCGCGGATGTAATTGGAGTGCAGGGTACAAATACCGTGTAAGGGGGGTGTTGCGACCTCGAATGTGTCCGGACAAGGGAGGGCCTGAGTCAGCGGAAGGGTCTCCGGATCAATCCGATCCCACCTTCACCATCGCATGAAGACCCTCTATCTCCGTCAATTGAGCGCCTATACCGTCGGAGTGTGCGATTGCTACGATGGCAGAGATGCATCCTCCAGTGCAAAAATCGTTCGAAGGCGAACAATCGCTCAAGGAACCGAACATTTACGTCTCTCTCACCTACGATGAGCTAGATGCGACGAAGGCAATGGCACGAGTCAAGAGTTCCAAAGCCGGCGCCGTGGTGCTGTTCGCAGGTACATCACTCTTACCCGTCAATCACCAGGTCTCCTAACTGACCTTTCCACGCAGTAGGCTAAGGTAAGTACATCCACAGGTTGCACCCGCGATTCCTTCCAATCCAAGACTGTCACCCACCTCTCCTACTCCACCTACGCACCTCTTGCTTTACGTACCATGCTCACCATCGCCCGCGGCATCTACTCAAAGCACGGCCTTGTGGCTATAGCGCTCACGCATCGGCTTGGGAGGGTGGACATTGGCGAGGAGAGTATTCTGATTGCCGTCTCCGCACCGCATCGCAAGGCCGGCTGGGCGGCTGGGGAGGAATGTCTGGAGCGGGTGAAAGGTAGTGTTGAGATCTGGAAGGAGGAGTGGTTCGAGGACGGTGGCGTGTGGCGGAGCAACCGGGATGGAGCGGCGGGTGTTCCAGTTGTGAATGGCGGCAGTGGTGGCGAGTGAGCACCTGGTCTTTGCGGAGCGGAGAGGGTGTTGGCCATCCGTCGAACTTCATCACTTCTTTCCTTCTCTTCCCTTTTTCTCCTGCTCCTCTAGCTCCCTCAGCTTCTCTGCCACCTTCCTTTGGATATTCCCAACTCCACCACCTCCCAGCTCCTCCTTCCCACTCAGCACCCCCGCAATCCATTCCTCCAACTCCTTATCAGCCTCCGCCTCGCCACCATAAACATCGAACCCTACGCCCCTCCTTACTCCGTCCCGCAAATCCTCAAGATCCGCAATATCGAACAGTTTCGCCATCGCTCCTGCCGCAACCATGGCAATGCTACACACGTTCAACGTGGCCAAGCTCAACGCTTCGACAGCATCGAAAGAGCCATCGACCTTTGCCGCGCGGCCAGTTGGCGGAGCGTTGGAGGGTGTGAATGCTGCTGGGTGGGGAAGACGTCGTCTGATCAGAGCTCGTCGCGTTAACAGAGCGGAGAAGCAGGTAAAGGCTACGCCGCCAAAGAAGAGACCGTCTTGTCGGCGTTGGCGGTGGGCGGCATCTATACGAGGTTCCCTTTGGTGGCGAGGGTTGATAGGGAGAGTTGCTGCTAAAGCCTGGGCTTGAGTTTGAGCGGTTGCCGTGGTGGCGGCGGCTTCATGTTGGCGTTGGTGGCGTACGTCGCCTGGCGCGAGATATCTGTCCCAGAACGACATCCATGCGAGACAAAGTGAGATGGTGGTGGAATGTTATGTCGAGAGTGGCCATCTGTATACGAGGATCGGCTTAGTCAGGCCCGACTGCCAAGAGTGGCAATCTCCACTCGACTCCGCGGTGCGCTCAGGCCCACATGAAAGCATCGCCTTCAAACACCGTTGTTGACATTCACACAATTGACGGCTCTTCAAGCAAACAGGGTTGCATTCAAGGGATTTGATTAACGATAACCGCGCACCTACAGTAAAGGAATAGCGAGGATTCAATTGATTCGACGGACAGACTCAACAAAATATAGCAAAGTGTGGAGAGCGCAGGCCCGAACCCTCGGGAGTGCCGTCCCATGCCACCGGGAACGTCACAAGCAAGAGCCGCAAACAGTAGCGACCTCACAATCTGGCGGACTTCCTCTTCGTCAGCAATTGGGGCAATGCTTCCTCGCTAGCCTCCGCCATCCGCCCCAACACCCTCACACAGTCCCTCACCCCTACCCCCGCCCCTCCGACCCCCAAGTCGCCCGTGGGAGTTTCGCATAATCTCTTCCGCTCAAGCTCGTCGCCACAGATCAACCAGGCGGGTGCGGGTGCGAACGGCATGGCGGCAGCGGCGGTGCAGTCTCCGCCGCCGCCCGGCGCGCACGATATGATGGATACGCGCACACCGTCGCCCGTGCAGAACGGTGAGGGTGCGGTGGGTAACGTGGCAGCGGCTGAAAAGGACGGCGCATACAAGCCAGATCTAGGCGCGGAGGTGGCAATGCTAAGTACGAAGCTGGTAAATGCGATCAACTACCAGACCAATCTGGATGATACATTGCAGCATACGCGGCATGAGCTTGAGCAGGCGCGCGAGGAGCTGGCACGCCAGCGCGCGCAAAGGAAGGAGTGGGATGACCTGGTGGCGACTGGTGCGTTGATCAGGCGGAGTGCGATGGACAAGACGGTCAAGGAGCTGCGGGAGGAGCTGGCAAAGGAGAGGGCGGCGCGGGAGGCGGCGGAGGTGTCAAAGAAGCAGACGGAGGGCGAGCTGGAGAACTTGACGTCTGCGCTCTTTGAGGAGGCGAATACGATGGTGGCTGCCGCGAGAAAAGATACAGAGGCGGTGGAGAAGCGCAACAGCCAATTACGAGCGCAATTGAAGGACACCGAAATGCTCTTGACAAGCCAGACGGAGCAGCTGCAAGACCTGAAGACAGTAATGGAGCGCTTAGAACGCGCCAGCGAGAATGACGGCAACCGAGACCCAAGCATGCCGGTTACACCTGTAGACGCCCGTGCAGCCGCGTGGGATGCTCTCCAACTGTCACCACACGCGGCAAATGTACCGGACGTCCCGCCTGACCACCCTCTACACTTCTCCCACTTGATCGCGCCCGTCTTGCGCACAGATATAGCAGCCTACACCGACTTCCACGAACTTCTCACCCTCGCCCGACGTACAACATCACATTCGCGGCAAGGCAGCGGCGCCGTTAACAACCTCGCCTCGTCCAGCCAATCGAACCTCTTCTCCACCAACCTCTCCTCCTCGTCCACGCCGAGTCTACCAGGGTCCTTCTTCGGGACGAATACAGCTTCCACGAACAACAGTCCTTCCTCGTCCACCTTTGCTAATGCCATCCCGGCTGCGCCGCCGTTACGGGAAAGCAAGTTCTACAAGCGAACTCTAGCCGAGGACATTGAGCCGACTTTACGATTAGACTTGGCGCCTGGCTTGAGTTTCCTGAGCAGGCGGAGCGTGCTATCCTCCCTTCTCTCGGGCAGTCTCGTCGTCGAACCCTTCAACACGCCCGGCAACAAAACGTACAGTCTCGGCTCCGTCTACTCCTGCGCTCTCTGCGGCGAGGCACGGAAGTCAGAGCCATACGTGCGTAAATATCGTTTTCGCACTTCCGAATCCGAGGATGCGCAACGCTATCCGCTCTGCGATTATTGTCTCAACCGCATCCGCGCCGCGGGCGACTTTGTGGGGTTCTTGCGCATGGTGAGGGATGGGCATTGGCGGTGTGAGAGTGAGGAGGACGATCGTGGCGCGTGGGAGGAGGCGGTGAGGTTGAGAGAGCGCATGTTTTGGGCCAGATTGGGCGGAGGCGTGGTGCCTACCGCGCAGGTTGTCAGAAGGGAGGCTGCGGTGGGAACTGGTTCGGGCAGTCCGAGGAGTGTGAAGGGCGTCAAGAGCGCACGGGCGAGCCTCGAACAGACTATGACCGAGCATCAGGTGCACGATGCAGTGGTTGCGGCGGGCAGTCCGGTCAAAGTAGCCTTATCGGCTGAGGGCAAGGCGGATCAGGGGCAAACGGTGTCACAAGACGGCACGCTCGAGCGGCCGGAACTGTCCTCACAGCGATCAAGAAGCGCGAGTAGTATAGCGCGCGCCATTATCAACGCCTCGTCAGGTGTATTGGCTTCGGGAAGACCGGACATGGTACCGCAGAAGCATCCTGCACCAGAGCCGAAGGAGGATGACGAAGACGAAGCGACTACGCCTGCTTTCGAGGACGCGCCGAGCGGCGAGCAAGAAGCGGTGATACCGACTGTCAATGAGCCTGCCGTAGTAGAGGACGAGCCAGGGACGGTGCCTCCCGCTCCTCCACCGACAGAAAGGAGACCGTCTGCTGTGCAGGAGAGGATAAGGGCTATGGAGGCGAAGAACAAAATTGTGCAAGGGCAAGGCCAAGTTGGTGATGGAAGGCTGCCGGGAGCTTTTGACTGATGTCGCTGTACGCTGGTATGCACATTTTATTGGCAGCAATGGCTTCACGTGACGTAGTAGCGCCTTTGGGATTGGCATGATCAGGTACGAGTAAGCGCCGGCGCGAAGGAGGGTTGATGTGAGATGTATGGTACGAAGCAGGCTTGATTGTAAGATTATGTTGTTATTGTATGTGTGCGCAAGCGGTTCATCTTGCAGTTTGTGCACCATCCCCGTGCACTAGCTGTGAAACTTCATATCTGACACCCGCGCCTCTCCGATTACCGACTTACCCGCAACGTTCAATGTGACGAACGCGCTTCCATCGTGTTACTTAGACACTATTACCGTGACGGCCGGCAAGTAGCGTATTCACGCCTGTCACTTTCATGTCCTGCTCATCCAAATGGCGAGAAGGCGTCTCTGGTTGGATCGGCGCAAACTCCCAGTTGGTGACCGCGGCTAATATCGAGCACGAGCTGTTGGTAGCTATTGCCCTGCGTTTCGATACGGTTCTTCTATTACCTCAGCGCAGCAACTTCCCAATCCACCACTTGGTCAACAGTGGCAGCAAACGACGGCAGAGCACCCTCTCCTTGATCCTCGGATTCTTCCATTCACTGCCGCTAGATCCTCTTCCTCGTCGTCAGCATCCTTGTTCCCTGCTGCCGGATCCTTAGTCTTTCCGTCACCTGCCGTTGAACTTGCGTCTTCTTCGTTCTGCGGCCGCCATAAAGACGTCCTGTCCCGCCGAGGCGCGCTAATGTTTGCGCTTCCCATGAAAGGCTCGCCTGTAACATATTGTACACACGCAGATCCTGTTCATGCACGCCGGAAGGGAACTTGCATTCCGCATGGCCGCCTCGGTGCTTGCGGTCCTGTCGCTGGCAGAACCGGCCGTTGTAGCAGGTTAGCCGCCGGCATGCTTCCAGGCCTGGGCAAAATCGGCTTGAGAGCATACGCTTGAGCACTTGCATCTTACCGGCTGGCCCGAGTGGTATCCAGCGTCTACTCGTTGAATGACTCGAGTTGCCTCTTCTCGAGCCTGGACATTAGAGGCAAGATTTATATTTGGGTTCGTTTCCAAAGATGTACATCTGGTCCGTCGAACCGATTCCGGAGAGGTCCCTTCGGATAACCCTGCGTCCTAACACACCGTCCGGCTGTGCAATCTCGTAATGTATGATTGTAAATCCGATGCTCAGGAAGCGTTCCGAGACTGGCCTTTGGAGCGAAGGAGCGCCCAACGCGAGTGGTTTTCGCTCAAACACAGAGCTTGTGCAATACGCATAACACTCCAATAATTGGCCTAGAGACGCACAGCTCGACGCTTGCGCTTAAGGGTCCGCGTTCGCGAGATCCTGCTTATACCGCTGCTTCGCTCTTTGCGCCGACTGTGCGTAGTCAACGTGCGGGTACGGATACCCAAGCTTCTCAAAATCCTCCTTGCTCAAGCGTTCATGCGGCGCAAAGATCTCCTTGCCTTTCAACCCCGCCAGCTCAGGCACCCATTTCCGAATGTAGTCGCCATGAGGGTCGCACTTCTGCGCTTGCGTTACTGGGTTGAAGATGGTATACGACGGCTCCCAGCCCTGCGTGTTATTGTTCAGATCCCAGTCGACCAGGTGCTCGGCAAAGTACCGCTCTCCCAACCGATAATCAATAAGCATGTTCGCGCGAAGATACGACGCAACGTTCATCCGTAGCCGGTTGTGCATGTACGCCTCCGTGTTGATCTGCCGCATTCCTGCATCGACAAACGGCACGCCCGTCCTGCCTTCGCACCATTTCTTCCAGCCGTCAACGTCGTCCTCCCATTGCACGAAATCGAACTTGAGGTTCTGTGGCAGGTTCATCGTAGTGTGCGGCGTGATTATGGTTAACTGGCGGTAAAATTCTCGAAACACGATCTCGCGGACCCAAGCAGCAACGCCAACATCACCTTCATCGAAGTGCTTGCCTCCGTTGAACTGTTTCGTCTTTGCAAGTACCGCTCGCATGCTCACAATGCCGGAATTATGATATGCTGACATGCGGCTGGTCGCGTCTTTTGCTGGCTCCGAACGGTGGGCTTTGTAGTCTTCGATCTTGTCATTGAGAAAGTGGTCCAGACGCTTCATGCCTGCGTCGTTGCCTGCTGGCCAAAGTTCACGCAAGCGGTCCTGCTCTTCCTTCGAAGCGTATTGTTTGCTTTCGGGAAGCTCCGGAATACTGGAGCTGAAAAGCTTCTCGAACTGCTTCGCTACATCCGTGTCATTCGCTTCCGGTGGCGGTACGAGGTCAAGCAACTCCGCGTTCTGTTTGGTCTCTGCGAGCCAGGCCTTGTGATATGGTGTAAACACCTTATGTGGCCCGCCGGAGCCAGTGGTCAAAGTGCCAGGGATCACGACCGTCTGATCATGCAATACGTCCAGTGAGACATCACTTTCGTCCAGCACCTTCTTCCCTAGATCGATGTCGCGCCGCAGCTCATCAACCTCGTACTCCATATCTGCATAGATGTGCGAGACGTCATTCTCCTTCACGAATTGCATGACCTTCTCCGTCTTGTTGCCTCGCTCCTCTGCCGTTATAATGGCGAGCGGAATGTTTTTCTGCTCTAGCTGCTCCTTCAGTATGCGCAGATTCCGCAGGATAAAGTCAGAGCGCGCTGGGCTGGTGCCGTGCCACTCCATATCTTTCGGGGTAAAGAGATACATGGTTATGAGGTTGCTTTTGCTCTTCTTCGCCTTCTGCGACGCAGCATGCAAGCCTCGGTTATCTTCCTGACGGAGATCTTTGGAGCGGAACCAATGCAACACATTGCGCGTCTTCACATCCTTGCGCGTCTTCACGAGCAACTCTTCGAGTTGGTCAAATGGAGTGTCAGAATCGATCTGCTTCGCCCGCTTGGTGCTTGGATGTTTCAGCGCATTCTTCACTTGGTTATAGTCTTCTTCCGACTGAGCGTCTGCGCGCGGGTGCTTCTTGCTGTTGTGAGATGCCATCCTAACTACTGAGCTGGAAGAAGTGCGAAAGGCAATGAGCGAGAACGAAGTGGAAGGCAGAGAGACGGAGAGGAAGCGTAGAAGCGGCCGCATATGGTCGTTGAAGAAGAGTCGAGTCGCAAAAAGAAACAGAGCTTACCTCGAGCGCGATATGCTGGACGCCAGCCTCGCGTCCGCTGGGTGGATGACATCGCCCGGCGAGTGATACGCGGTAGAGATGCTGCTCTTGGCAAGGGGAGATGGTACCTCTGCCGGAAGATGACGCTAGCGAGATCTTGATCGATTACAAGTTTCCGAAGACGTCATCGGTTCGGTTTCATGCCGACGAGTGTGAACGTGTTTGCACATAACAGAAGTTTTTGTGGTACTTTTAGCAGCAGAGCAACTTGCAGTAATTTCGTTAAGAGGACGACAGGACGTCGCCATTGTGATCGAGCCCGTACGTTGGTTCAAGCTGCAAATCCAGAACTGTAGAATCTGCTGTAAACTCTGCCACGTGCGCCCAGTGGAATAAGCAAGCCATTTCATTGACCGTCCAATGAAAGTCATGATACATAAGTGATTACAGCATATCGCGTTTGTGAATGTCGCTCGCGTTCCTACACCGCCATGGCTCCCAATTTTCGGACGGCAAGTCACTTGACCATCTTGGTCTTCAGCAAGCGAACCTTAAACAAGCCGATATGGGACAGTCTCGTTGGAGAACTTTCGCAGAACATCGAGTCTCAACTCGACCCTGCAGACTCTTCTTGGGCCCTCAACGACCTCGACCATGGCAGGGTGCTTGAGATCATGCAACACTCGGCTCAGCAACAGCCGACCCTCGAGCAATGCAGGACATGCGTTCACTCAACCAGGATGACAGCTTTGCAGACCAGATACGATGTGGAGATAAACATGCAACCTGGATCCCTTTACCAAGCCCACCGGAGGCCCGGCTTCGCAGTCTTCGACATGGACAGCACGCTCATACAACAAGAGGTCATCGACGAGCTAGCCCGAGCAGTAGGACTCTATGACAAAGTGGCAGCCATCACGGAAGCGGCAATGCGTGGCGAAGCGCCCTACACGGACTTTGAGGCTTCTTTGCGCGCCCGAGTGGCCCTGCTCAAGGGTGTTGAGACGTCGATCTGGGAGCAGCTGAAGGCGCAGACCATCACTTTCACGCCCGGTGCAAAGGAGCTTGTCCGGGTACTGAAGAAGCTTGGCTGGAAGACTGCGGTGCTAAGCGGAGGCTTCACCCCTCTGGCGATGTGGGTGAAGGAGACGCTTGGTCTAGACTACGCCCATGCCAATCATCTGGTGTCGGACGACGGCCTCAACATCCTCACTGGCGAGCTGGTCCCTGGCGCACCAATTGTTCACGCTCAGCGAAAGCGTGAACTGCTGCTACAGCTTGCGGCAGAGAACAGCATACCCATCGAGCGGACCATTGCGGTCGGTGACGGCAGCAATGACCTCTTGATGATGGGAGCTGCGGGCCTGGGTATTGCCTTCAACGCAAAACCGAAAGTACAGCAGGCGGCGCCCGTGCGGCTGAACAGCGGGAACTTGCTCGATGTGATGCATATCCTTGGCTACAGCGCCGAGGAGGTCAATGCACTGCGTAAGGAGCCTTGAAAGTCTCCAGCAATTAAGAATTAGTCTTCTCACGAAATCAGAATGTGGCTGCTGCCCAAGCTGTGGTTTCACTAGGCGATGTTTCCGGGCACCCACACCCGCACACTCGATGGTGGTCATTGTAATTCTCATGAGCGAACCGTCCCATCAGGATACTATGACGCGATCAGCTTCGAGGCTAATCCGATTTGCAAGGTATGAGAGAACATACCCGACTAGGTAGCCGGCCGCACGTCTCTCTCCGCGGGCAACGTGTCTTGTCTTGCTACTCCAACCAAGTCAGGTTCTGTCTATGGGCTGGAGCGCCTTCCATACTTGGTCATTGCAGTGTACTGCGGGCATGATCAACGTAGACATCTGGGATAGCAGCACGGGGACCGCGCAGCGCAGCGGGAGTGCTTTCAAGCCTCGTGCGACATGACGTCGCCGCATCGTGCGGACCAAATCAACCGATGCATACTTTGATAGCTAGCGAACCGGTGATTGTCGAGGCTCTGTCGTAGATGGGCTGTCGTTTTACTAGCAGCAGTCGAGCTCCCTCATATCAATATCTTCTCCGGATCATCCTTCTTCTCCCGCTGCTTGGCTCTCACATGCTCCAGTCCGGGCGCTGGATAAGGCCCAAGCGCAAAGCCAGATTCCTCGCTCTTACCCTCTGTCTCCGGTTCTCGGTTCGTGGCGTAAATGTCAGCAATGCATAGTTCGAAAGGTCCAGGCATGCGGTCAGTCAGTCCGATGCCGACGCTCCGAACTACTTGCCTTAGCATCTCCTTTTGGGGTTCGACGACTATGCCGTGGTTCGTTCGGACGAATGCGGTGAAAGGTATCCATACCGTCTCCCACTTACCGGGTGTGAAGCTCGGCAGGAGATGCTGATGAAGGTCCGTCGGTACGATGGATTCGGTTTGAATGTTGACAAAGTACTTCCGTCCATCAGACTTAATGCGCAAGGCGAGGTATGAGTACGGATCGATGTCCCAGAGAAGTTTGCCGAAGAGAGACCATCCGCGATCCCTCGTTCTCCACGCCGCGAAACCGCTTCGGTGCACATCAGGTCGGTTAGGTGGTAGTTCTGGGTTGATGTTGCCTTTGAAAAGGACGTGGCTCGGCTCTTCGCCCTGATCCTCTCCGCCATCGATCCTGCCATCAACCTTCTCAGTGTGTGCAGCGCCCGGAACGTAGGTTAATGATGCCGTGCTGTAACCGCCCAGGATGCTCTTGTCGGTCATGACCTTGCATCTCTTGTCACTATCGGCCTCGTCGAACTGTATCAGAGGGTATGCCCGCTGAGGGACTTGAAGGGTCTCTAGCTTGACAGCTATCCTGGCCTGTCGACGGAACTCGTCGACAGAGCGGCGGAAGAAGCTGGGCATGCCCGCCCGCAGAACGGGTGTCGCGAACATGTTGAAGCTCTGTGATCCTGTCTGCTACGGAAGCCTTTCTTCGGTGCAGGCTTGCCTGAAGGCGAAGTGTGAGTGATGAGGTGGTGGTGATGTGATGGAAGCATGCGGGGCGGAGCGGACTCCCGAAGTCCGATCGTTCGGAAAGGTCCATCACCACCGATTCAAGCAAATACTCACACTTAAGTAAATCAACCACTTTCGGCAAGACAGCAAAGACAGCATTGCACCGGCAACGTCACGAGTCTACGGCTTGCAGTCGCCAACAGTGTCTCTTGCACTCTTCCATCAGGCGACAAACCATAATTATTGATCGACCGATCTTGCATTACTGCGACCACTAGCTCCAGCGCTCCAACGCAAGCCCAGCCTTGAATGGTCGCAACCACGCACTCAGTCCCATCTGCCACGAAGCAGTCCAGCTTCAACCCAGTCCCCTTCACCGAGTCGCGCGAACTCGGTCAAGTCGACCCAGGCCGAGCGGAAGATGCTGGCGAGCAGATAACCCCGCTGCCTGCCTCTCAGGCGGGCAAACCATCCCTGAAGGACCGGCGACCATGGGCGCACTTTGTTGCCGGCGGTCTCGGCGGCATGACATCAGCGACCTTGACTTCGCCGCTGGACGTGCTCAAGACGAGGCTACAGAGTACGTTCTACCAGGAGCAATTAGCGGCGAATAGACGTGCGAAGGGCTTGCCGAATCCGAGCCAATTACCGTTCTATAGAGCGGCGTGGATGCATATCGCGGAGACGGGCCAGATACTTGCGTCGATACCGAGGGTTGAGGGATGGAGAGCGTTGTTCAAAGGCTTGGATGCGAACCTGATAGGCGTGGTGCCTGCGCGAGCGATCAACTTCTGGGCATATGGCAACGGTAAGAAGATCATCTCGAGTAACTTCTTCGACGGTCAGGAAACAGCAATGGTGCATCTGTTCGCAGCAGCGAGCGCAGGTATCATCACGGGCACGGCGACGAACCCCATATGGCTTGTCAAGACTCGACTGCAGCTCGACAAGCAGAACGCCGGTCCCGGTGGCATGGGTCGCCAGTACAAGAATGCCTGGGATTGCGTGGTGCAAACTCTCCGGACCGAAGGCATTCGCGGACTTTACCGTGGACTGAGCGCCTCTTACTTGGGTGTCAGTGAAAGCACGCTCCAATGGGTCATTTACGAACAAGCGAAGCGCTCATTGGCACGCCGCGAGGTCGATCTGCTGAAATCTGGACGCACACCTACCGTCTGGGATAAGACGGTCCAATGGACTGGCCAGCTAACTGCGGCCGGCGGTGCAAAATTCTTCGCCGCCTTGATCACATATCCTCACGAAGTTGTCAGGACGCGGTTACGGCAAGCACCTGTCGATGCAGTTGGCAATGTAAAGTACAACGGTCTTTGGAGCTGTTTCGTCACGGTGTTCCGGGAAGAAGGAATGGGTGCGCTGTATGGAGGCCTGGTGCCGCATATGTTGCGCGTGGTACCCAGTGCTGCCATTATGTTTGGGGTGTATGAAGGTGTGTTACGTGCTTTGGGCGAATCAAGTGGCGTTTGAAAAATGGGAGACGAGCGATCGCCACTCACCCGACATGTTATTGTCATGAACCCCAACCGACGGGTGTCCGTGTATGTACGAGTATAGCACTGTAACATATATGCGAAGCGCTTGTGGCAATGATGGTACGGTCTGCATAGCGAACCACAAACCTCTTGCGGCACGCTGCCATGGATTTTACCACCGCTTCCCATCACCAACGCTGCTCTTCTCTGCCTGAGGTCTCCAATGCAGGATCTCCGCCAAGTCTGCTCCAAGCCGCGCTTTTAGACGTGGGCACGAGGAGTTGCCAGGAGCAGCGGTCTGCTTGCGTCCTAATGACGCGCGAGAGAAGGCCGGTTAGTCAATACGCTCGCCTGTGCTATCTTGCTCGCGATACAAGCCACCGTACCGCACTGGAGTATGGACCCGGTGATTGTACAGTCCGCTCGACGTGCTGCCACACTACTAGCACTACATCGGCAACACCGTACAATCGCAGCGAGTCGGTGGATTGACTTGCGTGACTCTCCAATCACCCTCTCGTGCCCAAGTCATTATCTCTCTTGCTTCCTCTCTCGCGCCCTCTCTCGCGTGCGCGCCTTGTCGGTCTGTGTTTCCGGCAGCACGTCGTTCACACACTCATAAGTCGTCGGTGATGCTTCCATCTAAGAGTGGTCGTCCGATCCGAGGAGCGTAAGGGTGTTGGCTCATATGTTCCCACCCTCCGCCTTCCACTTCCTCAAATACTCCTTCCCATCCATCGGACCGCCCGACCCGAACTCATCCTTGCGTTTCTCGATGCGTCGCGTGACAAAGGGCGTCAACTGCGGACATGGCATTAGCCTTTTCCCTCACCACTACACCGGATGAGACAGATTCACGTCGTACCTCAAAGTCCGTCAAGTCTGGACACATATACGTGCGCACTTTCTCCCAATCGATCTTATAGCCGCCGTACTTGGTGTGGCTGCCCATTGCTCCCGTGCGGTTACCCTTGTAGTAGTTGTGCGGACCTTGTTTAGTGGTGAGGGCGAGGCGCTTGATGGCGCGTTGGAGGATGGGTGAGGGCTGCATTCGCGCTGTGGATTGTAAAGGAATGCGCTAATACCTTTTTGCACGCCAGGTGAATGGAGCGAGGATGATATACTGCTTGCTGTCCGGCGGAGGTTCGGGAGCGAGCACAGACACGGATCGCGAACCTCCAAGTGTTTTGCGCCGCGAAATCTTGGCATCCGAAATGAGCATTTTCGAGGAAGGCACGACAATCTTCATCTTCTACCTATATCATCACCATCATGGCTCCCCGCCTGGCCCGCTCAAGTGTACAAGGCGCCGCTCCTCGCAATGCGAAGAACAAAAGTCGCAAGCGCAATCTCGACGCCTATTCCACCGCGGCGCATTCCGTCAAACCTGACAAAACCGTGCCGCGACATCGTCTGGGCGAGAGCGTAGAGGGGGCGCCACGCCAGAAGCGCCGACGCACCGACGACGATGAGGCTGACGCGAGCGAGGACGACAGTGCGCCACAGAGGAAGTTGCCACGACAGAACGGCAGAGGCATTGCCGACGAAGACGATGACGGTGTCGAGCAAGGCAGTGACAGTGAGGGCAATGAGTGGACGTTGGGTGGGCTGAAGGATGATGACGAAGACAGTGAGTTGGACTCCGATGAAGCGTTTGGGGAGAGTGATGAGGAGAGGTTCGAGGGGTTCGCATTTCGAGGGAGCAGTAGTGTGGGAAGGAAGAAGGTCGTGAGAAGGAGCAAGTCTCTAGCGTCTGATGCTGCAGATGGTGGGATTGACCTGGACGAGGGCAGCGCCAGTAGTGATGGCGAGGACGAGGACGACGATTTTGGCGACGAAGGTGTTGATCTCGCTACTATGCTGGATGATGACCCCACTGCGGAAGACGCTGAGGATGTAGAAGAAGATGGAGATGAGAGCGACGGCGCAAGCGAAGAGGACGAAGAAGACGCGCCGTCGGAGATCGATGACGAGGGCGAAGCCGACGGCGCGAACGATGAAGAACGCTATGCCCGCTTCCGTGACCGGATCGAGGCATTAGATCCAACAAACAAAGATGACGCGAAGCCATTACAACCCGCAGAATCCGGGATAATTACAATGGAAGACTTGCTTGCCGACATAGACGTCACCCAACGTAAGCAGATCCTTGCAACCACCAAGCCCAAGCGCAAGTCCCAGCGTGCAGAGCGGCTCACGGCTCCCCTTCCAAAGCGGCAGCAGGATCGATTGCATAGAGAAGCAGCTTCTGAGCAAGCCAAAGAACAACTCGACCGCTGGCGAGATACAGTCATTCACAACCGTCGCGCAGAGTTCCTGACCTTTCCGCTCGTGGATCCGAGTAAGCAGCAGAATGTGGGCAAGGACAAGTTCATTGACGGGAAGCCACAAGGCGAGCTAGAAGAGAGTATCCGCAGGATAATGGAAGAGAGTGGCATGGTGGCCAGAGTTGACGAGAAAAATCATGATGAAGAAGACGAGCTTATGCGAGCTGAAGAGCTCGCTACTAACGACCTTCCTGTCGAGGAAGTGATGCGCCGACGTGCAGAGCTGAGGAGGGCGAGGGAGTTAATGTTTCGGCAGGAGGTGAAGGCGAAGAGGATCGCGAAGATTAAAAGTAAAGCTTATCGCCGCGTTCACCGGAAAGAGCGGGAGCGATTGGCGGAGAAGGAGAGATTGCTGCTCCATCCTGATGGTGGGGTGGATGACGAGGAAAGGGATACGAACGACCGCCGCCGCGCACAGGAGCGCATGAGTACCAAGCACCGCGACAGCAAGTTTGCGAAGTCGGTCAAAGCTACGAATCGCACTGTTTGGGATGAGGGCGCCAGGGGTGGGGTGATGGAGGAGGCGAGGCGTAGGGAGGAGTTGAAGAGGCGGATCGCAGGACGGGAGGAGGACGGCGAGGGGAGTGATGTATCTTCAGTCTCGGGTGAGGATGAAGAGAATGATGAAATGGAGAAGCAGCTTCAAAGACTTCAGGAGGGCAGGCAGGGTATCGGTCAGAGGGGCGTGGGTGGGATGAAGTTCATGCGTGCTGCCGAAGAACGAAGGAGGAAAGCGAACGAGGAGGACGTGGAGAGGCTGAGGAAGGAGATGGCAGTCGAAGACGGAGACGAGGAGGAGTCTGACGGAAAGGTGGGAGAAGAGGGCCTTGGACGGGCGATCTTTGGACCCAAGGCGAAGATCAGCCCGGCAGAGAGGCAGAAGGAGAAGAGTCGGGAGATGGAGGAGGGTAATATGTCGGATGATGAGGAGAAGGTTGAGATCGCTGTTGGCGCCGATATGGTTGGAGCGTCCCGCGATGGAGCCGCGAAGCCACTGAAGGGCATTTTAAGGAAAGGCGGCCAGAGTTCGGACAAGCGAGAGCCACAACGCGCGAGGTCTGTGTGGTTGAAGGATCCAGCACCGGCGGATGAGGCGCAGGACGAGCCTTTCGTTTCGGCATGGCTGACGGATCCTGCGGCGAAGAAGTCGAAGCGGCGGTCAAGGACTACTGACGATGGCGAAGCTATGATTGAGCTGCTTCCTGCGAACGGGGTTGCTGCACTTGGGCCTCCACCTCAGAAGACAGCGAAGAAGGCTAGCAAAGAACAGAAGTCTGTGCCCACTGGGGAGAAGGATGGCGAAGTACGTACCGACGGTACGGCCGCCGGAAACACCTCAGGCTGGCAGACCATTGAACAGACCGGCGATGACTCTGACGGCGAAGAAGGAGGAGATGCGAATCCCGCTCTCACCGCGGACGAACAGAAAGCTTTATATCACCGCCAAGCCTTCGCAGGCGACGATGTACATCTCGCCTTTGAGAGGGAGAAGGCAGAACTCGTTGCCGATGAAGACGAGAAAGAGATCTCGACACATCTTCCTGGATGGGGAAGCTGGACAGGCATAGGTCTTTCCAAGGCCGTGAAGAAGGCCAACAAGCGGCAACTGCACAACCCGCTGTTCAAAACCAAGCTGCCCGGAGGCGTCAGGCCCGAGGATAGAAAGGATGCTAAGCTGCCAAACGCAATCGTCAGCGAGAAGACGGATCGAAAAGGGAAGAAATATTTCGCCCCCGTTTTGCCGCATGGCTTTGAGCAGGGGGAGCAGTATGAGCGCAGCTTAAGGGTGCCGTTGGGGCCTGAATGGACGACCAAGGAGGTCTTTCAGAGGGGAACAAGGCCGAGGGTTGTTGTTAAGAGAGGTGTGGTTGTTGGGCCTATGGAAAAGCCAATGGTATAGCAGCTTGGCTAAGACATACAAGCAGTCCTCCTTGACAAACACTTTAACTGGCTCAGAGGCCATCGTTCACCATATCCTATGCATTTTCGTCACCTCACCCGTACCGCTGTAAATCCCCGAGCCATGGTTACAACCTATATACCGATCAACAAGAACCTTCGTCTGACACATTCCACTCAGATACAAGTCAGTTACAAACATTGCACTCATCCATCTAAGTCGCAATATGCCAAGAATGCACATTGAAGAATCTCTAGGGCGAGGTACGCTGGCCCAAGCCGCTCGAAGACTTACGCAAAGCCATTGGCTTCCTTATGACATCTGCACACCACGATTGCAAAGCCTTCAAAAACGGCCGAAGCGGCGAAGCCAGGATGCCTCATCCTGACCGGCAATGCCGCCAAAAAGCGCAAGCCGTGCATCTTCGCTAGAGCAGCCGTCCCAGAAAGCTTCCTCGATGTTCTGCGTTTTTCCAGCACCGCTCTGAACTCACTGGAGGGAGAGCGATTCGCTCGGCGAAATGAGCTGGAGAAGCATGCTCTGCGTCCACGCTTGGAGGGCGAGTGCGACAAGAAGAAGTTGACGGCTCTGCACAGGATTAACAATGCAACTTAGTCACATATGGAGGCGATGAAGGTAAAACTTGGCGCCTCCGTAAAGCGAGGCTTGGGCATCGAGGATGCGTGGAAGCTGTCGTGAGAGCAGCCCAGGGTTAGGGTTTTAGTATACTAGCTATAATATAATCTTAATATAGTATAGTAGCTATAGTAAACTATAACTAAATAGGAAAGTATAGGACTACTTACTTAGAGTAACACTGTCTATAAAGTAGTCTATAAAGTAGTCTGCATAGGGCAACAACCGGTGCGGCTAAAGGAGTATATTTACTCCTCGAATGAGCTCACAGGTCTGTCTAGAAGGCGACCTGCAGTATCATACCGGGCCTTTTGGCCCCAGATCTACACAGCCACATGCCTAAGCGCCGCTACCGGCAAATGAAGCTGCTGTACTCACCCGCATAACAACACATCCTACCAGGTTCTTCCTGTACCTGGTTGGCCGAGGACACAACTTGGCTTTGACTGTGCCGGATTTACTTACCACAATTGGCTACCGAGGAATGATGCCGTCGTCGCCTTGAGCGTCGGTGTCTCGATTTGCCGGCATTAAGGGCATAAAACTGCACTGGGGCCGATACTTGTCAATGCCATGCCGCGTCAAGCTGGTGTTCAGTCATACCTGCTCTACCGCTCGCGTTCTAGCGACTTACCGACCTCGAGAATTACAGTCCTGGTACGAAGATGCATTCCCACAAGGGAGGATGTCCCTCGATTCTTGTGCTTCACTTCGTTGTAGCCGGTCACGCAGCAGTCAATGGTGCGTATATATAGGAACGAAAGGTCAGCATTGGGATACCTTACTAACGACAGTCGTGAACCAGGTACCTTGCATAATTCGACTCTTGTACCATCGAGGAGCAGTGGCTATGATCAGGCCTCGCGATCAAGCAGCCCCTTCTTCGAGAGTACCAGCTTCGCTTTACCAGGCGGTAGCCTGTCACAGGGACGGAGTTCGATAGCCCTGCCGGCTTCTGCAACACCTACTTCTAGCATCCTCACGAGCAGAATGGCGCTTAGCGAGAACTCTAGCCTACTTCTGGGTACTACTTCGACCTACAATGACACTACTGGCATAGCAACAGCCCCTGGTTCACCCTGGACGGTGCCAGCGCAAGGAAGCGGTATGTCTAAACTATTCCTTTCCGATCCATGCCCTTCACTAATTCTGCATTAGGCTCATCCTACTATACCGCTTGCAACAAAGAATGGCAACTGTTCTATGACGGGCATGTCAGATATACAAGGGAGTTGACGTCTTCATGGTGGGTTACCAATTATACTGCGACCATCACCACCCTCTGCGACGGGCATTCCCGCGTCCTCGGAACCGTAACGCCTGTTACGACCTTTCTGTCTGTCACCACTTCTGAGGGTATACCTCCGCCTAGCTGCTCAGTGCAGCAGTCCGACTGCGCATCCGCAATCAGTCAATACAGCAGCGCGGAAGCTGTGTGGTATGCACTGCATGCCTCATGGAGCAGCGCAGGGGCGCATCTCGCCGATGAACCCTCGCCGAATACTGTCTCAGTACCAGTATGCCGTACAACCACACCTAGCAGCACTGGACCGCAACCTGTGAGTGCATCGACGCCGGCCGGCTCTTGCGGACCCTGTACAATAGTCGGCGGGGCTGTACAGCTTTTGTACTTTCCAGTGACGACCAGTTATACCAGAGACATGTGCGCCACTGCACCATATCATAGTACATTTTGTCCGTTCGGCTCGGTCTCATCCGAGTCTATACCCTCAAATGGCTACGAGGGAACGCCTTGCCCATATTTTGCCTCGAACAGAACAAGCACGCACCCTTCCGGTAATCAGCCTTAGCCCTCTCCTCTTTCGAACCCGCGCTTATAGTCTGAACAGGGCCCTATACGATCTCTGCCAGCACGACCTTTTACGAAAACCGCGCGTACCTCAGCTACGAGACTGCATACGCGACAGACTCTTGCGGTCTAGTCGGTAACACGCATGGTAGCGGTATCTTGGAAATGGCATCCAGCGACGTGTACGGCGTTTCCGGCTATCATTACTTCCTTGAGCAGGTCGCCTACTCCGTAAGTACAACCACCAGTATCTTCGCGTGTCCGAACCTTGCTGACTATATGATTCCCTAGTTCAACTTCGCCGATCTTATTCCACCGATTCCCGCGAGTGCTTACTACTGCATGCCGCAGTGTTGGGAATCAGGAGATAATTATACTTTTGATGGCACTACCTATGGTGCTCCGAACAATATCAACGGGGAAGCATGGCATGGTGACTTCTGTACTCTGATGGTGGATGCGGAGTATCACCCTTACTTGGCGGTGCCGCCGGAGTTCAGGTACCTCGATCCAGCCTGGAGTGAGTGCTTGCTTGCGTTGAACGGTGTCTTCGATCCGGTAAGTCTGTTGCACAGTTATGTTGGCACTGTAGCAAGTACTCACGGGACCTTGTCTTGCAGCCCAAAATGCTGCAGCCGGCTTCCTCCATGGCCATGCCTACTTCACCCATTGTGGCAGGGACGACTACAAGCACGGCAATACCTGCGCAACAGCCTACTTCGTCGGCGCCGTCGAATACCGCACTCGTCGCGGAGACACCAGCGGCTTCGACTAGCTCCTCTCAGCTCCAGCCTATTTCCGCTGGCACACCTAGACAAACCATGTCTTCTCACGGCGGCGACGCTACCTATGCAAGTGCTCCATCGACCAATGGAGGGGATAGCTACAGCGACGGAGGGAAAGAAACATTGACGCTTTCGGCACTGTCCAGCGGCGACCCTGGTACTGTGGATTCATCTGCACAGACAACGTCCGGTCCTGATGGTGTGGCTACCTCTGCACTTGAACAATCAAGCAGTGATGGGAACGGAGACGCGGAAGCCTCATCTCAAGGCCGCACCGATGGCCATAGCTGGGGAGGAGGCGCACAAGGACAGGGACAAGAAATTCAATCTACCTCGACCACCCGAAGTCTGGAGGGCGTTACCGTCGTAGCAACACCCTCGTCAGCGCTGCTTTCGTCGAGTCACTCGCTCTTGCTTCCCTCAAGTGCTGAAGGGATGAATATTGGTGACATCATTGCATCTGTGATGGCCCTCCAGGCAGGCACCAGTAGGGATTCAAGCGGTGGTCTTCCGACGACAGATCATCCTGCAACACCTCCAGATTCACAAGATCCTCAATCAGAGACTACGAAGTATACAGCCTCGATTGCTGCTGGCGACATTGCTGGAGCGATTGTTGCTCTATTGACGTCATCTGGTACTAATGCTACACGTAGCCCCACCGTCGTCTCAAACTCCACTGTCGTCTTCGCCAGCGAAGGGTCAGGAAACGCGCTTCACGGCGATCAGACAGTGACTCTAGAGCACGCTTCGACGACATCACTGAACAGCAATAGAGATACAGCGACCACCGATGCTAGTAGTGCTCGGGGCTCGTCCATTATATTCAATGACGACTTGAGCACAGTATCCTCCGAGCAGTCTCCTGCAGGACCCATTAGTACGGCGTATCTTACATTTGGAACCCAAACGATTACCGCACTAGAGTACGAGAACCACTTGTCTAAGGTGCTTATCAATGGATACACCCTGTCACCTAGCGGCTCTGCGGCGTTAGACGATAGCACTATGATGAGTGCAGAGCTTAGCGGAGTCGTGATTACAGGCACAGATACAATATCGCTGCCCGCTATTCGAACTACTTCGCCGGCGTTTGGAGCAGTAGTCACTCTAGGATCGCAAGCTCTTATAGCTCTGGCAACAGGGACGGCCTCGGAGATTGCTATAGCAGGGTATACAATTACGCCTAGAGGACCTGCCGCGACTATCGACGGCGTAGTAGTGAGCAACGAGAGCGGGCGACTAATCGTTAGGACTTCGGACATAGGGACCCAGACGGTAATGTCCCGAACAATAGAAGGTTCGACGCTAGCGCAAGCTAGCTCTCCTACGGCGGGCACGCAGGAGCGGACTACAACCTCTGCTACAATCCGATAGTCTGCGCTAGGAACGTGCACTATACGTCTACTCGCGATTTAGACAGGTTTAAGGCTTATAGTATTTCTAACTACGTAATTAAGTAACTTAACATATAAGTATATATCGATAGGGCGGCGCTAAGATTAGTGTTACGTGCCGTCGTACTTACGTAATAGAGGTTAGGTAATTCTATCGTTATAAGTAGAGTTAGTACTTGTTAGGTAGTCTACTATAATTATTTAAAGATATAACTAAGTTATACTATATAGGACTAAGAAAAGTTAATTTAAGGTTTTAGAAGCTTAGATTTTATTATAATATAATTAGTATAGACGTAGCTACGCCCTAGTGCTCGATCCTTAGTAAGTCGAGCTAGTAGTGCCTAAGATATTAGCTTAACTACTTGCCGTTAAGTATAGCTCGATAGCGAGTAGAAGACGACTATCGAGTATAGCTCGATATAAGCTATAATAAGACATAAATCTCCTTCGTATATAATAGCGATAGATTTCGTAGTTAGAAGTTTATATTTAACTTATATTATAAACCGACTAATTAGAATTAACTTATTACTTTATTCTAATCTCTTATATCGATTATACTTTAACTAAGTAATACTTTACTATCGACTACTAGACTACTTAATAAGTACTAACCCTACTTATAACGACGGAATTACCTAACTTCTATTACGTAAGTATAACGGCATATAATACTTTAAATACCCTTAAGGATATCTATTACTAGAAGATCTAAGTAGAGTATCTCTACCTCTAGTAAAGTAGAAGATACTAATATAGTATACTCTACTAACTATAATCGGTCTAACGACGATATAAAGGTCGCTAAACCTAACTTATACTATAGAGACTAAGAGAAACTCGACGACTAGTTTAACTAGATATATATCTTCTTCGAGTTTAACTCTATAGAGCCTATAAAGCGAAGTCTATTTATAATAGCCTTCCTTCGAGGCTATACTTAGTACTACTTTAAACTATATCTTACTAAGTACCTTAATAGTAACTTAAGATATAACGAAGATATTACTAGAATCTTTAGAGTATTCGTAGGACTTAAGATAATCTTATAATAAGTCTTTATAGTCTCTAATAAAGTCGAGAATATAGTTCGCGTTATTTAAGATATTAAGTAGACTAAGTCTATATTAGACTATATAACCTAGTTTAAGAAGTACTTATAACTTACTAACTAAGACAATATAGCCCTATATACTATATATTATCGAGGCCTAAAGGATTAAGTTAAGGACGAACTAATAAGATATAGAAGTATTACTAAGGAACTAGACTAGTTAATTAGGGCCTCTATTATAATTAACGATAAGCTTTACGAATATATAATAGAGAAAGGCTATAAATTTAACCTCTAGTACCCTCTCTATAGTTAGAAGAATTAAGGTAGGAATCGGCTATATTATACTAACCTATATAGACTAGAGATAGCCTCTATATACTTAGATATAATAAAGAAGGGAAACTCTAAGAATAGCCGTAGTAAGAATAATAAGAAACTATATTCTAGAGGAAAGAAAGCGATTACGTATTATATATATAGTAAGAAAGACTATATAGTAAGGGATTATAGCGCTAAGAATAAGGTATAGCGGCTATAATTTAATATAATACTAGGAAAACCTAGGAAGCGTAAAGTAATAACCTTATAATAACCTTTAGAAAATAACGGAGAATAGAGAATACTATAAGACTTTAGTAAAAGGCTAGTTACTAGCGAAGTAGACGACTCTAAGTAGTTTCTATAAGAATAGAATACTACTACTAATAAGGCTAGTAAGCCTATAGAAGATAGCGAAGGCATATTAAAGAAAGAAGAATAGAAGTTAGTATAAGTCGAAGAAAAGAAAGAAGTACTATATAGATTCCTTTATTAGATATTCTATTATAATAATTAGTATAGAAGGCACTATAGTAGTAAGGAAAATACTAGATAGTTTCCCTAGAAGCCGAGGGAACGACGAACTATTAATATAATTAGTACTTAGCGACCTAAGATACTAGAAACTCTAGATTAATACTCTAAAGAAGAAATATAGGAAGATAGCGAATAAGGCTATACTAACGAAGAAGATACTAGCGAATAATTATTAGATAATAAAGTATCGAACGATAAGCGAAATAAGCTTTACTACTTTAGCCTAGAAGGAAAGAGTTAAGTAATAGAACTCTTCCTTATAATAGCTCGATAATATAAAGAAGTATTCTTTAAGATTAGTAGAAAACAGTTCCTCTATATAGGACACTTTAATTAGATAATTAGCCGGTTCTATAATATATTCTAGAACTACTAACTTTACGAAGTCGAATATAACTTTAAAATAATTATATAAGAGTAACTACTAATTAGAAGCTAGTTTATATCTAATAGCTATCTCCTTCTAAATAGGCTTTTTATTAATAAGTAGATAAGAGATATAGTATAGAACTTAAAGGTTCGCTATAGTTAAGTATAATATATTTAAACTATACTTAACTTAAGAGAAAAGGTAAGAGAAGCCTTAAGAAGTATAAATAATTAATAAGCTAAGATAGTAGCCTTATATAAATAATAGAAGTATAATATACTATTAAAGGAGAAACTACGAAGTCTTAATAGCTTATAACTACTAATCTAAGACTAATAGATAGAATAATTCCTTATATTACAATAATATATATAAGAACGAATTATACTATAGAACCGGAGAATATTAAAAAACTAGGATAATCTATTAATAGAAGTACTTAATAGGAACTATATAGTATAACTACTCTAGTATTAGAATATATAGTATTTTGTACTATAGCTACTATTAAAGGGAACTCGATAATAATTATAGTCGACTTAAGTATAAGTAGGAACTTTATATTACTAGAATATATAAAACGAAGTAGAATTACTATCTAGATAAAGAAAGATAGATACGAATTATTTATAGCGAATAGTATAATAATATCCGTAGTAGATAGTAAGATAGTACTACTTCTACTAGATATCTAATAGTACTATAAAGATATTATACTAGATATTATATCGATAGCTATAGAAGATATTATTTTAGAAATACTTTAGTTAAGATATTATAACCTAGTAGTTAACTAGAGAATAAAAGTACTTATATTTAGATAGTATAATTATATAAATTATATAGAGCCTATATATTAATAGCGTTCGATAGTAGATAAGGCGAGATAGCTATATAGTATAAAGAGAGCTAATCTACTAGAACGAGAATTAAACAATAATATCTTACTTCTATTAGATACTAATAAAGGTTAGCCGGATTACTAAGATAGGAGTAGTAGTAAGTATATACTACTAGTTATCTCTAAAGAGTATAAGGAATATAAGCGGCTCTTTTAGGAAGAGGAAGGCGAAGCTACCTTGCCTATATATATACTATAGGACTATAAGATCTACCTCGAACTTAGTAAGAAGCTACTATAAGGACCTATTTATACTATATTAGAAAAGGAACTAAGAATATAGAAAGAATAAGTAGATAAGAATCTTACTAGAAAGTAGATATAACTATTAAAGTCGCTAGTAAGTTTACTAATACTATTTATACTAAAGAAGAATATAGACGAGTTAAGAATAGTAGTCGACTATAGGAAGCTTAATAATATTATAATAAAGGACTAATATTCTTTATTAAATATTAAAGAATTAAGAGATAGACTTAGTAAAGTAAACTAGTTTACTAAAATCGACCTTAAGGATATATTCTACTATATTTATATTAAAGAAGAATAAGAATAGCTTATAGTATTCTAAGACTAAACTAGGACTCTACGAGTTCCTAGTAATATCTATAGGAATAACAAATTTACCTATAATATACTAACGACTAGTTAATATAGTACTTAGAGACTTAATCGATATTACTATTATAGTATATATCGACGATATCCTAATCTATACTAAAGGGTCTCTATAGTAATATATTTAAAATATTAAGGAAGTTTTCCGACGACTTTCTAAGATAAGCTTTAAGACTATATCTAAGAAGTACAAATTCTATAAGAAAGAGGTTAAGTTCCTCGGATTCGTTATTAGAATCTATAGTATACGAATTAGTCCTAATAAGATTAAGTTAGTATAGAAATAGCTATAACTAAAGACTATTAAAGAAATATAAGTATTCCTAGGACTTATAAACTATAACCGAAAGTTTATTCTAGAATACTCTAAAGTATTAGAACTACTAATATATCTAATAAAGAAGGACGAAGCCTTTAGATAGACTAAGGCTTAGAAAGAAGCCTTTATATTAATTAAGAAACGATATATCGAAGTACTAGTCCTATAGATATTCGATACTACTAAATCTATATAAGTAGAGATAGATATATCTAATTACGTAATCGGAGTATATCTTACTTAAGAAAATAATAGATAAAGATATATAGTAGTATACTACTCGAGGAAATTAAGTCTAGTAGAAGCAAACTACGATATCTATAATAAGGAACTCTTAGCTATTATTATAAGCTTAAGACACTAGAGAATCTATATAGAAGGAGTACCGAAAGTTACTATTCTCTCTAACTATAAGAACTTAACGTACTTTACTACTATTAAAGAGCTAACTCGATAGTAAGCTCGATAGTTAGAACTCTTAGGACAGTATAAGTTTATTATCTAGTATACTCTAGAAAAAGACAATACTAGAGTAGACGCCCTTAGTCGATAATCCGACTATATAGAAGAATATATTATATAGTAGTATCGAATCCTTAAGGCAAATAAGGATAGAACGCTATCCGCTAATATATAGAAGTTTAATACTATAATATAGATACTAAACGACTACGACGAAGAATTTCTAGTTAACGAATAAAAGAAGTTCGTTATATTAGAGAAGTAGATTAATAAGGTAATTATATATTACTATAACTTACTAGAAAGAGGATACTTAAAAGTTACTAAGATAATAAAGCTAGTATAGTAATACTTCGTATTCCTATATATAAAGAAATATATAGTAAACTATATTAAGAAGTATATCGAATACTAAACGAACAAATTAGTAAGATATATAACTTATAGAGAACTAATAGTATAATATTTACTAATAAAACTATAGGAAGAAGTTACTATAGACTTTATTAGACTACTACTAAAATTATAGAATCTAGTAATAAAAGCGACTTATAACTCGATACTAGTTATAGTTAATAGGTTAATAAAATATATATACTTTATTATATATAGTACTACGATTACCTCGGAATAGTAAGTATACCTTATTATAGATAGACTATTCCGCTACTATAGATACTTAAAGGTTATTATCTCGAATAGAGAACTAATATTTCGCTCTAACTATTAGTAGGCGTTTATCTCTAACTTCGGAATTAGCTATAAGCTCTCTATAGTATTCCGACTATAGATAGATAGATAGATAGAATATATAAACTAGATACTAGAAGCCTATCTACGAGCTTATATTAACTATATATAGAATAACTAGTTAGAACTACTCCTAATAGTATAAATAGTACTAAATAGCTATATATTAAATATAACGAAAGTATTACCTTATAAAGTAAACTTCGTATATCTACTAAGACTAGATATAGTACTAATCCTAGGACTAAATATAGAGGCTATAAAATAATATATAAGAGACTTATAACGACTCTATTATAAGAATATTTATATATCTTCTATAAAGATAGTAGTAAGATCGAAATCGATTATAGGTCCTTAGCTTAAAAAGGGGGATAAGGTCTATCTCCTTATAAAGAATCTTAAGACTAAGAGAAATAGTAAAAAGCTTAACTAGGTTAAGGTCGGACCTTTTATAATCTCTAAGAAACGATCGCTAGTAAACTACTAACTCGAACTTCCGAAAGATACTAGAATATACCTAGTATTCTATATCTCTCTTCTAGAACTAGTAGACCCCGAAATATTCTACTAAACTATATTCTACTATAAAGACTAAGAAGAAACCGAGTAGGAAGTCGAGAAGATCCTAAAACGAGAAGGTTAGAGTTACCTCGTTAAATAGAAAGGTTACTTAGACTCGGATAATATATAGGAACTACTTACTAATCTTAAGAACTACTAGATACTTCTACGCTAGTTCTACTAAAATCGATAAGCTAGTCGATATTCTATAATATCTCCTATATAGCTAGAGATAAACTAACTATTAATATAGTAGTAGAATAGTCTAGAGATATAGAAGGCTTATTAGGGTTAGGGTTAGGGTTAGGGTTAGGGTTAGGGTTAGGGTTAGGGTTAGGGTTAGGGTTAGGGTTAGGGTTAGGGTTAGGGTTAGGGTTAGGGTTAGGGTTAGGGTTAGGGTTAGGGT